TGAGACAAAGAAGAGAACAGAGTTCAACAATCAAGGTTTGTATACTATTGTGGTCTTAGTATGGACATGTCTATTTATACTAAAGTGCTTAGCTTATTTTTTTAATTCTAACATACTAATCTTTGCAGAACTTACCCTCACAGAAGCGGAAATTAAGAACTATACTCTCCAAGAAATAGAGAAAATTTTGTTATCTAATGGAAGCACTCTAGAAGATTTTGAGAGTTTTCCCAAGCCTTCAAGAGAAGGTATTGATAATTCTAATCGACTGATAAGTGATGAAAAGAGATACAACCGTGATGGTAAATTGGCAGAAAAACATGCAGAGTGGATACAGATGCTAACTACTGAGCAGAGAAGTATCTACAATGAGATTACTGGTGCTGTTTTCAATAATTTAGGAGGAGTGTTTTTTGTTTATGGATTTGGAGGAACTGGTAAAACGTTTGTTTGGAAGACACTATCAGCTGCGATTAGATCTAAAGGACAGATTGTTCTTAATGTCGCCTCAAGTGGAATCGCTTCATTGTTGTTAGAAGGAGGTAGAACTGCACATTCTAGGTTTTCAATCCCACTGACTCCTGATGAGTTTTCAGTTTGCAAGATCCAGCCTAAATCTGACCTAGCAGATCTTATCAAAGAAGCATCTCTAATTATATGGGATGAAGCTCCAATGATGACCAAGTTTTGTTTCGAAGCTTTAGACAAAAGCTTCTGCGAAATTATGAAAAATAGAAACAACAAGGTTTTCGGAGGTAAGGTTGTTGTTTTTGGTGGTGATTTCAGGCAAGTTCTTCCGGTAATTCCCGGTGCAGGTAGAGCAGAAATAGTGATGTCATCTCTAAATGCTTCGTATCTCTGGGATCACTGCAAAGTCTTGAAGTTGACTAAGAACATGAGACTACTAGCAAACAATTTAAGTCCTGCAGAAGCTAAAGAGATCCAAGAGTTTTCTGATTGGTTATTGGCTGTTGGAGATGGTAGGATTAATGAGCCTAATGATGGGGAAGCAGTAATAGATATTCCACATGATTTGTTGATTACAGAAGCAGAAAATCCTGTAGAAGCTATTACTTGGGAAATTTATGGTGATCCAACAAAACTCCACACCATCATTGATCCTAAATTCTTTCAAAAAAGAGCTATTTTGGCACCAAAAAATGATGATGTCAACACTATAAATCAGTATATGCTAGAGCATTTAGAAGGTTGGTCTACTTTAACTATATGCTATTTCCTTTCTAGCAAATCTGTGCAGTGTAATTAATTATGTAAACATCTGACATGTGGATTTATATTGTTTACATACAGGTGATGAACGAATCTATCTATCAGCTGATAGTATAGATCCCGATGATTCTGACTCACTTAAGAATCCTGTTATCACTCCTGATTTTTTAAACAGTATCAAAGTAGCAGGTTTGCCAAACCATTCTTTGCGTTTGAAAGTTGGTGCTCCGGTTATGTTGCTTAGAAATTTAGATCCTAAAGGTGGTTTATGTAATGGGACTAGGCTTCAGATTACACAGCTATGTAAGCAGATTGTGGAAGCTAGAGTTATAACAGGAGATAGAGTTGGTGATATAGTGTTTATTCCTACTGTAAACCTTACACCTTCAGATACCAAATTGCCATTCAAGATGCGTAGAAGACAGTTTCCACTATCTGTTGCATTTGCTATGACGATCAATAAGAGCCAGGGTCAATCTTTAGAACATGTTGGACTTTACTTGCCTAAACCTGTTTTCTCTCATGGTCAGCTTTATGTTGCATTGTCTAGGGTAACGTCTAAGAAAGGTTTGAAAATCTTAATACTAGACAAAGAAGGAAAAATTCAGAAGCAAACAACCAATGTTGTTTTCAAGGAGGTTTTTCAGAACATAGGCTAACTTGCCTAATACCATTCTCTGTGAATTGGTTCAGAGAAGGTATGTTTTCTTATTTTAACATACTCTACCGATTTCAATTATGGCTTGAAAAACCCACAATCAAATATTAACATGGAAACAGTTTCTAATTTTCTCAGGCAGCAGTCAAGCTTCCAATCAAGTAACTCAACAGGCAGACAAACAAGCTACCATTCAATATATGATCATTTCAGTCATTTCTTTTTTTCAATCTTCAATGAAATTATGAGCTCTATCTTTTTATTTCTTTCAATATCTGCCTCAAACATTGTACTACTAGATTGAAGTGTGCCTATTCACCATATCTTCTAATCAATCAGCTATAGTTATCTAGAACTACATTTCTAGAAATCAACATATACAATCCAATTAGCTAAGTCAACTCTACATGCAGAGATATACAAGTATCTACATCAAAGAAACTTTCTCTACTAATTTACTAAACAACCATATACATTAATCACATGAACCAGAAACAAAGCTATTTCAAACTGGCGATCAATTACTCTTATACGTTACCAATCAATTGCAATTAGTAGAGAAAGTTTGAGAATTTCATGTATTACCTCATTAATGGAAGCTTCCTCTGATTGATGATCTCCATCTTTTAGGTTTCGAACTCCATAGATTCAAATTGCATCATTGAATTAGCTCACCAGTATTATAGAACCACCAGAATTATAATCACTCTCTCAATCTTCAAGCTCGAGAGAAATCAAAAAGCAGAGACGTTAGATCTCTTCCGGAATTAATGCAGCTTTCAGGAGGAATGTAGAAATGAATTCGTCGGAGATACCTTCGCCGGAAATCAGGTAATCGGAAGAAATCAATCAGCTTCTTCGATTGAAAGAAGAGTGGAGGATCGGACTCAACGTAGCTGTTGATTTCGATTTTGTTTTCAGCATTTGGTTGGCTTCAATTTCGTTGGTTTAACTAAACCAAGTATTGGTTTAATAAACCAAAACTAATTAAACCAGCTGATTATTATTACATTTAAGATTAATGTCCAAACAACCTTAATATATGCATCTAATTTGAAATGGACATGTCAATTTTGATTTTGTTACTCAACAAAATCTCATACAATAAATGTGATTTATAAATTTCACTTATGAAATTAACACTAATTTGTCTCAAATATATAATCATAATTAAATACAATAATTCTCTACATATATAATACAACGGAATTATTTCACTACCACATATGTTTTTCCTTTCAACAAGAAAATAAATAAAGAGATATCATATTTAGATATTTCTAACCATAACCAAATGTTTTGAACCAAAACATATATTTGCACATTAACAATAAAGTCCTTATACACTTTCAAAAGTTTTTAAATATACAACAAACACAATAAGACGATACGTACTTTGTACACAACCCGGTACATCGTCGCTTACTGAATATTAATCTCATTCGTTTTATTATAAATATTCAAACATACAACATACTACTCATACAATTAGCACTACATTGATTTCCATATATATTCAAATCACACATCTAAATGGGTTATATAAAGACTTATTATGTTTAAAACCTATATTAATTTCTCTCAAACAAACATATATTATTTTCTTAAAAAAAAATATAGTCCCGCGGTGTACCGCGGGTCAATCCCTAGTGTAACAACATTTAGTCTTCTCTTAACGCCAAACATCTCTAATCTCTATGCTTAACTTTATGGTAACAAATAAGAATATTTTTTCCTTAAAATGTGATAAAAGTGTTGAAATGATTACTCTAAAAGTCTAAACGATGACCTATAATGATAGAGCGTGCAACTAAGCCTTAACATTTTAATTTCTAAAAGCTTTGATTTTACTAGTATAATATAAATTTTATAAACTTGTTCCCCACCTTTTTCTCCTCTTCCTTGAAAGTTTAAGCCTTTTGATTAATTATACTGAGTCTTAGCACAACTTCCACATCATCAAGCAATACATATCATGCCAATTTAAAAATTAATCTAGAGGTTGCTTTTGTTTAATACTCCATGAAAACTTAATACTTTAAATTTTTATATAATTTTAACACAGACTTCTAAGAAATTAGTAAATGCTACAAAATTTCAATCGACAAAAACAAAAATAATTTGAAATCTTTCGAATAAATTTGTTTAAGATATAGACCTTGAATGTTTGGTAGTTTTTGAAAGAGTTTTTAGTTTTTGTTTTTCAAAAACTTATTTCACACCAATCAAGTTTTTCAAATTTTGGTTTCTCTACAATTTAGAAAAACTTTTTTTGTCGTGATATTCCGTTCAAGATTTTAGATTTTTAGTTCTCCTATAATTTAGGGAATCTAGTTTTTACTCCCTCTACGTTATTTTTCTCAAAAACCAAAAACCATTTTTTTGGGTTTCTAAAACAAAAATCTAATTACAAAATCTAAAATCCAAAAACTAAAAACAAAAGGGTTGGCTGATTTTATAGCCATAAACTAGTTGCATTCTCAGCTTTTCCCCCCAACCTTTTTGCCCCTGAAAATTCCACCATAAACTTAGATAATTCTCACAATTTCAACATGTACTTTCGGATTCATCCTTAAAACTACGCCTCCAATTGAACCGGCCAATAAACCGGTACCACATAACCCGGTTTGATTTAATTCAAATTTAACCAAATTTTAACCCGATTTTGACCAAAATTTTCAATAAACCAAATTTTAACCCGGTTTATTGAACTTGCGAGAGCGTGATTTCAGACTTAACAGACATCCTCTGTAACTCCTATGTTCTTGCCTCTTCTTCTTCTTCTTTCTTCTTTATCTATACTATATTGGTGTTTCATTTGTTCTGCTTAAAAGTAAAAAAAAGATTCATCCTTCTTTCGGTCCTCTTAAAAACTTCTGATTTGGATAAACCGATTAAATCCACCGCTACTGCTTCCGTTAAGCATTTAATCAAACAGAGAGGCGGAGGGAGCGACGGAGCTACGGCGGCTTCCAAGTCGGCGAATGATAATAATAATCATAATAATAGTCTCTTGACGGATATGCAGGAACCTAGCATCGATACAGATAAACTCAGCTACGAGATTTTCTCGATTCTTGAGAGCAAATTTCTTTTCGGGTACGACAACAAAGACGACGACCCCAAAATCAATTTCGACCCGAAACCCGAATCCGAACCCGCCAATTCCGCGGTTGCTGGCTCGATTAAGAACTAGAGAGGTAAAATCTGTATTCTGAGCATCGATGGAGGTGGAATGAGAGGGATTTTACCCGGTAAGGCTTTGGCTTATCTAGAACACGCTCTGAAATCTAAATCGGGTGACCCGAATGCCCGAATCGCCGATTACTTTGACGTAGCCGCCGGGTCCGGTATAGGTGGGATTTACACAGCGATGTTGTTAGGGTCAAGAGACGGTAACCGTCCGATCTTCAAAGCAGAGGACACGTGGCAGTTCTTAACGATTTAACACGTACCACATAAGTCTCGCAATTTCAGACTTAAAACCAAATTTTAACCAAATTTTAACCCGGTTTAACCCAAATTTTAACCGATTTAAATCAAACCGGGTTATGTGGTACCGGTTTATTGGCCGGTTCAATTGGAGGCGTAGTTTTAAGGATGAATCCGAAAGTACATGTTGAAATTGTGAGAATTATCTAAGTTTATGGTGGAATTTTCAGGGGCAAAAAGGTTGGGGAGAAAAGCTGAGAATGCAACTAGTTTATGGCTATAAAATCAGCCAACCCAAAACAAAATCCAAAAACCAAATTAAAAAACAGCATATTCCTGGCCATAATCTCTTGGGTTATATAAGCCCAAAGAAGTTTTTATAAGAAAAGGCCCAAAAAACTTAATGATACGCTCTTGCGTAGGTGATCACACCCTCAGGTCGTAAATACACAAACACGATCTGTTTGTTCTTAATTTCCCTCAATTTGCTCATTGCAACAAATCAAAAAAATCAAAATCAAAATCTCACCTCTGGAGATTTATTGTTGACTCGTTTACCGCGATTCTCTCCTCAATTCGCCGGTAAACCCTAACTCTTGTCGGAAAACCCTAATTCGCCAAGACGGAAATCACCCTACTCGTTTCCTCTTAGCATTGGTTGATTTCAGCTTTGTTGAGGTAAATTTCATCTTCTCTGGATTCTATCTTCAGATTCTGATTTTTATTGAGGTAAATATTAATTTTTTTTAATTCAAATTTTGAGAATTTTTTGATTCAGTTGGTTGATTTAGGGTTTCCTTTTGGTACTCTGTCTTGTACAAATTCGTTATGTATCGAAAAATTTCTGCTTTGGATTGCAGAACGTTGTCTTGTTTCTTATTTGGTCCCTTTTAATGCATTTTCTTTATTTGGTTTTGCGTTTTTCATCAACAGAAAATAAAGTTGGATTTTTTTTTGTTTGTCGTCATGTTATATGTTCTTTAGAGCTGTGATTATGATTTTCGTTGTTTGATTTGATGTATGAAGCCTGCGCAAGTTTGTGTCTTTCGTAACAGTGAATCACGTTCAATGTAACTTTTTTCATTACAAAATAGTTGTGGGATTTAACTGCTTGGTTAGGGGATAGAACAACAATCTTCTAACTTTATGTTTCGTATGCCTACAATCTGGATATTTGTGCTGGAAAATTGGCTAGCAGTTTAGTTTTTGGTTGTTGTTCCCATGGCTCACAATCAGAGTTACTTTATCGTTTCAGTTCTGTAGTTCATTGACATTTCATAGCGTACTTTTTTCTTCCGCGGAATTTTTGGAACATTCACGTTACTTCTCTGTATAGGGCTTAGTTGATGAACCCCTAGTAATATGGCTTTATTTAAGTAGATCGATGTATGCAATTGACTGTGACATTCTATATAAAAAAAATATAACAGTTACATTGCATTTAGAAATTTAAAAGAAGTTTTGATGCCAGCATGAATGCGAATTGGAGGCCAGTTTGCATATCAGGCTCATTGTCCTGTGAGACCTGACAAATAAAACATGATATTAAGTCTATTTTGTACAGTTATCTTTATCATCTTATTAAATACTTGGTTTATCGATAAATTCTTTTACTTTTTTTCACTTCAACAGGTTAAAGCTACTATGAAGCCTGTTCTTCACTCGGGCTCTTCATCCAATGGATTTTCACACAGAAGAGTTGAAAAAGAGGCTGGGATGAATAACGCACATCCTTCTGCGGACACTACAGGTTTTGTATATATATTTATAACATGTATATCTTTATTCTGATGTAGCCCCAGCATCATGTTCTTCATTCTCTTGTTTGTTGATATATATGTGAAGAAAACGGTTGGGAAGCTGGAAGTGTGGATACCCTTTCTCACAAGCTGTTAGTGTATTTCACAACTTGTAATATTGGACATCAGGTAGAAGTTCATCTCAAAAATGGATCGGTTTACAGTGGCATATTTCATGCTGCTGATGTGGAGAAGGATTTTGGTAACCTGTTTGTCCCTTTAAGATGTAATATAATATAAGAAGAGGTAACTATTTTTTTATCACTTACAAACTGCTTTGAAACTTTCAGGAATTATTTTGAAAATGGCATGCTTGATGAGGGATTCACGGGGAACCAAATCCCGTTCGCCGCTTGTCAGCAAGCCACCTTCAAAGATACTCATTATCCCTGCTGACGAACTTGTGCAAGTTATAGCTCAGGTGTGTTCTCTTTTCTTGCAGATGGGATTGGGTTTTTATGTGCATGTCAATGCACCAGCATGTTAGAAAGACTACTTGGTGTTTTGACATTGTTATTCTTTTGTCATTGGTCTCTGTGTTAGGACCTTCCTGTATCCAGCAATAGCGTCTCAGATTCTGTTCAGTGCGAGAAACCTTTAGAGCTGTTGACAGACTCTCTGATATCACAGTTTTATAATGTTGATTTGGAAAGAGAGCTGAAACCTTGGGTACCTGATGAAGATGGTCCAGACTGTTCAGATCTGGAGAATGTGTTTGATGATCCTTGGAAGAGGTAGTGATGCTATTCATTAAAGTAGGATATTTACCTTTCTGTTAGGATTTCTATTATCTGATTTAGAAACTATTTTCTCTATTTCGTTTTCCTCAGAGTGTTTACTTTTATGATCTAAGTTAGGAGTGCTTTGGAGGTTGTATCGGGTTAGGCTGAGGGAGACAACATAGTTTTTTTCGGCTTCTGTTCTTGTTACTATGATTCTCTTTGAATAATGAGCGTTTTGTGTTTTATTTCGTGATTCTTGACTCTAACAGGTAGCCATATATTTGTTTATCCCAGTTCAATTCCTCCCATTGGTTGGTTAGGATGTTTAAGTGGGCTAAACCGCCTTGCAGTTGGTTAAAACCAATACGGGTTTTGGTGGGATAGGCTGCTAATGCTTAGATATCCTAACCCACCCGCCATATTATTACGGATTGTTCGAGTAGGCCTGCCGTTTCTAAAATTTTCAATTTTCTTTATTTTAAATTTAATTTTTACACATAATCAAATAGAAATACACTAGAATACATTTAATTTTCAAAATAAAATATCATTTTACTTAGTAAATTGGATATAAAAAAGCTTTTACATATATTGGTAATTTCATGCGGGTTAGTTTGAGACCTCTGTCCGCAGTGAGCACTTTTGATCATGTACACTTCCTGGGCTGAAGGACAACTCTCATAACATATCTTATATGTGATGATATCGTAGGGGCTGGAATCAGTTTGAGGTCAATAAGACATTATTTGGAGTAACAAGCACTTTTGATGAGGAACTGTATACCACAAAACTTGAGAGAGGTCCTGGAACGAGGGAGCTAGAAGAGCAAGCCTTGAGGATTGCGAGAGAGATTGTGGGTGAGAATACTCGAGATCTTCACGTAGCAGAGGTGAATTACGGATGTCTTATGTGACATTTGAACTTTTACGTTTCATCATTGTACCATATCTCACCTCTAATGGTATTGCATGCAAATCATCTTACACAGGAAAGAGGGCTCCAGCTTAGTGGAAAGTTTGATATTGATGAGGAAACCAAATACTCATCGGTCTGTACGGCTAATAGATTTGATGATACGGGTTATGAAGACGAAGAAGAAGACATATTGTTGGATTGCTGCAACAATTTGACTTTTGGTGACTCTTCTGCTTCTGATGGCAAGAAACCTGCTTCAACTGGCAAGGTCTATGAAGAAACATGGGTATGGTTGAGTTCTTCACTGCTAGTAGTTTCTAGGAGAATCATCGGTGATATTGCCATTTTTTGTCCTTCAGGGTGACAGCCTGCATTTACGGAATAACAAAATTGTAGATCAGAGCTGGTCGAACTCAAATAAGCATACTCACCAGCTTATGTCCGAACAGCCATCCAAAGATTTTCCTGTTGCAGGAAACAATATCAGGTCTTTTTCCTTGGAATATACATTTTTTTGTTCAAAATATCTTTCAATGAACTTTAAGTTTCTGAAACTCATTCTGATAGGAATGAGAGCCAGCTTGGTGAGCAAAGAAAGAGCAAATTCCTAGGGGCTTCCCTTTATAATAAGGTAAAAAGTTAAACTCCGCATCTAGTCTTGATTGCATTTGCATAATGGAACATTACATATAACACTGTTCTGTTGACTTATCTGTATTAACGCAGCCATCTGAGGAATCAGTGTCTGGTCTTGAAGGTATGTGCAACTTCAGCTTATCGTATATCTACTGATCTACTCCTGTTTCATCTTAAATGTTGATACCAATTGAATTTTCAACTAAGTATCTAATTGCTGCCTCAATGAAGATGCACCACCATCTGAGAAGCCAAGTTTTATTGCTGGAAGACTCGGTCTACTCTCTAACAGAGCGAAATCTGAGAGCTCTCCTGGGTGGCCTGGAAGCTCCATTTCTAGAAATTCAGAAAACTCTGCAGCTTCCTCAGCATCAAATCGTCCAATACTATCACCAAGCTCTTCAATTGGTTCTTTATCATCAGAAAAATCCACACTCAACCCAAATGCTAAGGTTTATTCGCGGTGCTTAGGTTATCATCTAATTTCTCCTTGATACTGTAAGCTTTTACTGACGGGCTTTAGGTCTGATCAGGAATTTAAACTGAACCCCAACGCAAAGAGTTTCAAGCCATCTTCTCCATCAGCTAAAAGTCCTCAATCTTCAGTCCCAGACGGATCATTCTATTATCCTCCTGTTCCACCCATGCCAGGACTACGTATTCGATACGGAGTAACTTTTCTTTATTCTTTATCTAATGATCTAAATCAAGCTTTAATATCTGTTAAGCTATGTTTCTGATTCACAAAGTTAAAAATTGACAGATGGGAGCAGCATTCCCTGGACAACAACACCCAATGATGTATAATAATACAACACAGCTTAGTCCAAATCAAACATATTATTCTCCAAATAGTCCACAGGTTTGTTTATTGCTATAAGAGCCATGACGTTAAAACTCTTTACTCATTCTCTCTATTGAAAGACTGAAATTTGGAATCAATGTTAACAGTACCCACAACAGATGATGGTTACTCAACAGAGACCAGTCTTGTTCATGCCGCCAACGCCATACCAACCGGTTTACTACTTTCCTCATAATTCTTGCTTTGTCTTTTTACAAAAAAAATGCTCAAAAGAGTTAGATTTTGCTGACACCTTTGATCTTATGGCAGGAGATGCCATACAAAGGAAGAGACTCTTATTAGCTTTTGGCCAAAACCGTGGCTGGTGGTGGTGGCTGGCACAAGGGAAGGTCTCGAATATTCTGATGGAATTGGTTTCATTTAATTTACTTTATTTTATTTATTTCAAGCACCGAATCTTTTCATTTTTATTTAATTATTTTTAATTTTTAAAATGATGAAATATGGTGTGATGGTTCTTGTGAGAAGAATTGAACACAATTTGATGTGATGGTGATTTAGTTTGTTTAGGTATTAGACTAGATTTTACATTAGATTCTTGCTGATCTCATTTCTTTATTCACTTGTGTCTCTCTATTCAAACTTTAACGTTAAATCTTTAGATGTATGACATATTCTGCGTTAAGTTTTTTTATTTATATAATAAAGCAGGTTAGGTAGGAAAAAATACATTTTCTTTTAAGTTAAATATAATTAAAAGAAAAATCAACGACTGTAGTTCAATCTTACATATACGTGTTAAGACATGGTAGGGAAAAAGTGAAGTGTGTCTATGATTGGATTTGAAAGCGTGCTGTTTAAAATTTGGATTTATTAGATTAATAATGGGTTTAGTCTTGTCTTGTCTTATTATGCGTATTAAAAAAAAGTCATTTACTCATCTTATTGCGGTGAGTTAAGGATCGAGGTTAGGGGAGATTCGAAATATTAACTTTGTCGTGTTTGAAAATATTAATTAGTAAGTCTATAAACATAGGTTAATCAAAATAATTGATTTCTAAGAACTTCTAGATTCTGTCGATGATATAGTAATAATATTTGAAGTAACACCTGTAACCTCCCTCTATCGAAGCATGATAGTTACGCATTTCTTTTCTCTAAAGCAAATAAGTGTACGTAGCAAACAAAATTATATCTTCCCCACAATACATAAGTCTCATTTTACTTCAATACTCTAGTAAAAAAAAAAGAGTCGTTTTATTGAACTAACAAAAGTTATCCAACAATTATAGAAATGTTGCTGTTGACAAAAAAAATTAAAAAAAATAAATAGAAATGTTGCTATACTAATTATTTCTTTTGAAGTTTTTTAGTTGTTTTTTTTGTCTTCCTTATAATTACTATTCAGAGTTGTGGATTAAATGCGGAGAGATACTGCAGAAACTACGATTCATTGCTTTGTGTTGGGGAAGCTGCATCAAGAAATGTGAAAAAGGGCTCTTCGCTTTGCTTTGCTTGACTTGCAATAAATATCAATTACCCCAACTACAAAAATAAATAAAATATTTAGTTTATTCGCTTAAATGCAATATTGATTGCGCTATAAAGAGATGTTGACAACCTTCCACTTCAACTTTTGCTTTAAAAAAAAAAAAAAAAAACACAGATGTTCTTAAACAAAACAAAACAAAACAAAAAAAAGACAGAAAAGTAAAAGTACGTTTAGATAATACCAAAAATGTTTAAGAATTCTGCACATTTTTGTTATAAAACAATGGTGGAATAGGATACTTAAAACACCCTCTATATTTTCTTTTTAAACTTTGAACCTTGTTATATATATACTGAAAAGATTCGTATAGGAATTGATAAAACATCACTTACTCACTCGGTTATATTTTATATGTTGTTTAAGGTTTTAGCATATACAATCAAAAATTATTTAGTTTTCTGTTTTTCTATTTTAAACTATATTTAATTATCTATTTAAAAACAATCCAACCAATAAAAAAACAAACTACAAAATTTCAGGAGTCAAAAACAATAACATAATAATAAATTTTACGTTAAAAATTGAAACAACAAATAAAATGAAACAATTTTTCTTGTTTAAACATCTTTGAAATAGATGAAATATTTTCCCTACAAACTACACAAAACAAAACATGTAGTCGACTAGTAGCTGCTGTGATGGATGAAATATTTAAAATATACTGAATTTTAATATTTGATATCACAGTTTTACTAACATATATTTTAGAGGCATTATCAGAAGTATCACATTTTGTTTTCAAAAAGACCACAAAATATTTAATAGTTTGTGAAAGAACGACTTTATTTAAAAATGTCAAAAATATTCAATTTTTTTCTTTTGTATTTCCTGTCTTCTATTTTTTCTTCCTAATATTTTAATATCATTTATATATTTAGATATATTTTTAGCCTTATCTAAATTATACACGTATCACATTTCATAATTCATATCTATCTTTATTATATTATTTTTTCAATTGTTGCCTACATATTTCTATATAATGTTTTTTAATAAAACTAAACATGCGTCACGATTTGAAAATTATATGACACTACGTGACACGATTTGATTCGATATATTTAATTTTGAAACATAAACATTTATAAATAAAGATAAGAAAAATACCACAAATAGAAATGTCAAAATCTGCAAAAAAAATATTATAAATGGAAACAACAAATATATTAAAAGGAACTAACTAATACTTTGTGTGTGAATAAATATGCATTTGTTGAGAGAAGAAAAAACATAATAAAAAAAAAAAGTGAAAAGGAGTCAAGATTAGTCTTTTAAGCCATAGCCAATACCCAATTTGCAGAGACAGAGGAAGAGAGAGAGGAACGAAAGAAACAACCATGTTCTGAGGAAGGAGACATGCATCATCATCATCATCATCAAGCATCATAATCTTATTACTTAACTTCTCTTTCTCTCCATCTTTTACCAAATCCAAAACACCAAAGGTCTCTCTCTCTCTCTCTTCTTGCTCGTTTAATTTATTTGGTAGTGTGTTATGATTTGGTTGCTCAGTTTTTACTTCTGATGATGTAATTAAAAATTTCAATTTTTTGAGTTATGTGAGAAAAAAATGTTTTTGCTTTCTCTGTTTGCTTGGATCAGTAAGTCCAAAGAGATTTGATGAGCTAATTCTTCTGTTCAAACCCAGAAATTTAATCTTATGCAAAAGCTTTTGTGTTTGCATGTTCTGTAAGTTTTAGCTATGTTCAAAGTTTGAATCTTTAGAACCCTTTAAATCATTTGACCAATCTTACTGTGTGATTGAACTTAGAATCTGTGTTTTAGGATGGTTTTTGTAATCTTTTTGGTATAATTTCTCTCTTGGATTTGTTGATTTTGTGGATCATGAACAAAATTTTGATGTAATAATATATTGATTCATGATTGGACTTGTTGGTTTAGGCATTTAGTTTATTGAAGTAAAGATTTGAAGACAATGCAAGTGTTTCAAAGGAAAGAATCATCTTGGGGAAACTCACTAATGCCAACAAATTCAAATATTCAAGGATCTGAATCTTTTAGCTTGACAAAGGATATGATGATGTCTACAACACAATTCCCCGGGACGAAACATTCGGGTTTGCAGCTGCAAGATCAAGATTCAACCTCATCACAATCTACTGAAGAATCAGGCGGCGTGGAAGTTGCAAGCTTTGAAGAACATAACCGTTATGGATGCAGCATTGTTAATACCAATCACTCAGGTTAAACGAATAAACTTATTTGGACATTAGTCGACTTACCGATAACCTTCTTAATTTTGTGGGTTTCTTCTTGTCTTTGGTTGATGCAGGTTACATCGAAAACCCGGGAAAGCCTATTGAAAATTATACTAAGTCAACTACTACCTCGTCGATGGTGTCTCAAGATTCTGTGTTTCCTGCTCCTACTTCTGGTCAAATATCTTGGTCTCTTCAATGTGCTGAAACATCACATTTCAATGGTTTCTTGGCTCCTGAATATGCATCAGCACCAACGGTAATATACTGTGAAGCCTTGTGCTTTCACAATTCTGAATCGATGTGGTGCATTGATTGGTTGATTGGGAATTCGTTTTGCAGGTGCTGCCACATTTAGAGATGATGGGCTTGGTTTCTTCAAGAGTGCCATTGCCTCATAACATTCAAGAGAATGAACCAATATTTGTCAATGCGAAACAGTATCATGCGATTCTCCGTCGCAGGAAGCACCGTGCTAAACTCGAAGCTCAGAACAAACTCATCAAATGCCGTAAAGTATGAATCTTTTCACTTTCCCATTTTGCCTAAAACACCAAAGAGAGAGGGAACAATAACTCAGAAGACCTTGATGATTTGATGCAAGGAGTGAGTAACAAAGTTTTTTTTTTTTTTTTCTATAGCCGTACCTTCATGAGTCTCGCCATCTTCATGCTTTAAAGAGAGCTAGAGGCTCCGGTGGACGTTTCCTCAATACAAAGAAGCTTCAACAATCCGCAAACTCACTGTGTTCTTCTCAAATGGCAAATGGACAGAATTTCTCTATGAGCTCTCGCGGTGGTGGAAGCGGAATCGGGTCTAGTTCGATCACACCGAGCTCCAATTCGAACCATATCAACATGTTCCAAAACCCGCAGTTCAGATTCTCAGGTTATCCGTCAACACACCATGCCTCAGCTCTCATGTCAGGGACTTAAGGCACCTGAGAAGGATCTTGCTCTGGGAGAACTGCGGCAACTGGTGATGATATATGACGGGAAGTCATCCTTGGCTACTTTTTGTTATCGGTTCTTTACAAAATTTCTTCCTTTAAAACTTTGCTTTTATATCCTCTGCAATCTCTCACTCTATATAGAGTGGCTTGAAGAACTTTCAAATCATTGTCAAACTATTTTGTTAATTAAAACTTTCCGATTCTCTGAGAGTACAAATTGCATTACCCTATTAGGCTATTACATACAATGAGAGAAGATTCAGAGTCATTAAGAGTAATATACACGCATAGATCCCCTAATGCTCTGGAGACAAACTGGACACTTAGGGTTTAACTCTCGTTCCACGGTTGAAGCACATACCCTGCAACATACTACATGTCCACAGGGAATAAACGCAGGTATTCTCCTTCTTGTCACGCAGATCACACACAATTCTCCATCTGGGATTTCATCTGCATCTTCGGGTTCATCATCGACCACAGGTTCGTTTGGTCTCTGTGGCAGGCCTCTCTGATGGTTCCATTGTTTCCATTTATTCCAGGTCCTGAAGATACGAAAGTGAAACAGATTTCAAATCAAAACGTTGCCCAAATCTAAAACTAAATCGGATATCTCACAACTCCAGTACCTGACAGCAGCATAGCTAAGGATGCCAACAGACACAATGCCCAAGATAACACTGCCAAAGAATATAAAGCTGGTCTGATCCATAAGGTCCTCAATCATCTTGTCCTTGGTCATCTCTGATCTGCAAAGATTATTCAAAAATATTTACATATGAACAGCAATAGAGCCTTTTTGCAACAATGGACTAAGTATTGTCAAATGATCAACATATTGAGAAAACAAAAAGAAGAAGATGAAGTAGTAATTTGAGCTAGAATGCAGGCAGATATATAAATTCGAAAAGTATTCAGATAAAATATCACAAGAAATAAGGAAGATCTTGGCACGATTTGATTTCAGGAACTCCATTATGAAAACTGCAGATGCCAACAGCTGTTATATCTTTCCCAGGAGGTAAAATCTTCTCTATATCAAGCAGACCGACCTTGGAAGAGAAAGGATTACAAAAGTTAGTAAGGAATTGGCCAAGAACAAGTAACCATCAGTAGTCCTCAAAACCAGAAATGTCTTTGAATACACATACTCACAGGATAATCAGGGAACAAAAAGGCTTGAAGAAACGAAGAATTAATAGGCTGCAAGCGATTATACACAGTGGTAAGCGGAAGAGGATGCCTTGAACCATCCATGTTAACATCGAGAAAACTAGACTGCGATTGTTGATCCTTTCCAACAATGACAAATGGGACCTGCACAAAGCCAAGTTTGATCATGGATAGAGAGCCAAAGTTGAAAGCTCTGAAGCTGATAAAGCGCGGAGGGAGGCACTGTTTACCGTTCTCATAAAATCAGCTCCGTGTTTGCGCATTGATCTCTCCAACATAAACCGGTGACCAGTTGACTGAAACAATCTCTTCCATCCACTATATACATACTGTGAACAACAAAAATGATGACATTAGAAACATACATTTCCCTTCTCAGATCACAGCAGCACCAACTATTGCTAACTTAATCAATCACAACGAAAACCTAACCATGAAGAAATCATTCAACATAAAGCAAAATTAGGTCAATGTCAATTACAATTTGAGAGAAACATAAACACTTAGGGTTTAGGCCAACGTACAGTTTGCGTTCTCTGGATGATAAGAGCTTTATCTCCAGTCTCCGGAGAGATTAACACGTTGTTGTTCTTGTGACTCTCATCTCCGGAAAATTTTGGTTTCACGACTCCGCGAACCACAACGATTTTCTGATCATGGCTGGTCCCATGATCGTTAGTCTCAGATTTGTCTTCAGAAACTGGAAGCAGTGATCGGAGATCGGCAACGGAGACTTCGGGTGCTTCTTTGATCTTGTTCAACGCCGCGTTGGTAGAGGCATACTTGAGAGCAGAACCGACGGCGCTAATAGCTAAGGTCAGTCCGAGGATTGCGCCGTCGAAGGAGAGAGCGATGTCCGTCAATAGATTCAAGAGAGCACGCTCCGGCGAGGACATAGTTGTAATTTCCAATTTCAACGTTGTAGACACGGACAAGTAAAGAGAAGAGAGACGAGGCTATTATCGGTATTTAAAAATATACATTCGACCGTCGTTCTAATTTGGGTCTTTAATGGGCCTATGCACGAGTGAAATACTAAAAACTTAAATTCCATTTATACCCTAACGTTATTGCAGATTTACAAAGCAAAACCATAAATATCAGATCTAGAGTGAGAGAGAGAGATTAGTCTTTCCGATTCCTCGCCGCCGTTCATCTATACTTTCTCCGATTCGTCACTATACAAACTCCACCGGAACTTCCTCTTTCTTTGCCGGAATCATCACCCCAAGCCGAAGATCCACCACCGGAAACCTCTACTCCTCCAGCCAAAGTCGAAGTAATTTCTCCAATTTTCCCTTTTGCAACATCAAAATTAATTTCTAATGTTTTGCTTTCTGGGTTTTTTCTCTTTAATCTCTATTGTGGGTTTTTTGAGTTTTGGCTTATGGCTGATTCTCTGTCAAATTTCAGAAGAATGAGATTCAGAGTTTAACCTCGGAACACATCAACAACTCCGAGCTAGTTCCTCCTCATATCTTAACAAGCCCTTCTTCTTTCCAAGGTTTTAATTTCTTACATTTTGAACTTGGTTCTTCATGTTCTGCATCAAATTGTTGCTCTTTGAGCTTGGTTTTGGGTTTTCGTGAGCATCAAATCATTGCTCTTTGAGCTTGGTTTTGGGTATAGAGACTCATGCATCAAATCATTGCTATTTGAGCTTGGTTTTTGTGATTATTTCGTGAGCTTATTTTGATGTGTCTTTCTAAGACAAGGCTCATGTTCACTTAAAAGTTCTCTACTAATGTACAATCCGCATGTTCACAATTAAATCTAGTTAAAACTTGTTAATCTATAAATGGTATCCTTTGATAATTGTTTCTTCATATTTATTGTTGGTACCAACCAGTGTCTGGCTCTATGTCAAACTTGACACATACCAAGTATGCATTGTTATCTGCTCTTTCCCCTACAAATACTCTTTACTCTGTTGTGTTTATCCTAATTCTCTGTTAGCTCACTATATGCTCATTATAGCCAATATTCTAAAAGAAGTCATCTTTAAATTCAAGTAAACAGTTTGAGTTTGTTTTTATGGGTTATCTCCATTTAGGCTACTGTATATGACTTTGATCTTGTGGGTTCTAGTGTTGTGAATTACTTATATGAATGCTTATTATTGTTTAAAAATTCTGGAGCAAAATTGGCTTAGTTCATCTTTTGTATAGAATAGTATAGAGATTAGTATCATGAACGGTTATAGAACCACTTAAAGAACGTTTGGTTTCTCTCTCAGATATAGTTCATGTGTCTTCTTTTTGCAAGTTTCAAACATGGTTGTTGTTCGTCCCGCGTTAGGTATTTATCGCCTCTTTATGGCTTGTAATCTTGTGTTTTGGAACTTCTTGATGAAGCTAGGTTAGAATCTGCTTTTTCTTTCTTATGTCTGATTCGTGAAGCTCTAATCCTTATTTATTCGATTTATGTTAATTTGTTACTGTTACAAGATGTTTGCTTGTGAGATTCGATTGAAACTTGTGTTTTTGCAACATCAAATCTGTGTAAGAAAGGTTCTTAATAATTGACTCTGTAGCTTTACTTTTTTTAAGTTTGTTTAGGGATAAAAATGGCTGGAGAAGGTGAAGAAGATGTACCTAGAGATGCTAAGACTGTGAAATCTTTGCTTAAGTCGATGGGTGTAGAAGACTACGAGCCTCGTGTGATACACCAGTTTCTGGAGTTATGGTACCGGTATGTGGTCGAAGTCTTGACAGATGCTCAGGTTTACTCAGAGCATGCTAGCAAATCCAACATTGACTGCGATGATGTGAAGCTCGCTATTCAATCCAAAGTTAATTTCAGCTTCTCACAGCCACCTCCAAGAGAGGTTAGCATTGTTGACGATTCCTTGTTTCTTCTGTTTCACGATATGATTTGGTAGTTGCTATGTGAATCATTAGGGATTTATCACTCTTAGTTATGACTTGTGAACTGTGACCCTCTTGCCACATAAGTTGCATTGCTGAGAACTTTAAATGTTTTCGTTTTTCAAATTCATGCCCTTTGGTTCCTGAATCTTGAAGTTTTTGTTTTTGATGTTTGATTTAGGTTCTGCTAGAGCTTGCTGCAAGCAGGAACAAGATCCCTCTGCCAAAATCGATAGCAGGACCTGGTGTTCCACTCCCACCTGAACAGGACACATTGCTGAGCCCAAATTACCAGCTTGTGATACCGAAGAAGTCAGTTTCCACAGAACCTGAAGAGACTGAGGACGATGAAGAAATGACAGATCCTGGACAGTCCTCTCAAGAACAACAGCAGCAACAACAACAAGCATCAGACCTTCCAAGCCAAACTCCTCAAAGGGTCTCTTTTCCACTCTCTAGACGACCCAAATAAGTAGATAGACAAAAAGAAAAACTATAATGTTATGAGTCAACAAGTAGAATGTAACAGAACCAAATATCAATGACCAAAGTCAGTTTTTGTTTTTGTGGACCATGTGGTATCAAGAAGTAAGTAGAATGTAACCTCATTGAGGGTCTCTTATTTTTAGCTCTTAGCTTTTTTTTAAACTAAAATTTTGTTTTTTCAAAGTTAAGAACTCATTGGTTCTTAAGAAAAAAATTCAAATGTTTGCTAAATAATGTCTTTATGTACAAGCAATCATAGAAACAAGATTACTATGTTTGGAACCAAAACAATTCATACAAGAAGATGATACAAGCATTCATAGAAACAAGAAGAAGTTGTACAAGCATACCAAAACAATTCAGAGAAGATGCTATGTTTGACAGTCCAAAAAAAAACCTTAATAGCAAAAGAAAGCATTAGCTTATGACAGTGAAATTACAGAGAAACTAAACAAAGAATGATTCACTAACAGAGGAGATAAGTTTTAAGCTTTCTCTTGGAAGCTGCCATGAGTAGAACAGAGGAAACTTCGGTTGGTTGAGTCGTTGGAATCTGCTCCATGGTTTCTCAAGGTTGCAGATTCCTACGGATCATACATTTTAACTTTCAAAACGACAAAACCATTAATCATTCCTACGTATTGCTCTGGTTATGGATCAAATTGAACAATGCATACATAAACGAAGATAAATCTCTTTTTAACAGCATGTACTAAACAACATATGTTTCAATGTCATTTTTATCATAAAAAAAAATGTTATATAGAGAGGGTTACCAGAGATAAGGGAACGAGAACAGTGGCCATTATGAATGTGTAGATTCTCAGCAAATGAACAACCTCTAAGAACAGATAAACTGGGAATCATGAGGGCACAGATGATCATAGAATTGTGAAGTGAGAGGAAAACGTACAACGAAACGATGATGGCAGCAATGATAAGAGTGTGGCGTCTCGACAAACACAGGGGTATGTATATCACTAAAAATGATTGATAACATGCATATCCAGAAGATGGCACACAAGGCACCCACGATTGATAACATGCATATCCAGAACAATTAGAGTCTGTTCATGATGTCACAAAGCCAAAGCTCATGAAAAGTCAGAAACCTAAGAATCAGCTAAAATTCACTTAAGAGCCTTGCATTGAGGATGGTCTAAGAGAATCAAATATTATTGACCAGAGTCAGTTTTTGTAGAGCATATGAGCATATATATACACTGTTGTGTGGGAATCAACAATACCAAAGGTACAACAAATCTTCTGAAGCATTACTATATATGCAACTATAGTATATATACATGAACAAAGAGAATCTGTTAGCTTCCCCAGCCAACCATGGTACCAGCAGCTGCACGGTGAGGGCGTGAAAACGCAAGCCCTCGATCATACATTCGTTGAATCTCTTCTCTGTATTCAGTCAGAGACTTGTCAGGTATGGCTGGAGTCAGCTCCACCACATCTCCCATCTTCAGCTTGCATTTCAGATCACTTACAGGTGTCTGGTTTAGTCTTGGCCTTAGCTCTTCCTTTGCCGGGATGCTGTACATTGACCATCTCGAGCTCCCTGGTCCTGCTCTGCTTAACAGGTCCGAGACTGTGGAATTCGCGGGAAACTCTTGCACAGTCATCTGCATTTTCGGGTTTATCAAATTATAACTCCAAGCAAAGAAACATCCTCAATGGGAAGAATTTGAAGGAATAATAACTAACCTTCTCATTTTCGATTACAATGACATAGACTGGTCCTTCTTGGTTACCATTAGGCTTATATGAAAACGGACAGTCTTCAGCGTGAGACGGGAAACTGCACAAAGGCTCGGAAGAGCAGATCGAGGATCTATCTTTGCTCATTGTTTCGAAATGCCAGGTCACGACCCATCTTGCCCATTCAACCATCTGAAGCACAAATGATGAATGCTTGCAGTCACCTTCCTTGTATCTCCAGTGAGCTGCAAACCCAAATTCAGCTTGCAAATGCATCTCCTTTGTTCGTATTTGAACTTCAAGCGGAATAGTTCCATCACCCATTACTACAGTATGCAAAGATTGGTACCTAAAATTCCAAAAGCCCAAAGTTAGATAATGATTAGAGAAAGAAGAAGCCTGCATCATCTTAAGCTACAACAGGTTTGCAGAACCTACCCGTTGAACTTGGGATGAGAAATGTAATCTTTCAGCTTTCCAGGAACTTCAGACCATAGCTTGTGAACTACTCCTAAGGCCTTGTAACAATCTTTCTCATTGTCAACAATCAAACGTAAGCCATGAATATCATGGATTTCATCCATGGTTAGCTTTTTCCTGACATAAAATGAGGTTTCAGTATTCCGGTTCTCTCTATTATCTTAGTGAAACCGATAAACCAGTAAGCACCTTCGAATAAAGAGGAAGTGAGAACTTACTTCAACATCTTGCAGTAGATACTATACAAGCTCTTGTGTCGTCCAGATAGAACATGGTACGGAATGCTTTCTTTCTTAAGCGCTTGCTCCAATTTCCCAATCGCGGAAGTAATCATAGCTTCATTGAATGAATCCTCAAGCATATCAGACATCTCATGGTGCTGATCAGGATAGAGATGCTTGAAACACATATTTTCAAGCTCAACTTTCCAGCTAGAGATTCCCAAACGATTAGCCAAAGGCGCAAATATCTCCAGAGTCTCTTTAGCAAACCTTTGCTGCTTCACTGGTGGTAAAGCATAGAGAGTCATCATGTTGTGTAACCGATCAGCTAACTTTATAAGAACAGCTCTCGCGTCTGCCATTGCAAGAAACATAGTGTGCAAACGATCTGCCTCAACGGTTTTACAAGCCGTATTGTTTTCCCGAGCAAGTTTACTTAATTGGCTAAGCTTAGACACCTAATGCAATAAGAAGACAGAACTCAATTAAATCCTCAAGTCTCAACCATTAAACATGCTTTAGCTCAAACACAATCATTGATGTTTCTTAACTTACCCCTTCCACAAGATCAGCAACTCCTGATCCAAAAGTTCTGAGAATATAATCATAGCTCATAAACGAATCGTCTAAAGTATCATGTAAAATTCCAGCTACAACAACAGTCGAATTAGCTCCGATGTCAGCTAACAACATCGCAGTCTCAACACAATGTTGCAGGTAAGGATCACCATTTGCTCTCATCTGATACAAATACATCAATTAGTAAATCAAACCAAAATTATCGAAACCATTGTGAGATATAGTTCTTCTTGTTTCACACACCTGTCCTCTATGAGCTTTCTCAGCTTCGTAAAATGCTTTGATCACAGATTCATCTTCGAAGATTTTATGTTTCAATTGAGCACGCCTAAGCAAATCCCTAGCATATGGTTGTCTTCTTTCTCCTTCGAAACCATCGTCCATGGTAAACGGTAGCTGCTCATCAACGAGAACAGAGTCTGTATCGTAATCAACACAAGAACCTATCGCTTTCCTGACGAAACCATTGAACAACCTGCTAGATCCTACACGAAGAGAAGATCCACCATCTAAGTTCCGATCGCGTGAAATCCTCATCGGAGGACTGTTACCAGATGAAATTGGACCATGAAGCACCGAGACAGGGCTTTGGTGATCTCGTTTAAGATATGAAGAACCGATGAATTTGCTCGGAGAATAACAGAAGGATCCGCTTAAAGTCCGATCCTCGCTTCGATCATGACGTATCGAAGCTAATTCCTCTCCTACCGTTGGATGCGATGAGGAAGAAGACGACGATGATTTCACGGAAGCGCCGGAGAAAAGCAAAGAGAGACCTCCTATAGTCGGAGAACTCGTGGAAGAAGACGCCGATGAAGATCTAGAGTTCAGATCGAGATCACAAGAGATATGAGCGTTGATCTGGTGAGCTGTGGAACATACAGTGCTCGCTGGACTCGCGTAAAGCGCTATGGTCGTTGCTACCACCATTGAAAACACAAATCAAAACGAAACCCTAAAGAATTTTCTGATTTTTGAAATTCTGGAATTGAATCCAAAGCTTCGTCAATTTTCCCGAGAAACAACGAATTTTCCTTAGAAAAACAAACAGATCTACGAACGAATCGATCTAAGTATATATACAATTTCTAACACGAAATTGAAAGGGGAAATTCTAAATAAATCACAGAAAACGAAGAGATTGTGAGAGAGAAATTGAGAATTTTTCTTCTTCTACTTTATAAATGGGAAGAAACTAGAAAGAAACCAATCTAATCCTTGGTGGTGTTCTTATTCGCCCGTTAAATCCAGCAATCGAGGCGAAACTGAGCAAAGCAAATTACTTAATTACCCTTTTTGTTTAACTAGAGGTTACTACTTTACTTAATTAAGATGACGATTATTTTGTTATGAATGTCGTTATCCATTTCTGATTATGAAACTATAAATAACTATTTTTTGGGTACTTTTTGCGATCTATGATTCATCACACTATTCTAATATTTCAAATTTAAAATTTGATTACAGTTTTTGCGAAATATTTTAAATTGCGCATTTTTTTGAAAAATATCTAGAAATTTGGAAAAATCAGCAAATGGTCGGAAGTGGGATCCACTGTGTGATTCTAATGTTTTTTGTCTGGTTGGGATTTGTTTGATTCAATGAATCTATTTGCGGATGAGGAATCCCTATTTTTTTTTTCTTTTTCTTTTCTCATTTGAAACAAAAATGTTACAAACTCTTAGACCAAGTCCAGCAAGGGTTTTTAGTGGGTTTCTATGTTGGGTTTCTAAGATAAAATGGGCCCAGATGAAAGAAAAACAGAACAATCCATTTAGGATCGTTCCTAAAATTGGGATTTTCGCGACCCAATAGAAACCCATACGTGGCTTCAGTTTATTGGGTAAACTTTTTGACTAAAAAAAAAAAAAAAAAACACGCGTTTTAATTTTTTTCTTCTTCTCTCTCGTTTCTTCGTGTTCGCCGACGGAGACTCCAAAGGCAATTGCTTCCCAAACGTCGATCTAGTGATTTGTTCATGAAATCATGACAGATTCAACCACGGGATGATGATCGAGCTGGAGTTTGTTCCCCAAATCGATTCTTCGAACCAAATCGAAACCCTCATCATGGTTCGTATCTCTTCTTCTTCGATTTGATTTTATGAGCTTTGAAATTGAATTTTGAAAGAGATTATGATCTGATTGCATTGGTATGTATATTGAATTACGAATTCTGGAAATTTTTAGTTCGTGTACTAAGCTTGAGCTGCATATGTTGTTATTAGCTTGTTCTTAGTTTTCTATATGTTTGCTTGATTCTCAGTGAAGTCTTATTGTTGTTTCTATATTAACATAGAAATTTCAGATTTTTATGTGTTTGTTCTGTAGCTTTGTTTGTACCTATATCCTTTAAAGAAAAACTTACGGATTCAAGTATATGTTTTCTTGTGGTAGATAGAGGAGCATTATGTGGCTCAAGGTTTAAGTATTGTTGGATACTTTCATGCAAACGAGAGGTTTGATGATGTTGAGCTCTGTGGTGTGGCTAAAAACATTGGTGTGGCTAAGTTTTATGTTTAAGTGTATGACTATGTTAATCAATGAGTTGTTTCAGTTTATGAGTTTGAGTTGTTTCAGTTTCAGTTTCATGTTGTTTTCAGTTTCAGTTTGAGTTGTTTCACTTTCAGTTTCATGTTTGAGTTCATGTTTGAGTTCATGTTTGAGTTCATGTTGTTTCAGTTTCACTTTCAGTTTCATGTTTGAGTTCATGTTGTTTCAGTTTCACTTTCAGTTTCATGTTTGAGTTCATGTTTAAGTCTTATGTTTCATGTTTATGTTTGAGTTCATGTTTTAGAAACCCACTTAAGGATTCCACCAATGGACCATAAAATTTTCAAAAACTCTACAAAATCTCTAAACTACAAAACTATCAAAATTTATTAATAAAAAATACATAGAAACGTTACTTAGAAACTAATCGCTGTGGTTGCTCTTACGTCCGTTGATAAAGGAAAGTCCTCAAAATAACATTTTTTTCTGTAACAGTTACAGAGATAAAGAAAATTGAAGAATCATTAAAAACTAACATAAAATGTGATTTTTTTTCTATATGTAGAAAGTTATACAATAATTAAGTTTATAAAAATAAATCATCAACTTTTTGTCAAAATTTATCTCATGGTATTACTATTACGTAAGGACAATATAGACATTTCAGTAATTTGGCTTCTAGGCCTAAGTTATACTAGTAAATGCCAACTTTTACTTCTTCACGAATTCTTTCATTTTTGATAAGGACACCGACGAACTCTCGAAGAAGAACCATCACTTGCCAAAAAACATTTGCCACGTGGCTTAAGAGGACGGAGTTAAACAAGACACGTGTCTTAATTGGTGGCCAAGTTTTACATTTGTATGCCAGGTCAGCATCTACACTCATGGCTCAGCCTCCGTGACTTGTGGGAATCGTTTACCCTATAAATCAACGGTCTTATTTGAGTCTTGCCATTAAATCACAGCCGTTAAAACTAATCACGACAATATACTGTTCTTACTTCTTAAACGATCTCAAGTCAAAAATATCAACACCTGTTTCTGTATTTGACTTTCGATGGAATGCAACAAAAAAATCATTTGGTAAATACATCAATTTAATAACTTTTCTAACAATTTTCATGTCTAAATCAAGTCAAATTAGACCTCATTATTGGTCGGAAAATGAAAATGTCATATGCACATGAGTTTCTGTATATAAACGTGTAAATAAGCAGTAACTATATGATCTCTTCTTCTACTTTTGGTTACATTGGAAGAAACGTTCAATTACTTGAAAATTTATAAAAAGGAGAGGTGATTTTCCAAAAATAAAACAAAAATTAGAAGTGGTTACGTTAGAAGCAAAAGTGTTAAGAGGCAACGTGCAAACTTTAGCCACCACGTGGAACTTCTTCTCTTCCACGCAACCACGTAAATAACTAACGTACCATTCGTCACAACGTGTTCATTTCCGGTTTAGTCTGTAATTTAATGGTCTAGCTTGAATTGGTTTTGTTTCTGTGGACCGGTGGTGATCTTATGGGCTTTTTCTCACCAAAAAAGAAACGCATAACGAGCGAACTTTTAGGCCCAGTTTTATTGCGTTGGGCTATTAGTCTAGCGGATTTATGAGATCCATAGGGCAAGCGTGAAGGCTTTTGGTAGAGAAGATACTCTAGGGTTGAAGGGTTCCATTGGCATTTCTGAGAGCAGTGAGATTCAGTTGCAAACGATGAAATGCTCTATTCAGCTGCAAACGATGGTATAACATGCAAGGCGATATCCGGTGGTCATGATGCATGTATGATTTTAGGGTTTGTTTTATGAGCGTCAATCTCCATGTAATCCACGTCAAAAACATTGACGATCCATCTACAAAGAGAATAGGTAAGAAAGAATAATCATGATAAGTCTTGATATCTAATTTTACTGCGAGGCTTATTGTTATGTGTCACTAAGGAACAACACTAGGCTCGTGGTTTGGAACCCGCGTTATGGGTAAACCAAATATAATAACCAAAATTTAGATAGGTATGCTCTTGGATATATAATGACAACAAAATTTATTTGCCAACTCCATGCATTAGACAAAAGTGTACGAGAAATTAGAGGTTAGTAGCATAGAAGATCAGTTTTATTTGGGCTCCTCAGAGACCCGAACAAAAGGCAAAGAAACAGTGAACAACAGATTTAACTTACGAGTTCTATACTTCAATACTTCTATTACTTGTTTCTTAGAGCAGTTCCCAGAGTAATTTTTTTCTAGGATTTAAATAATAAAAAGTAATAGAAAAGTATGAGAAAGAAAGAGATATGATTCTCGTCTGAAAACCTGCTGAAAAACTTCATATAACATGTAGCACTATATAACATATCAAATTCGTTTTAATTATAATCAAAAATATAACTAAATAACTAAATTATATATATGAAAATGATTTAAATAGTATATATGAGAAATCGAGAAGGATTCTGAGCGTCAAAGATGAGCTTAATTTCTAGCAGATGTTTTACATTCAAATGTGGAAAACTGAGTATTAATTCAAGTTGGTAGTGGTGGTATACTAGTAATATGTAAGCATAGAGATTCTCGAATCTAAAGCAATCGTCCAAAGTCCAAATAAGTGTTTAAATATTCGAATTTTATGGGGAAGCGACGAGTTTGTCATGTAAGAACAGAGTACAGTATCAATATAAGATCTGAATATCAAATGATAATTTATTTAATAATTCGCATATAGTCTGATATATGATTGCATTTCCAGCAAGTCATGCCACCTTGACTCAATCACTTAAAATACAAGATACCTATCTCATCTCATTCCATGATCAATCACGTTACCAAGCCCCATATATACATTTATACAAGTGTTTGTAATGTGATATTGTAATAAGAAAAACGTTGTTGCAGAAAAAAAGAAAAATTCATTTCTTTACTTATTCTCTTATCTTTATCAAAGTAGTATTGACTGTATTGTACCTACTTTATATGTAAATCCCTCACTATTGGTGTTAACTTGTTCGCTTGATGTGATGTATGATATATATACTTTGTAATAGATAGAGAAAGACTATATTGAATTGCAGATTTTCTAACATAAGATTATAATTAAAACATTTTGCATATATAGATCATTTACAGTTTATGAAATGTTATTTTGTTTAATATGTATTGATTTAACAAATCGTAAATAATAAAATATATAACCATATACTGATAACAGTTTCATTTTCCAGAGATGATTCCAAAAAAGAAGAAATAACAATAAAATAAAATAAAATAGTTATAAGATACAACAGCAAAAGTAATACAAAGTTACAATGAAAATAATATTTGGCTATACAAGAAAATACCGTGCTCGGTCATGGACTGAAAAAGAAGAGAAAGAGAGACCTAAACCGGGAACCGCAAACGCAGCCGCTTCAACCGCCATTCGCTGCTGAATCGCTTCAAGCTCAGCTCCTGCGTCTACGAACTCTTTTATCAAATTACAATAAAACCCTTTTATCTTCTTTACAAGTCTCACGTAGTGTAGCTTCAACCATCTCAGCTTCATCTTCCTAACCATCTTCTTTAACGAGAATCCGCCACGTGACACCGCATTATTCTTCCCGCCAAGACGTACCACCTGCGACTTACGACGACGGAGATGAATCTTCCGGCGACTCCTAGACCACCGGAATAAGGGTGTTGCGGCGATGCGTGGATCCATTTGGATAGTAAATTTTTGACAAAAAAAGAGAGAGAAAGAGAGATTTGTTATGTTTTAGAGAGGCACATTGAGAAACTAATATATACACGTATATAAAATTGTGTATACGTTTTAGTTTTGGGGTCAGTGGCCTTTCATGTGACATGTGACATTTTTCGTAAGTTAGTACTATTTTATGGTTGTAAATTAATATAATACATTTTTAATAGTTCTTGTTAGTATATGCAATTTTGATTTAAGGGATATGGCCTATATGTCACGACATTTTTGTCATAAAACTCAACTGGACCACACATCAATCTCATATGTATGTATTCTTTCGGATTCTATGTTAAATTACTCTATGTATAAGATAAATAAATACAAAGTTTGTTAAATAATTATACTTGAAAAAAAGAAATAAAGGAAGATAGGGAGAAATTGAAAGGTATATATTAATTTGATTAGAAATGGGCAGCACATTTATGTTTTGGTTTGTTTCCAATAATATTGCAAAGGAAAGACGATTTAGTTATGTAGAGAGCATGAACTTGTTTTCATGTCTTCCCTTTTTGAATCATAAAACAATTTCTGTAATTTTTAAACACTCACATGTCTTCTTATTTTCGTATGTTTTATTACAATTTTGCGATAACAGGAAATTTCAATGATTGAGTGAAGATGAGTCGTTGAGTTTGTCTTCAACTTAATGTTTATTAATTCGATATATATTCTATTGTGGTCCACAAAACATGGTAATATATCATTATCAATTGCATATAAAACTTTAAGTTCGAATACAACTTTAAATCCAAAGAATGATTTTTTTTTTGTGTGAATATAATAACAAAAATTACATATACTAAATTCTCTGTTTTCTTTTTATAAACAAACGATCCTCTATTAGTTTGACAAATCATAAAGTTTCCAATGTTAAACTGGTCAGTAAAAACAACAAAAAGTATATATATACACCCAAAAATAATTAAACACAACCCATATGAGTGTCAGAGTTGTCATTTTGCGAGAACAGAGCAATAAGATATAACATGTTCTTAGATGTCTTGTCCTGAGTTGAGCATATTCAAACACTATTATATAGTACTTATATAATGTTACGAGATTGTGATATATGGTATCAATTCAAAATTGTTAAATATTATATACTATTTCTAAGAGGGTCAAGTGACATAAGCTATGACATAATACGTTTACTTCATGCGCAAGAGAGAAATATACAAATGCATATATAAGTAGACAAGTCTCTACTCTACTACATGACTAACCTTACGCCTTGGTCTCCACGACGGCACATACTTACATTGCTCTTTGGACCCATTTTGTTCTCTATTCACTTAAATGCGAGAGAATCAATTACAGGATGCTATATAATAGTGTAATTTGGAAAATGATATATTTGACTTCTTGTCCTTCTTTCTTTTGTCATTAACTTCTTGTTATTTTCTGTGTGGATTGAGAGTACATATATCCAATACAATTCGTTGCTCAGTGTCCAAATATTTATTAGTTTATAGTATACACAAAGACAAAGTGTATGATAATATAATTGGTTATTGGTTGTTAAACTCGTCTATTCGAGACGCAAATATTGATATAATTTGTTTTCTTCAGCACTTTCTAAAATAAAATAAAAAACTAAAAAAGTATGTTTCTGTGTTAGTGTGTTACGTAACATGAAAATTGAAAATCAGATAAACAATTAATTTTTCGATACGAATATGAATATCTCACTACCTACCATGTGACGATGCACAAGTGGAAGAAAACGAAACAAGTGGGGCAACATTATTGAGTTAATAAAGACTTGGCCCATTTAAACAAGGCCCATTAGTCTCCATTTTCGAATACATTATCCATTTCCATTTGTCCCAATCTACGATCGAGATCTACCACAACGACCTAGATCCAATGGCTCAGATTCATTATCACTTACATCAACATAGTACAAACAACATTTATACTTCAGAACCAGTGGCTAAAATTCTAACAACATGTATAGTAGTATACAATAAGCTGATCTCAAAGCTAGTTACATTGGCGTTTCAAGAAGCCCAAGGTATGAATCCCATGGCGGAGCTGAGCCTGAAAGTGACGAATATCAGATACAGTGTGATCAGACCAATTCCCATCACTTTGTTCGGTCGCATTTCGTGGCGTGGGAGCATCACAAGAGACCAAATCAATCCGAATATTAGAAACCCTAGAGTGTAGAACAAGCTATTGTCCTCAGGGATCATGTATGTCTCTGGACTCTTCGACCAAGCACCAAGAAACATCGACATACCTAACCCAACAAGCGTGTTAAACATTGGACCTGCGTAGCAACCCGATAATGCGATTTGTACGCCATCTCCACCGTTCATGGACAATGCGATGTTCGACACTAAGTCACCCATTGAGTTTCCCCAAGCAAGTACGGTTAGACCGAGTATCGACGGGTTGATTCCGTAGATTCCACCAAATGTAACCAAAAGTGCAACGAGTTCGTTTGCAATCATGTAGAACCATACGATGCTCATGATGAATCCACCGAGTACCCAAGGGATTAAGTATCTTTGAGGTGGACGATCGGGTTCTGTGTTTTTGTACGCGAGATATCCAAGAGTAGATCCAATCGCAGTTCCGATAAAATAGGCTACAATCCGAGCTTGAAAACTCGTATCATCTTGGCTGCTCCAAAGAAAAGAAAGTAGGACAGGAGCCAACGAGACACTAGCCACCGCATACGTCTTTGACCAGCTATCTTCCTCAATCAACGGGATTGTCAACCGTCTAGGAACAGTCAGTGGAGTTTCAAGCAAAGATGTGATTTTAGAACATAATGAGCTCTCGACTTCTGCACCATCTTCGGTCCATCCCCATGGAGGTCTTTCTTCATCATGTACATTGGCTTTTGCGAAATGGTTTGAATAGATGGCTACATTTGTAGCCCACATCCACTGTGGTAGAGAATCATGTAGCCGAGGTGGACCTTCCTCGGTGTCAAGTTCTAGCAACGGGCTGTACATAGGAATATCCTCTTCAACACTTGGGGAGAACACACTTCCCTGCATTGGGAGCAAAGGCGTAATAGAATCCAGCTTCAACCTCCTGGAATGTTTCCTCAAAATCTCATTCGCAGCCACGAGAGAAGCATAAAGGACATAGATCGAGACAAACGCAATGGCGATACCAACAGTCACCTTACCGACCATCAAAATCACCATCAAAGCCACCAATGTGAAAAGGAAGAAACTCAAGTCTCTGATGAAACATTTCTTATCGATCTTAACTTCTTTATCCGCAACACAAAGAGAAACAATCCCAACAACAATACAAGTTACAAACACCGCACCACCCAAGACGCTGTTAAGACCCACTTCCCCTTTATCTGAACCAACAAAAGCAGCTATACTCGCAAACACATCAGGAGCTCCATTACCAAGTGGAAGCAAAGTAACACCAGCAACAGTTGGAGGCAACCTCAAAAGCTTAGAAAGCTTCTCCAACGAACAACAAAAGTAATCAGCAGCAGTATTACCCAACAGATAAAACAAAGCAACAAGCCAAACCCCTAACACTATATAACCCAAGATCTTAAAATCTCTGCAGGAGCAGTAAAAGAACTTGAGGTAATCAAAGAACCCATCTGGAGAACAAATCGGATTTGATTTCAAGAACTCGCATTGATCAACATAACCTCTGTGTTCATGTAACCCAGAGCAAGATACAGTAGTATCACCACTCAAGCTGCTATTACCAGAAGAACCACTCAAATGCCGACGAATTACAGTAAACTGGCTAAACCCATTACTGAATTGACCTTGAGAAACCAATCTTCCACCACTAGAATCAACGAAAGAGAGATTCTTTAACAAAGGGTTCCTGAGTAAATCGCTCTGATCAAAGAAGAAGATGAATAGGATTATAGCACAAAGCCCATTGAAAATCCCTCGAAATTTGGGATTACTCGAGCTATATAGAAAATTCTTAGCTCTCATTCTCGAAATCTGAAGACTTTGAATTCTATAAACACAATAATTTACCCGCCATAGATCATGATGCGTAGTTTATCTGAAAAAAACCACGAATCAGGAAAGGGGCCTAGGGTTTCAAGCAAAGTGAGAATTTTTTAAACCCTAGGATTCTGGACGAGAGTAAATCAAAGGGTTTCAGATGCTCACCGATATGAATCGACGTGATCTCTGATCCCGCACGGAAAATCGATCGGTGAGAATCACTTGTGTCGGAATCTTTAACTTGCTTAATTAGCATCCTAATAGGATTGGGTGGGTTTATTTGACCCGGAAACCAAATGTTGACTCGTTGTAAAAACCAAAGTCAAACGGTTAAGTGTTTTTTTTTTCGGCTTTAAAGTTTGATGGATTCGTTGGAATGGGTTGGTTATGTTTGGTCTGGTTATCAAACATAAAGCAAACCAGCCTATGAAGTAGCAAAGCTCCATGATCTTCCGATTCAGGTTAGGTGATCTTACCCAAGAGTAAACAGCATAAAGGTCTCTGTCTTAATCATCCCTGTGTTCAGGTATTGAAACAGTGAAACTGGTTTATCTGTGGTTCTTGGAATCTACACATCATCATAATACATATTCTAGATGCTCTATACGAATCCACACATATTTTAGAATGGTATGCATACAAAATAGATTTTTTGTTATTCGTGCGATAAGAGATGTGACTTAACAATAGGACCTCTATCAGCTTCAAGAGTGAGGGTTTGGAATTTCACTAATTTGGTTTACACTAGGAACCATTTACTATGTGACTCGGATCAACAGGACAACCATTATGAACACACAGGTCATGGCGAAGATCAGAAGCCACTGGAAGCAACTTGTCTTTGAGCTTTCTGAATATATCTTTGTGGCTCTTACGGTTGCGTGTCCCGTGCTTGCCAAGCTTTGCTCAATGGCTTCCTCTGTAGAGTCAAGTATCTGTTAATGAATCAACAATAAAGAAAAAACAGAAAAATGTTAAAGAACAATGAAGCTCGTAGAAACAATATATGAACCAATATAGATTCTTCTCTTATCCCATTGTTGATGATAATAGTAAAGTACATGTGTTTTGTAAGGAAAAGGATAGCATCTCACCTTTTCTGTATTCTGCACAGATTGGCTTATCATTTGACTTCTCTCCTTGAGTTGTCTCGCAAGTACTACCATTTCATCGGTTAGATCCTCTTGAAGCTTTCTGTCATCAAATGATTCACCAATGTGACATGAAGTGTCAATATCAACTCGAATTCAAAAGCATACAACTTTATACTCTTGGCGATAATTTTGTTTATATAAGGAAAGTGCTTAGATCAAATGAGATCCTAGTTTTTTCTCAGTGATCTATGAATATCTACCTCTGCTTGTCAATGCGCGCTTGAGCTGCGGTGTCTAGTTTTATTGGTTTTGAGGGATCAGCATCATAGCTTTGCTCCTTGGAACTTGCAGGCCTACCTCAATCAAGGAAGTTTCTAAGAAATAAAGGAAAAATTTACAAGTTGAGAAGCATGTGAATCAAGTATTGCACTTACACGATTCTTCTTCTCAGCTGTGGAGAAGTGGGGCTTCGTGTATCGTCTTCTACTTTCGGAGAACTATCGCTGGTAGAATCCTTGGCAAAAGTTTCATCAGATACCTCTGTGTCAGGCTGTAAATTAGGCAAAAATCAATAACTTGGTATCAGTTACAGAAGCAAAGCTTGAAATTGCAACTAAAATGGTTCTACACAGGAACAAACCAAAACATGCCTGCCTGAAACTAAACTCATGGGGAAATAAAATAAAAAAAGCAAACTTCAAACAATTCCTCAGACCAAATGCCTAAATGTTTTATAATTCAACAGAACAATCTCTTTCAAGTTCAGATGACTTACCACTTGAGCAGCTATTCTCGAAGCAACAGCTTCAATCTCCTCATAGTACTCATTCACCTTAGCCTTTGTAACTCTGGTCAAGAGATCACAGGAAAAGATAAGCGCATTAAAGAAAATCAAGATTGGAAAAAATGGATACTTGGCTACTTTGGTAGCATCAAATAGCGACACCTAATCAGCCACATCAATTGAGCAAATTCCAAAATATTTCATTCTAGTCTTTGGCCAATATACCTACTTGGAACTAAGTGTAATACCAAGTAATTCAATTCGATTCTCTAAACCCTTGATCTTAGATAGAAATATAGCTATTTTCAACATTCAAATACCAAAAAAAAGCAGAAATCTTGTAAACAAAATTTTGATTTCAACTCACTTATCTGTCAAAGATTTAAATTGCAGTGCTGAAACAATGAGAGAGTAAGTAACCTGGGAAGCCCTTGAGGGGTCTTCTCTTCCGAGAGTTGTTCTAATTGTTCCCTCAAAGTAGCAACATACTACAACATCAAAATTACCATTAGCATCAAAGGTTATAATAAGCACAAATCTAATAGTTTACAAATGAAAATCCAAAAAGACATAACATGCACAAGCTTAGACTGATTTTGCTGATTAGGTGCAGCTGAAAGTAATCTCCGCTAGCTGATCTCCGTTTTGCTGATTCCCATTATGAAATAACCTCTGTGTTCATGTGACCCAGTTGCCCAGAAGAGCACAATACACAAGTATCACACTGAAGCTGTTATTACCAGAACTAGCTTCACTGACATGCCGACGAATTACAGTAAACTGGCTAATTCCACTATTGAATTGACCTCCAAGGTAAACCCCAATCCTCTGTCACTACCTAACATCAACGAAAAGACACATTCTTTTAACAAAGAGTTCACTCTGATTAGGAAATTCACAGTGTTCTTATTCCTAAAGCTGGAAACTTTAATTTTATTCTATCATCATAGATCATTCGACTATTAACTAAAAAAAAACAACGAACCATGAAGGTTTCATGCAAAGTGAGAACTTTTGAAAAATTCTGGATTTTTATGTTCAAAGGCTCAACGATCGATCAGGGAAGCGATTTCTCCTGACGCAAAATCGAGACGAAAAAATCGCTTCTCGGGTTAATTCGCATCCTAATCGGGTGGGTTTATTTGTTTGACCCGGAAACCGAAAGTTGATTCGTTTAATGGGCCGGGCCAGATGGAAAGGGATGAGTCGTGGCAATACGGCGACAACAATTCCTCTCCTTGGTCTTCTTCAGTTTCACCAGCTTAATCCGGATCCTATTCGAGTTTATTCCGACCCGGAAAACGAAAGCATGGGACACGTGACACAAAACCATAATTGTTTTATTATAGATACGACTTACGAGAGTGAAGCCAAAAATAATGGCTAAGGATGGACACAGCAGCTCAGCTTTCGTCTTCATCAATCCAATAATAAATCAATCGTTGTTGTTGTTTCAGCTTTTTTTAAACCAAAAGACGTACACGTCTCTCTCTCTCTCCTTTTTAAGATTCCGTGATCAGAAGCTCATTTCTTCGATACGATCCACATTTAGGTGATTTCTCTTTGATCTTTCGGTTCTGGAAATTGCTGATTTTCTCTGGGTTTCTTATCAATTTCTCTGGTTTTTTGTTGGCAGAGATGGGTTCAGCGAACAAAGAGTACGAGTTTCTGAGTGAGATTGGCTTGACCTCTCACAACTTGGGATCTTACGTTGCTGGCAAATGGCAAGCAAACGGACCTCTTGTTTCCACTTTCAATCCTGCTAACAATCAGGTTCTGGGTTCACTGAATTAGAGATGTGATTCATGTTCTTGTTGATGAAATACTTCTAATCTGGATTGATTTTGGCTTTATAATGTTTCGATGATATTGTTGTGCACAATAATCACTTTTTTTTTTGGGACTGATGCAGCCAATTGCTCAAGTTGTGGAAGCTTCTCTAGAAGATTACGAGCAAGGTTTGAAAGCCTGCGAGGAAGCAGCCAAAATATGGATGCAGGTTACGGCTCCTAAGAGAGGTGATATTGTGAGACAGATTGGAGATGCATTAAGATCCAAACTTGACTATCTTGGTCGTCTTCTTTCACTTGAAATGGGAAAGATCCTTGCTGAAGGAATCGGAGAAGTCCAGGTAGGTCTCTTTACTCTGCATTGCTTAGTTTCTTTTTCATTCATACATTTACAATTTTAGCAACTTTAGATACTTAGCAACACTTTTTTCTTTGTACCAAAAGAAAAGAACCTATGATATGCTAATATAAAACTGAGCTGCTGCTTTTTCATAGAGCTTAATACATTTGGTGTATACTTTTCAGGAAGTAATTGACATGTGTGATTTTGCTGTTGGTTTGAGCCGGCAACTCAATGGATCCGTTATACCTTCCGAACGTGAGTTCTTGCTTCTTTAAACCTTATATAACATTATTCTCCTGGATTTGTTATATCTTTCTCAAATATCTCCTTAAAGGCACTTGGAGTTGGAGATGCTTATTTAAAGACTTTTCTCTAAACTCATATTATTTTTTTGGTTGCAGGCCCTAACCACATGATGTTGGAGGTGAATTGCAAGTTTGTTTTGTTGGAGTTTTGTAGATACACTTCTTAGGACATGATTAACATTCGGCTTGAACATTGTAATGCAGATGTGGAATCCTCTTGGCATTGTTGGTGTTATCACAGCATTTAATTTTCCCTGTGCAGTTCTTGGTAAGTCTTCTGTCCAATTTCAAATCTTTATGAGCGCGCCTCACAAAACATAGAAATGATATAAAGTTGATGTCTCGTGAGATTGCTCATTAAAGTCTGCCATGCTTCTTCGTAGCTCTGCAATTTCATTATCTAATTCTCACATGAAAGTGGACACAGTAGAGTTAGTTGGACCCACTCTTATTGTGGCACCTAAATTTGCCACACTATGATTTAGCCATGTTGAGAAGTTTTTTTAACTTATAATGCAATATGCAAAATTTTGTGTTCTGCTTTCTTTTCCGTGCATCTATGGACAATTTTGTGGTATTGCAGGTTGGAATGCTTGTATTGCACTGGTCTGTGGAAACTGTGTAGTCTGGTAAATAACGACTTTGACTCTGAATTAAGCTTTGAGAACGTAGTTGTTCCTGTAAGAGGTTAAAATTACTACAAGGAGCTGAATTAACAAGATATACTGTTTACAATTGCTCTCTATTTCCATTGATCCTCAACTTTTCATAAACGTTTCCTTAATGTCATATACTATATTGCTGACATATTGCTGAGAGACTGCATAATAGTGACATAACATTAGTCTTGACAATGAAAATTTGTACTGGTTTGATTAGTGTAGCTAATACTTAATATATGTGATTCCACAGGAAAGGTGCTCCAACTACACCGTTGATAACTATCGCAATGACCAAGCTAGTAGCTGAAGTTTTGGAGAAGAACAATTTACCTGGGGCCATTTTTACGGCCATGTGTGGTGGTGCTGAAATTGGTGAAGCAATAGCCAAAGACACGCGCATTCCCTTAGTATCCTTCACTGGAAGCTCCAGGGTACTACTTTTAACTATAATCCATCACCCAACCGAACACACTGAGCCTACTCGTCCCTCATTGTCTTGTGATTAAATATTTGGATAATTCATAGGTGGGCTTAATGGTACAACAAACAGTGAATGCGAGATCTGGCAAAACTTTGCTTGAATTGAGTGGAAACAATGCAATCATAGTCATGGACGATGCTGACATACAATTGGCGGCTCGATCTGTTCTATTTGCTGCGGTTGGAACTGCTGGTCAACGTTGCACAACTTGCCGTAGGCTGGTAACAAAATCTAATCCCCTTATAGCTTGTTGCTACTACTATTCCTTTTGCTCAATACTCTAAATGTTGTTCTTGTATTTGAAGCTTTTGCATGAGAGTGTCTATGACAAAGTACTCGAGCAACTGCTTACTTCATACAAACAAGTCAAAATCGGTAATCCTCTTGAGAAAGGGACATTGTTAGGACCATTGCATACTCCTGAATCAAAAAGGAACTTTGAGAAAGGAATTGAAGTAATCAAATCCCAGGCATGTCCCTCACTTTCTTTTCTTTGCTGCATAATCAAGAGCCGTTGAAAAAAGTTTAACCTTTTCAACTGTCACTTAAAACCCCTCTTGTATTTGCAGGGCGGTAAAATACTAACGGGCGGTAAAGCAGTCGAAGGTGAAGGAAACTTTGTGGAGCCAACGATAATCGAGATATCAGCAGATGCTGCTGTCGTTAAAGAAGAGCTATTTGCTCCGGTTTTATATGTTCTAAAGTTTAAGGTAATAGAACTCTCTAAAATCATCCATTTTCTTCAGAAATAGGCCTTAAAAAAGTTAATTTTCTTCTGGACAGTCATTTGAAGAAGCTGTTGCGATAAACAACTCGGTTCCTCAAGGTCTAAGCAGCTCGATATTCACTCGTAACCCCGAAAACATCTTCAGGTGGATCGGGTAAGTGCTATGAAAACCATAAATTTTCCGGTTAATCTAATGAAACTAATTTCACTGTGATGGTTTTACTACTAGACCACTGGGAAGTGATTGTGGCATTGTGAATGTGAACATACCAACGAATGGAGCTGAGATTGGTGGAGCTTTTGGAGGCGAGAAAGCGACTGGTGGTGGTCGTGAAGCTGGAAGCGACTCATGGAAACAGTACATGCGTCGATCCACTTGGTAACCATATTAAGTTTTTTCTCTTTTCTCTTTCATAATTTCCGGTTTAAGTTTTTGATTTTTGATTCTTTGAATCGGTTTATCTTTTGACAGTACCATCAACTATGGGAACGAGTTACCTCTAGCGCAAGGAATTAACTTCGGTTAGATTCTCAGAGATTTACCGTTTAATGTTATGCTGGTTCATCGATGCTTGTATCATGTATGGCTTGGAGCCTTGGACTTTAAGATACTTACGCACGCTTTTAAATAATAATAAAAAATAAATAAATAAGTGAATTTATTTTGATTGGTAATTTAAAGATAGATCGGACTAATGCTTAAAATAATGATTAGTCTGACTAAATGAATAATCATACGTGTAACATAAATCGTTTCCTGATGTTATCAATTTAGCATCAGTCATACTTTTTCAAGATAGATATGTTTACAAATATCGGTTTGCAACAATAAATATACCCAAGTAATAAAAATATATTATTATTCTTTTGTTAACTTGGTAAAAAATATTGAAAATCCAAGTATACGTAAGATACAAGAAAATCATCCTTTGAATATTACTAAGCATATTACGAAGCATTATTCGTTTATGGTGATGCAAACGTTTATTTCGTGGAAGTCGGCTAAATTTGTTGTCATCTTTATTTTGAGAAATTATTAAATTAGTGGATTAATGATTACTGAAGAAGACTAAGACCATATTAGGAAAAAGGTCCCACTAAATCACAATCTTATCATTAGTCCATTCGGCACTCGCACATGCAAGATTGTAAGAATCCACTTAATCAAGAAATACATTATCCAAACAAATAATGATAACAATAATTAGGAAACAATTATTACGTCTTTGATCTTTTTAGTGTCTGTTTTTTTTTCTATTCATAATAACCTTCACACAAATCTTAGCTACAAAAATAAAAACAAGGAAATGGAAAAAATAATTAATATATATATATATTTTTTTAATACAATCGTTTTGACATGTATCACACAAATTAAAAAAATCATTTAAATGTTTTTTTGGCAAAGAAAAATAATTTAGATGTTCTATCATAGTTGTACAACAAAAGGTTGACTGTTAAAAAGGAACAGAAAAGGTTGACTATTTAACATAATTAGTTTTAAGTTAGAGTAAGTTATATTTTTTTTGGTCATCTGATATTATTGATAATACTTGGAAGGATACATTGAGAATTACAACTTAAGCCGGAAGAAAACAAAGATATCTCCGGAGTCTAAAGCCCAAAAGAGGGAAACTACGCCGACGGACGAAAAGAAGTCCTCGGAAGCATAAAGCGAAACCACAAAAATAAAACTACAAACCATAGAATTTTGACCCGCAAAAAGGATGAACCCATAAACTAAGGACAAAAGCAACAAGGCTTAACCCGAACACAACACACTAGTCTAAAGAAGCAAGAAGAGCTCTTCTCCTGAACCACACGCATGTAGCTGAGATTTATCCAGGATGCCCACGGCCAATCCGAAGATAACAACAACCACCTCCTATCATGATGAGAGCCGATCTCTCGAAACCAGAACCAAAGCCTTCATAACCCGACAAGCAAAGACCCGAATACGCTTCCGAATGCGACGATGACGACAACCGCGTCCAAAATCGTCTGTGTAGAAGTCTTCAAAACGCAATCAGATCTAAACAGATCTGCAAAGCAGAGACAAGGAGCATAGCCTAACCTCTCAACAAAAACCGAGCTCAACTGAGCACGAAGATGGATTGAGAAAGCTATCAACCACAGCGAACAACAATAAAGAAGAGCACCAACTGCACACAACGAAGACTAGCATATCTTCAAACAAAACGAAGCTTATGCTTAGAAAGGGATCGAGCCTTATATGGGAGTCAAAGGCTGGGCAAGCAAACCAAGGGAGAGAGGCGAGACGAAGGCTGGGCGGATAAAACGCAATCACAACCAAACAACACTGACGGCTTCAAATCGATGATAAGCACACGAACGGAAAACAACACGAGGGAAGGGAAGCCAAGGAAGATACAAAACTATTCGAGTCGCACCGAGGATCTACCAGATCCGGAATTACTAACACTAACTTGCAACCACAAAACCCAAGAGAAAAGGCCGCTCTTACCGCAACCCCAAACCCAAAATCGAAACTCAGAACAAACCACAAGACTCCCCAATCGAAGGCCAAAACTCAACCATAACTACCACAAACAGAAAGGAGAAGACTAAACTAAAAGACTCGGACGCTTACACCATGGTCAAGGAAGACAACGAAATCACGGGAACAGGAATCCAACAAGCCTCGCCGTGAAGATCCACCGACTTAGCCAAGGAGACACCCTTCTCCTTCGAATCCCATGAGCTAAACGAATCGAGGGCTTAAACAACAACAATGAAAGAGAAACTAAAGGGCTCTCTCACGGCAGCGGCGAGGAGCACCAGCCACCGGAGAGAGCAAGCGAAGATCAGAATTTGCTGTGCGGCGACTGCTTTGAGATTAGAGATATACACTGGATTTTTTGAGTAAGTTATATATTTCCGTTAAAAAAAATATACATTGAAATTGTAAAACAATAGTATCTCTTAGAAAGCAAAAAAAAAAAAAAAAAAAAAAAAAAAAAAAATAGTATTTCAAAACCACATCTGTTACTAAAGATTAAGGGCCTGACTGGTTTAAACGCAGCGGTTGCGGTTGCGGTTGCGGGAGTTTGCGGAAGCGGGCGGTTGCGGTTTCAAGCGTTACCAAGCGTTTTGAACGACTGGTTTAGCGTTTGAAAATGGGTGCGTTTGCGGGAGGTTTATGACTGGTAAACCAGCGGGTGCGGTAGCAGTTAAATAAAAAATGACCAAAATAAATAAAAAATATTACAAAAAAAGAAATAAAAACACCAATATATTATTATGATAATATTAGAAAAATTGAACATGCTTAATAATTAAAACTATAAATAAAGTACTAAATAATTATTCAAAAATATAGAAATTTTGTAACAAGATAGTACTTTATGCATCTGGTTTAACATCAAAAATTGCATCAAGTAATGGGACAAACTGTAAATAACGTTGAATTCAATTAAAAAGCAAGTGAGTTTCTGTTCGAGAAAACAAATCGAAACATATATTCAATCAAAAAGCAAAGCAATACGTAATGAAAAGAAAAAAAAACGATGGCATGAAAAATATTCAAAAAGTTACACATGAGGTGATGAATGAATAAAAGGATATATGATACTTACGTTTGGTTCTTGATTTTCATCAGTTTGGGTGGAAGACATTGAGAGAATAGAGTTTCAGAATATTATTAGGGTTTCTGATGAGAACGTGATAAAAAGATGAAAGATATATATAAGATTAATATATATTATAATAATTATAAGTAAACGTTTGAATTTTTTTTTTTTTTTTTTTTTTAATCCAACCGCTACCGCCCGCAACCGCAAACGCTTGCGGGAAGGAGCTTTTGAAATTCAGCGATTTCGAGCGGTTCGAAGCGGTACGGAGCGATTTCTATGATTGGTACCAACCGCTAACAACCGCAACCGACCGCTAGCAACCGCTAGGAGGGTGCTAGCGGGAGAACCAATCAAGCCCTAAGCCGTTGGTCTAGTAATCTTTGTCTTATTTACCAAAATGCATATGGTGCAATCATAAAGTTAAAACCCAACAAACATGTTTAACACACCAAAATTTTTCATTAATTAACACTCATATCAACATTTATCATTGAAACAAAACAAGTATATACAATCAAACCAATTATCCTAAAATTCCAGATTTTTTCTTTTTTTAATAACTCTTCATTTATTTACAGATGAATTTGTAACCTTTTTCTCTTCTAGATTTTTTAAAAGTAAACGATATTTCGAGAAACCTTCTCGAGTTCACACTATCACGGACACTTTCTTCTTCTCTGTCAGATACCTCGCCGTAAATAGAATATTCCGATTTACACACCTCCGGACAAAGCAGGTAAACAGCTCCCAGTCCCAGCCCCACCAATCACCGCCGTAGCACAAACCTCTCCACCGTCAACAGTCGGAGGCAACAGCTCTGCTGACGTCACGACACTTGGCAAATTCAGAATTAATCTTCTCCTGAAAATCTCTCCGACAACCGATATGAAATCAACCGTCGGAGAGGGAGAAGCAATAAACTCGCCGCAGAACTTCATATGAATCGCTATAGCCTCGTCGACGCTGATTCGTCTCTTCTTTTTCCCCCAACGGAAAATCTCGTACTTCACAGCTTCGGAACAGAGACCACAGATAAACTTTCCGGCGTATAGACACCGTACGCTCTCTATATACGCCGCCGTGTATTCCTCCTGCATACGGCAACATTCGCATCTCGAAAATTCTATCTCCGACGTCTTGGATTCGGTGATCACCATTAAATTCACAGTCATCTCTCTGTTATCAAAGAAACATCAAAATTAGCCATTAAAAAACAGAGACATCAGAGACGAATCTGATTCGTATATAAAACATTAAAACACTAACTTTTGTTTCGAATCTGTTGTGTATATATGTACACGTGTATATGTATGTAAAGGTTTGGATATCTATCTCTCTTTCTCCCACTCTGCTACTTTAGCTTCGCCGTAAAAGAGCTCGAAAAACAAAATCATTTTCTAAGAAGAACAATAAATAATTTCTAGAAGAAGAACTTCAAACCAAGCAAGACCCAGAATTCATCATTTGAGCGATGTTCTTTTTGTCGTTTTTGCTTAAACTTTTGATCAAACTAAAGTGCAAGCTTTGTTAGACACGAGAGAGATTCTTTAACAAAAAAAAAAAAGACACGAGAGAGATTCTTTACCAAAAAAAAAAGACACGAGAGAGATTTTGTTTTCTTCTTCTTTTTGATCGAGTGGAGAGATTTCTTGATTTGGAGAGACAGATATCAAGAAAGAGAATCGTCAGAATTTAAAGGAGGTTTTTTTGAAGAGACTCTTCAACAAATCCTTTGTGTCGTCAGTAAATAAAACATTTTTTTTTGTTGCGTCGACTGTAAAATACATTAATGACCAATTAAGGAGAAAATAAGAGAATGTTGATTTGTTAGTTAATATTCCACGTCAGCATATGTTTAGACCAATTAATCGCTGCCATTATTTGGAATTACCAGTCATGCCAGTAGTTTGTCATCGCCAGCTAAGTTGTTACTGTATTTTATTTGATTAGCAGCCATGTTAATCTGCAAACGTTAGGTTTAGAAGTTTTTTTTTTTTTTTTTTTTTTTTTTTTTTTTTGGTTTAATGTTAAAATAGGTTTAGAAATTTTGATTGCAAACATAATATATTACGTCTACAAAAACAGATACATATATGATTATGATTCTTATTACGTACCATAGATTTTAGAGCTGGCGTTTTTATCCAAGGATCAAATCCAATTATTTTAATTGATTGATTTGTATATTAAACTGTAAATACGAACTGATTTTTTTGGTTCATCTCTCAAACCAAAATCACTAAAGTAGTTTTACGAAAAAAAAATAAAAAATACGAACTGATTTTTTTTTGGTCCGAACCTGAGACACTTCACAAATGGACAGGCTGTGTATCTATCTAGACACAAAGTCACCCATCCATGATCGCGAAATTTCGAAAATGAACATATGGGAAGAAGACACGTGTACGAATAGTTAAAGCGTGCAAGTCTGCAAGAAACTTGGGATTGGATTGGTGAATTTTTCTTATTTTGTACCAACACAACAAAAATCGCTTGCCTTGGAGAAGATAACCACTAACGAAGGTTCGTAGAATATTACCATTATTAAATACTTTAATCAAATTTAATTATCTTAAACAGAAAATTATTTGTTTGGGAAGAGAAGGCTTACGCTATATTTTGGTTTATAACAAGCAAACCTGTATCGTTTGGCAATTAGTTGATCCTGAATCCTTGATTAACACCTTTTTGTGTTGTTGCTACTAAAGAAGAAATCAAATTGCACTTAGATGTGTTTATGAATGAACTAGTACACCAAAAGTCACAAAATACAAATAATCAAACATTTATATCAACAATGGAGTATCGAAATTTGGTAACAAACAAACAACACAACAAATATGCTTACAAGTACAAATAAGTGAAGACTATTCACCAGAAGCTGGAGAACAATCTGAACACTGCCACATTAAAATGGAAAGAATTCAAAGAATGATATATATCGTTAATTCTAATGTGGGCAAACCGAAAAAGGAAAGCTTTATGGGGTTTTTCAATCCTCTTCTTCGTCTTCTTTCACTGAGACCGTCTCAAATGTGGAGCTGTGGTATAGCCTTCAAAGAAATCCAACACAGCGGTTTCAAGATTTTCAACAGAGTATTTCAAGTAGTTCTCGGGATGTCTTCCGCTCTCTATATGTCCCCTGAATCTTCCAAGAAAGGATCTATAAGCTGGGATAAGATGTTCCGATAGAGATATCCTGAGTTCTTCTCTAAGCTGAGTATCCGGAACCGACCATGTTGATTGAATCCTGTGAACCTCTTCAAACATTGTATTGAAAGCTTTAAACCTCTCTCTTAAAGCACTCTTCGATACACCGGAAGAGAAGCTTCCGCTCACATGTAATCCTTCATCTCTCAAGCTATTCAACACTCTAACCCATGTAGCTCTCTGATACTTGGTGGCTGCCTGTCTAAATATCCCGGTAAGCTTTCTTAAATACTTGTCTCCAATCAATTCCATTAGCTCCGGCGAGCTTTTGACCTTCTGAACTATGTAATGGACATTGTTCATGACGAAGATGTGAGATAAAGGTTCGTCTTTGTAATGCAAAGACTTCTCTTCTAGATTGAATTGTAGCATCACCATTGTCCATATCATATGCAAAGCTAACGGAGATATTCCTTCAAGCTGAGAGATATCCATATCGGGATTGTTTGGATCATTGGTACATTGCAAACCCCGACATGGTTTCGTCATAATGAGATCAATCAACGTTTCCTTATAGTCAGAGATCAAGTTGAGGTAATTCATCACATACCTTGTCAAAGGATGTATAGTTCCTCCAGGGACAGGAACAACCGAAGGTTCACGAAAAACCGCATTCTCAAACTCAGTAAGTATACCTCTTGCTGCTTCAGCTAATCTTGATTGAATCTCTGTAGCTTGAACAAGAATCGATTCCGAAGAACTCGAATCGAAAATCTCTTCCATATCAGGCAACAAATCAGTTAAAGCATCATGTAAATCAAGAATCTTGAATAGTTTCTCAGGTGATCTTCTACTAATACTTATAGCTTCAGGGAAATTGAAAAGCTCCAAAGCAGAGCCTTTAACAATCTCCATGAAACATGTCTCTTCCATGGTTCCTTCAAATATCTGCTCACAGAGTCTCTTCTCGCTAGCGAAAACAACTCTAACGCAAACTTTCGCAGCACGGATCCATCTTCTAATCTTCACTTCTACAGCTTCCCAATCAAGTCTCTGCACATCTCCAATCCCTAATTTCACAATCCCTAGCTGCTTAAAAATCATTTCCATGGCGGATTTTCTCACGTTTCCGTATACTTGAACACATTCACGAGAGTAACCAGCTCCGATCATTCTCTGAGCTATCGATCTCAGATCAGAAACAGCTTCAGGCGATACAAGATCGATCTCTCGTATACTGCTTGTGGATTTGCTATTACTCCTTCTACTCCTCGATAACCGTCTCGAACCGGAATCTGAACCGGAACCATCAGGTAAAACCAGATCCACTTGTTGTTGCTCTTCTTCTTCGTCGTTACCATCATCTTCAAGCTCGGTATGCGAAGAAGAAGCGAAAGAGGAAGAAGATAACGATGAATCGAGAAGAAGAGAATCAGGTTCGAAAGCAGAAGTCTGTGAGATTAAGATGTTTCTGAACTCGTCTTCAAGCCTAGCCATGGCGATTTGAATCGTGGAGCTAGCTGCTTTGACTTCATCGGAGATTGAGATTGAAGAGATGTGTCTTTGAAGTTCATCGACGGCTTTCAAGTAGCGATCTACTTCATCTCGATCACCACCGCTTTGGAAAATCAGATTCTTCTCTTTAGCTTCTTCAGATGTTGTTGAATCCCAACGGAGTATTATCTTCTCTGCTGTCTCTAAATCGGAACTATCGCCATGATGATTCTCCGGTGTTGCCATATTCAAAAATCGGAAACTGGAAAGTGTTTGACTTCACAGATCGATTTAGGTGTTTTTTTTTTGTGTTTGGTCCTTTGAAATGAGATTTAGGTGAAAGATTATGTTCGCTTTGCAAATTTTTTAATGAAGAAATCTTTTTTTTTTTTTGAGAAAAGAGTCAATAGACTTTTCAACGCTCAGCTCGTGGGGTGTGTTTTTTTTGTTTACGTTAAAAGAAGAAAAAACTAAAGAAATACTATTGGATTCTCGCCGACGGCGTCGAGTTACCGGAAAATATAGAAAATGCTGAGATTTTTTTTAAATGAAACATGGAATTTACTGTGGTTCTGTCATTCTGTGTGTTATACGAGAGAAAGTAAGTAATTAAATTACTGGATTGGTCTCTTTATAATAACCGTTAAAAGAATCTTGCCGACATAAAAAGGTACAAATGTAAGGATTAAAAGAAACAATGAATTGTGTAAGAGGATAAAACATTAAATCAAAAGAAAATCAAATTAAGTACAGTACAGATTGGTTTGATACCTTTGTCGTTTGTCTGAATTATTTATTTATTATTTATAATTTTGATAGTTAAAAAAAGATGCTATGAATTATGAAAGCGATTAATGTAGATAGATTTCTCTCCGAATGGATTTTTGGTGCCAACAAAATGAAGGTGGGTTAAATGCAACTATGTTGGGCTGGACCGTCAACAACTATTAATTATGGGTCAGTCACTGTTAGTTTGGGCCTTGGGGTTGGTCCGTCAACAGCATTGAGGTTAAGAAACAATGATTGGTCAGTCACGGAAACGAATATGACAGCACCGTGAGATAAGTATACTCTATCTCTCTCTCTCGAAGAAATCGTCATACTTCTATAAATGGTCACTTGTTTCGTACGGCCTTTCTTTACTCCTTGAGAGAGAGCGTGCCATTTTTATTTTCTCTTTCTTCTCTCTTTTTTATTTTCTTTTTTCACCTTTTTTTTTCTTTTCTTTTTTTTTTTCCTTTTTTTTTTTTTTTTCTTTCTTCTTCTTCTTCTTACTTGATTTTGAACCCTAGCTTAAGGGGAATTTTCTCGGGAAAACCAAAGAGATATTTTATCGCAGTGAGAAAGAAAGCAAAAAGAATGCAGAATCAAAGGCTTAAGCATCAACATCAACAACATCATCAACAACAACAAGCTATGATTCAACAAGCTATGATGCAACAACATCCTTCTCTTTATCATCCTGGTGTTATGGCTCCTCCTCAGGTTTTTGATCTATCTATATTCATTTTCTTTCTAATTGCTATTTGGTTTTTGAAACCGGGTTTGATTCGGAATTAGGGCTTGTTCTCTAATTCCGATTCGTGGGTTTTAATCACTGAGCTCTGTTACCAAATCTTATGAATATCATGTAAAGTTTTGAGCTTTTGATTGTGGGCTTGTGTTTCGCGTTAGTAATTCGGATTTATCTGCTGATTTGTGTTTGATTTTGATGGTAATGGTAGATTATCGTTTATTAAAGGATTGGTTTTGCTACTTGTTCTGCTTAGTGTTTGTTTATGCTTTTGCATTTGTTGCAGATGGAGCCTTTACCAAGTGGAAACCTTCCTCCTGGTTTTGATCCCACTACTTGCCGTAGTGTGTGAGTGTTTTGATATATTGGGACCAAACATTTTTAGTTTCTTAGTTAACTTGTGTAATGCAGTGTTTCAATTTATAATTGTTCTCTGATGTTTTGCAGGTATGCTGGCAACATTCATACGCAGGTCACAGAGATTCTTCTTCAAGAGATTTTTGCAAGTACTGGTCCTATTGAAAGCTGTAAACTCATCAGAAAGGATAAGGTGGAGTTTCGAAAACCGCCCTTCTTTTTTTATTCGAATGAAGCGTTTCTGTATTGTTCTCCAAATGCTAACTTCTAGACATGAATGTTTCACACTTTTACAGTCATCATATGGATTTGTTCACTACTTTGATCGAAGATGTGCTAGTATGGCGATAATGACTCTTAATGGAAGGCATATGTAAGAATCTGACATTGATAGTTCATGCTCTTCTTAGTCAATTTATTCATTTTTTCTCTTAGATTTTAATACTGAATTTCACAGATTTGGACAGCCTATGAAAGTTAATTGGGCCTATGCCACTGGTCAAAGGGAAGATACATCAAGTAAGTTATGATTAGCACGGATTGATTGTCAAGGACTTTCTTTTTGTTCTTTGAGTGAGGCGTGGTGCTGAATGGTTTTGTTTCCATGAAATGCAGGTCATTTCAACATTTTTGTTGGTGATCTCAGTCCAGAGGTTACTGATGCAGCATTGTTTGATAGCTTTTCTGCCTTTAATAGCTGCTCGTAAGTTCTTGTGCTTGATCTTCTGATTTTAGTTACTACTTGGTTAAAACAGGAAAATGTAGTTACACAACTAAGCTGTACACATATATCACTATGTATAACAAGATTTTCTTTATTGATTAAGCTTATTTGTCTGAACAGTCCATCAGAATCTTTGATCTAATATCTGTTTATTATTACGTAGGGACGCGAGAGTAATGTGGGACCAGAAAACTGGACGCTCAAGAGGCTTTGGGTTTGTTTCCTTCCGTAATCAGCAGGTTTTGTATTCTTTTAATCATGGGTGACTGTTTGTTTTAGCTCCATTCATAATTTTACATTGATTTTTAAATGTTTATGTAATTTGCAGGATGCTCAAACTGCCATAAATGAGATGAATGGTAAGAATTATCATATTGGTCTTAGAGTTGTATGGTTTCCTTTTGTGAACTTTGGTTTCGACATGCTGATACTTCTTATGATGCATTTGGCTGTATAATATTGTGGCTAGAAAGGATAAACTTGGTCAGGAAAATTCTGTGTTTTTGTAGCTTATTGGTGAACAACTGTTGGAAGTTACATGTTACCTGTGTCGATCAGGCGCTGTCTCTAGAATTAATTAATTTTCTTGATTCCAAGCACTTAGTTTTGCCAGTACTAGAACAGTTGTTTCTTTTACCTCATCTCAGGTAAATGGTTAAGTAGCAGACAGATCAGATGCAACTGGGCAACAAAAGGTGCTACTTTTGGCGAGGACAAGCATAGCTCTGACGGAAAAAGTGTTGTGGAACTTACAAACGGCTCTTCAGGTTTTCGTTTGTTTACTGTGCAACTTCTAGAATTTTCATGAAGATTACATTTGTTTTAACACTTGATTTTGCAGAGGATGGTAGAGAGCTATCAAACGAAGATGCCCCTGAAAACAATCCTCAATATACAACTGTCTATGTTGGAAACCTCTCTCCAGAAGTAAGTTGACAACTTAACGAATTGTTCTTTATAAACTCTGCAACAGCTCCTGGCTTTTTCGTTTTGCGCCTCGTGACAGTTGTCAATCTTGCAGGTAACTCAGCTTGATCTACACCGTCTATTCTATACCCTTGGTGCTGGAGCGATCGAAGAGGTTCGTGTCCAGCGAGACAAAGGGTTTGGTTTTGTGAGATATAACACTCATGACGAGGCTGCTCTTGCTATTCAGATGGGCAACGCTCAGCCTTACCTCTTTAGCAGACAGATAAAGGTATTTACTTCGTTTATGATAACGTAGATCTAACTGTTGTTGCATCTTTCTGACTTCTGTGGAGAAGTGTTAGACAACCAAAGTCTGCTCGTAATTGGTTTTTACCACCAGTTTTCCCCTAAACCCATTTCCTTGTTTCTGTGATTTATTGCAGTGTTCATGGGGAAACAAACCAACTCCATCAGGCACAGCCTCAAACCCACTTCCCCCACCAGCCCCGGTCCCAGTCCCTGCTCTGTCTGCAATGGACCTCATAGCATATGAGAGGCAACTGACTCTAGCCAAGATGCATCCTCAGGCTCAACATTCTCTAAGGCAAGCAGGCCTTGGAGTCAATGTAGCTGGAGGAAGTGCAGCTATGTACGATGGTGGCTTTCAGAATGTAGCTGCGGCCCATCAGCAGCTCATTTACTATCAGTAATAAACTCTCTTCACTGTCTCTGAGATACTTTTTTCTTTCTCTCTTTCTTCTTAATTTTATCACTTTCTTGCTTTTTTCTAGACCTTGTTCAAGCGTCTTTATGTATGTGTCTCTTTCATTTAAAGCTGTTGGTTTTATTTATGTATGCAGAGCTTTATGCTCAGTTTGTAACCTATAGGTTTTACTTGGATTGTAAGCCAAGCAATAAGATAACATCAAATAAAAGGGGATTTGGTTTTCTGGGGTTTATGTTGTTTGTGGTTCTGTAATGATAGATTTGAAACATAGTAATTTGTCGGTTATAAAAGTTTTATAGTTTCATTTCTCATTAGTACATTGTGTCTGACATTTAATTTAACTAGCATCAAGTGTTTTGTCGACGAGTGTCCTCTATTATGCAGCAAATTGTACAATTAAGGTTTTTTTATCTGTCTTTGTCGGTACTAGTAGAGACTAGAGAATCTTGATATAAGCTTTAAAGTTTCAAAGATTAGAGGAAATTGGTAGGGTTCAAGTAATCTTTTCAAGACCCTGTAATAGAAATGGATACTTTGTTTCAAGAGACATTACATTTAATACTGACCTTATCAGTAAATATTTACATAATTACATGCATAGGTTATTTATATTTACACAAAAACCCCGTAAGATTTTCCTCTCTCGGCTTGTTCATTCAACGGTCCAACGCGTTAATCACAATCCTGCATATACACAAATATATTATAGGTACATACATGAAGGGAATTGATTAGGAAATGAAGTGATGATGGAGATAATCTATAACCATTCATAAGTGGTGAGACTTGCAGCATCGTCTTCGCCGGAGGAAGGGATTTTACCGGCAGTGAATGGTCCCAAATCATAGCATGGTGTCCCAGCTGCATCAAATATGGTTTACCCAAATGTGAGTACTAAGTCTTAATTTTGTATAGCATACCATTATTCATTAATGATTTTCTAACAATTAACATTCATTTACATAGCAATATAGCATAACATTTCTTTATTTTGTAGTACATGATTAACTTGCATTGCATTCCGATACATACAAAATTCAATGCAAGGCAATCATGTACTTTTTCCCCACCATAAGTTTCTCGTTGTTATTGTTAATTAATTTAGTTTTAGAGGAAGAGAGGAGAAATAATTACGGGTTAAAGGCGTCCCAGGGTTGCTGATTGACCCAGTTGGAGAATCCGGAACACGATCCGGATCCATTTTCAATTTACGGAGACCACGGACATTGTTATTCCCCTTGGTAACCATTATGCTTCTGGTGACTTGATCGCTTGAGAGAGAAGGAGGAGAAGATCGGACGGTGGATAATGAATCGTGCTTTCTCAATTTCCCGAGACCATTGTCCGGCGTCGGTCCGGCCACCGTTTCATCCCACAGCTTGTGTAGGAACCCCATCCGATCAACAAATTTATCCAAAAATATATAACAATAATTTTTCAAATTATTTCGGGTTTTTATTTAATTGTCTCTATCTTCTTTTTTCCTTTGCAATGAAAATGGTTTTATAGAGGAAGAAAGAGAAGCATTGAATATTTTTAGTGAGGTTAATTATAAGCTTTGGCTTAATTAAGGAGGTTTTAATTGAAGGATAAAGATGCTGACTAATCCAATCAATAGTCTCTAATCTCATTGGTGAATATTCTATAAGTTGTGTATTAAGTTAGAATCACAAACTACTAGTTCAGAATTCTTCTACTAAGAATCAGAGAGTTTTCAACAAGCTATTCAAGTTCAAAGCTTTTTAATTTGCCCATGTTTCAGACACGATGGATAACAACAACAACAACAACAACAACATGATAATGATAAATCAGAGTCATAACTTCTACATTTACACATCCCACAAGGTAACAACAACATCGAATCCTAAATCCAGCTTATCATAGCAATATCATAGGAACATTTGTGTTCAATTGTCAGCTACTTACATTGCCGTTATTCTTGCCATTGCGATCATCATCGTCAACGATCCTCCTTTCTCCCCGCTGCCAGCTCCTCTCTTCCTCTTCGTGATTGTTCTGTGTTATCTCCAATTGAGTTTTCAAGAACTGCATTCTCTGCAACTCCATCTCTTTAGCGAATTTCATCCTCTCCTTTTCCAGTTCCGCCATTAGCTTAAGCTTAGCCGTTTCCGCCTTCTCATAAGCTTCCGTAAATCCAAGTATCGCTCTCGCCACATCTCCAACTCCACTCCCTCCATCTCCACTCTTGTCCACCTTCAACCGCTTAGGCAGATGAAACGAAAGCGGTTGAGGCGGTTGCAACGGTGGCAGACTCTCAGCAGAGTCAGGAGAAGCCTCAGGTTCAGGATCAGACTCAGACTCAGTCTCAGAAGCACTTCGTTTCCTAAAATGCCAACGCATTGAATCAGAGCTTCTCTTCAAATCCCCTCCTTGCACAATCTGATTTCCTTTAGCTTGCCGTTTATACATATTCGAACGGAGAGCTCCTACCATAGGAGCCTTCTCCGAAGCTTTCGAAGAAGCAACAATTGTCGTAGTACCACCAATCAAACTCTCAAGCTTCTTGAAGAAGACCCATTTACTAGGTCCATCACCAGAAGCAATCTTAGCTTTCTCTTGCTTATACTTCTTCTTCACCGTATCAATCCTGTTCTTACACTGTATATCAGTTTTAGGGTATTTGCATTGACGACTCTTGTTCACAATCTCAGCTACTTCTTTCCAATGTTGTTGCTTCAAAGTTCCTTTACCTGGTTCAGAGAATCGATCTCCCCAAGCGTCGATTAGAACCTTGGTTGCTTCTTCGCTCCAACAATCGTCTCTTCCTCCGCCACCACCACCGCTTCCTCCTCGTCCGTTTCTGGTATTACCGCTACCACCACCGGTTACAGAAGGAGTATGAACCACTAACGCTAAAGCGTTCCTCGACGGAGATTGAGAAGAAACCAGCGTCTGTGGTTTCTTCACGACGGCCACCGTAACGTCGTTTGTTGGCAAAATCGGCGGAGAAGGAGGAGCTTGTGGTGAAAGAGAAGAATCTCCCGGAGATGGAATTGACTGAATCTCGTCGTCGTCCTCCATGAAAATCGATCGATGGCTTGAATTTTGAGATTCGGAGAAAGTGCAAAATTTTGGATCTGAGATTCGCTCACCGGCGAGGGGATAAGGTCACCGGATAGGTAATCTCCGTTATTGACCCGATGGATATGTGAAATGACGAAAACACCCTTCACTCTTTTCTTTAATAACGAAAAAGCAATATCAGAACCGTGAGTACTCGTATGGTTTTATGGTAAAATTGACATATCGCTATAAGGTATTTATGCTTTTGCCATTTTTTTTTCGTTAGGAATATTGACTGACGGATTTCAAAATTTGTATAATATAGTTTTTTTGTTCTTTTATTATTCAGTTTGGACAAAAAAAAGTAATGTTATTATCTTGTCTATAGTTTGGTTAGGTAGGTAGACAAGACTCAAACTAAAATAGAAAGAAAGACATAAATTAAGTCCAATGGGCTTAAAATGGCTGTAAAAGGCCCAATAAAAAAGAGATATAGTGACGTGGAAGCTTTTGAAACAGCTCAAGATCACTAGTTACTTCTAGAATTGTTTCTCTGGAACTTTCTAGCTCACTGGTGTCTTCTCACTATATAACAATGGAGCAACAAAATTCAAAACGTATCAAATCGAAGAAGAAGATTCAATTAGGAAGTGTTATCGTAATTCCCAGGTAAAATATTCTCTTCTTATATCGATTTTTTTCCGGGAAAACTTTCAGAATCGTTGATTTTAAGTTTTTAACTTTTTTATTTTCCGGCAGTTATTGATCGGAGAAGATGAGTGCTGTTGCGATTAACCACTTGTTTGGCTTACCGGAGACGATCGAGAAGCTAATTCTCCCGATTTCCCGTTCCGGCGAAGGTACGGAGAGTCGTGGAGGAGGAGGAAGTAACAATAATATCCCAATCGACATTTTGGAATCTTCCAAAGAATACATATTTTATCTCGATATCCCCGGAATCTCCAAATCCGATATCCAGGTATTTATATAGTCTCATAGAAATGTTGAATTGATTATGGAAATTAGGGTTTTTAATTTATGAATTGGGGGGTTTTTTAGGTTACTATGGAGGAGGAGAGGACTTTGGTGATAAAGAGTAATGGGAAGAGGAAGAGAGATGATGATGAGAGTGAAGAAGGATCTAAGTACATTAGACTTGAGAGGAGACTTGCTCAGAATCTGGTTAAGAAGTTCCGGTTACCGGAAGATGCTGACGTGGCTGCTGTCACGGCTAAATATCAAGAAGGGGTTTTGACAGTTGTTGTCAAGAAGCTACCGCCGCAGCCACCGAAACCTAAGACTGTTCAAATCGCTGTTTCTTAGACGAGCAGTTTCTGTGTTTTGTTCTTGTATGTTCTTCTCTAGTTTGTAATTTGTCTGTGTTTGGATCATATAAAAGACTCTGTTTCTTTCATGCTTTTCAAAGACTAATGAATCATGTGACAGAACTTTGTGTGCTTCTCGTTGATGCCATTTTCTTGTTGGCAAATGATTATCTGATGAATGAATATAACTAAACAAAATTTCTACGATTGTTAAGTTCGTTTCTTGGTTTTCTTCGGTTTGGAGGGAAGCAATGATTTTAATGGAGAAATATGAAGTTGGGAGATTAAGGCTACGTAATTAATGCGAATGTGATAATACGTATACTACTAGATGTACACTATTAAGAGCAACCATAGTATGCGAATGTGATAATACGTATACTACTAGATGTACACTATTAAGAGCAACCATAGTGATTAGTTTCTAAGTAAGGTTTCTATGTATTTTTTATTAATAAATTTTGATAGTTTTGTAGTTTAGAGATTTTGTAGAGTTTTTGAAAATTTTATGGTCCATTGGTGGAATCCTTAAGTGGGTTTCTAAAAAATAAAATAAATTTTTTGAAAATTTTTTGTTAATATTTTTATTTGAACAAACATGATTATTATTAGGAATTATAAAATTTTAAACATACATGATATAAAAAGAAGAAGAAAAAAAACATATTAAAAAAGCGAAACAACTCAAACTGAAACTGAAACAACTCAAACTCATAAACTGAAACATGAAACTGAAAGTGAAACAACTCAAACTGAAACTGAAACTACATGAAACTGAAGCCACGTATGGGTTTCTATTGGATCGCGAAAAACCCAATTTTAGGAACGATCCTAAATGGATTGTTCTGTTTTTCTTTCATCTGGGCCCATTTTATCTTAGAAACCCAACATAGAAACCCACTAAAAACCCTTGCTAGACTTGGTCTTAGTGTCTAAATAGTAAATAACCCCTATCATACGTGGTGTCTAAATGGATAGAAGGCATAGTATGAGATTTTTTTTTTTCTGAATAACTAAAAAGTTCTGGATATAATTATATTCATCTTTTCATATCAGGGGATCATAACATTTTATATGAAATTTTTTAAACGTTATTCGAATCGCCGATCTCTGGATTTTGCCTAAAAATCTTTATCAATTGAACTATTGAAACTTGGTAAAGAACATGTTAGATTTTGTCTAATTGAATATAAAGTTTGAGAACACGTCACTCCTTGTTGTTAAGATTCTGATGAAATCATGTAGTATAAAAAATAAAACTAACGTGATTTTTATGATTTTCTAATCACTCGTTATTGTCTGCTATCGTATATGTTTACTAGGTCCGGACCCGCACGTACGTGCGGGATTTTATATTATAAGATATGTATTGTATAACATATAGTCAATACATTTGTGTTAATATAGTATGTAAGTAAATGTTTTTTTTTTTGTTGTTTCTTGTGTTAATTAGTTAATAGAATAGATACAATAATATTAGAAACTTAAAGTGAAGATGTTTTTTCTGTGTTTAAAATAAAATTTGGTACATAACTTTTTTTTTTTTTTATTGGTTTTAAAGTTTGAAAATTTCAGATCAGTAAGAATGTAGTAATTTGTGTTTGGTGAATGATTGGATAGCTTTGTTTGGTTTTGTTGAATTATTTAGAAATTTGCAAAATTGGTGTGTTTTATTTTGTAAGATTGAATTTTGATTATGCTTTTTACTGAATATTTTTTTCTTAAATTATAAAATTATTTATTTTGTGAAACAAAATTATTGTTTGTAATTTGTTGCAATGTTAATTTATGTAAACGATTGACCCAAAGCAAAACCTTTTCATGGCCCATGAATGAATAACAAATCTATTGTATTTGGGCTGGAATTATTGTTGGCCCATTTAAAATAGTATTGAAATCGATCCACGGTTTCGTTTATTTGTTTATATTTAATATATTGATTCTCTTTTTCTTTCTTTTTTGGACAAATTATTGTCGAACGAACAATATGTGTCTTATCGCAGAACATTTAACGAAAACCTACAAATCAGAAGATGATACGATCTTTGAATCAATGACAAAAATTGTCGATAATCAACCTATTACGTCTTCGTTTATCAAATTTTCATCTCAGATTCGAAATTCTACAGAGGTAAGGTTTTTAAAGATTCTTCTTCAATCAATCTATTTCTAAAATTTTCCGATTCGATTTACAATCTTTGAAATTCTGTGTTTTAACAGAATCTTGGACAATGACTGTGAATAACCCAAACTTGCATGTGTGAGTATTGTCAATTATATTTTTTGTTTAGATCCGAATTTGATTTTCTAAATTTTTTGTGTTCAACCGGGTAACTCAATCTATCTACATGAATCTTGAAAGCGTTGGAGTTAATAGAGTTTAAAATTGGATTGCGTATAGATTTTGACAATTGATTTTGTTTCCTGATAAGTGTTAACATTTAATTTGTTCCTAAATTGATTTCAGATAATTATAAAGATGATGATTTTGCCCAATGAAGACGATGTACAAAGATAAGTTTTCTGTTACGGCTCTATTCAAACAAATAATGTTTTTAATATATATGGTGCTGATGATACAATTATACAAAGTTCCATGTTTACAAAGAAGTAAAATTTTTCAGAGTTTTAGTCTTTTAAAGAAGGCAAATTTGATGTCGTTAGCTATTGTCACTGTTTCTGAATTAGTAGAATTGTTGAAGATATCATTACTTTTGTCATTGTATGTTTTAAAACTTGACAAAATTTTCCTTTTTGTTTGTTCAATGTATAGTGAGATCTCAATTGATAGAAATTTTTTTGTTTATTAGATTTACCTACTTTTTTTGAGTTTAAGTTAAGGTAGATCATATATAGCACATAGTTTTGCCCTAGTATGTTAAAATCAAAGTAGTAATTTAGAGATTAGAGGTAGTAAAATTTATTGTATTGTTTCATAAGTATTTTTAAATTTAAACTTGTTTATAACAAAATTAATGTGTTAAGGTGAAGCATCATTTGCAAGTAACATAAGAATATGGAGAAGGGAAGAGAAATGTTGTCATTGGACCTATCCAGAAATCTATACGTCAAAAGGTTAGTGGGAACATTATTTTTACATTAGTGTTTCTATTCATATTTTCTTGGTATGTTAAATTGAAAGTAGAATATAATAGATTCAAACTACTTAACTTTCTGAAAAGTTGCTTGGTATTCAGTTTTCACCTTTACAGCTACTGATTATGAAATAGTTGACATAATTTTACTTACGAAAACCTGTAACTTTTGTTATACAAAGTAATTCTGTTTTAAATATAACGTTTGAGATTTTGGAGAAAGAAAATAAATGAGTAAAATAACACTTAGTTCATGATGTTGTAACGTTTCTTGAATGTAGGCAAGAAAAAGGAAAAAACATTGCTTCTCTTCAAATCTATGATTTGGATAATTCTCTGTTTTTCTGAAAAACATTCCTTCCCATGTTTTAACTGTAAATCATAAAGAAAAAAAATAGTTAGAGTAGAAGTGAATTAGTAAAGAACCAAAATTAGATGAGAGAGGAAATATTTATTGATACCTATTACGTAAAATTTGTGCTAAACAGCATAGCCATTTTGTTTAAACTATAAAAGAAGATGAAAAATGCAAAAAAGCTTTGAATGATTGTGAGTTCTGAAATGTCAATCGAGAAGAGTATATATACTATTAACAGATAGGGCTATAGTTTTTAGGGTTAACCATTGAATAATTGAGAATATATTTACGTATCAGAATTTAAAACAAACCTTAATCGAATATGCTCGATTTGATAGGATTCACATATTGTGTTATTGTTAAATTAGGCAAATATAATAAATGAGATTAGATTTTTCTGAAAACAATGAAATCGAAAATTGTATGTGTTCCTTATATTTTCTGATTTAATTGGTATCTTTCTTAAAAACACTCGTGCAAATATTAGTTGATTTATCTTTTATTTGTATTTATCTTCAAAGATTAGAATTCGGAAGTATTAAGATTTGTTAGTTATACAAATTACCAAAAAAAAAGATTTGTTAGTTATACAGATTATAGAATTCTCTTTAAATCATAACTAATATTTTTGGCAATTGCTTTCTTTAACAGATACAGAATATCTCGGAGTGCAATATTTGGCATCACATTGAATATTAACCCTCACAAGGATCGAATTTTATATCAACGTCCGGATCCGTATTAGAAGCCCAAGATCCATCTGGTAGCTCGACACCCGTTCATAGGGTCCGCGTGTTTATCCGGAAAAATGCCCAGGATCCGCGTTTTTTTTATTGTGTAATTGTCGAGTTTAACCTTAAACGAAATCTTTTTGTTTACTCTTACAAATCAAAAATTCTAATGGCATTCCTTGTAATATTCTACCCTTCATAAGGTTATTTTATATCTAATGCTTCCCAATTAATAATATAGATGGGAAGCAACTTTTAATATCTAGTGATCACAAGTTAGACTAAAGGAAATTTATGGACATTTATCACAGCCAAAATTTTGGTTCGGTCAGATTTGGTTATTTATCAGTCTTAATCCCTGGGTCTTAATCCTAGCTAAAAAGAAATATATATACGATTTACACAAGTTTAGAAAACTTATTTTTTTTTTTGGTCCGCTTTTTTTTTTTTGTCGGCTTCAACGAGAAGCACACAAAGTTCTGTCACATGATTCATTAGTCTTTGGAAAGCATGAAAGAAACAGAGTCTTTTATGATCCAAACACAGACAAATTACAAACTAGAGAACAACACACAAAAACAAAACACAGAAACTGGTTGTACCCCACATTTTTATTTGTTAGCAATTTCTTGCACCAGGACCAGTAATAATTGATTTCACCGGGACCTGCCCACCTTCAAGTCGGCAACAACCGCATGGCCACTTGTTGGGAAATATAAGTAATAGTACGAGAGTCAGATTATACATAGTTTGATCATTTGAGTTTATAAACTCAACACGATGATAATAAAGTATTATTTTATTTTTACCAATATTATTTTGTCTTAACCAAACATCGTCATTTTATTGAGTTTATGGACTCAAATGACCAAAACGACATTATTATATTAAGATAAAATGATACCTCGTCGTCATTATATCGTTTAACTGAACAAATTTAATAGACTGGATAGCTTATTTGAATTATTTTAGTTTTGATTGAAAATAACACAGTGTTTTTGTTGAAATATAAAAACGCTTTTTATAATTTGTTCAGGCTGAAATTCATCTTTTTCCTAGTAAGTTCCTAATTGTTTGATCAAAAATGTAACTTGTAAATTTCTCGTAGTTCATGTAGATAATACCAAAATGGCAAAAAGTATTATTCTCCAATTAGGGTTCCTTTGCATATAATGTTGCAAACCCCACAGCAATAAATATGACAAAGATACCCTCAGACACATGTTTATATCATGGTCGTTGCATTATGTACTAAACGACAATGCTCGCCGTCCAGAAAGTTACCACCACAAGTCCACATGTGGTGATGAAATATATATAGTACTGTGAGATAAGGTCACCGGATAGGTAATTATTTGTACTATGTCATATATCGTACTATGTCATACTATGCCATTCTTCTTTTGGGATGTTTATGTGTATCAGTGTATGAGTTGATATAGTCGTCGGATAGTACTAATAGCAAGAAGATGGGTTCTTGTGTTTGAATTCGATCTAGAAGATCTCAACAGCTGACAAATCACTAACAAACTTAAAATGAAACCAAGTTAAATCAATCTCTACAACATTCTTACCTCAACTTGTTCAAGAGTAAGGGTATATTAGGATCAAGTTCAAATGTATGTAAAGCATGTGAAGAACATACCAGTTTTAAGTGAAATCCATGCACTCAAATTACTCTTTGGTATTGTTCAAATTGCAGTCTTTGTATTGCTTGACACAATGATGTTTTGTTATCCAATTTTGCCTAAATTACATACATCAAAGAACACAGAAAATATATCAGCAAATAAAAGAGAATGAAAAAAAGAGAGAGATAACATGAACACTGATTAAGAAATTCTTCTAAACAAAAACATGGTCGAAATATGGTCGCCGTCGTCATCGCCGTCGTGTGTTCTACTCGAGAGTGAGCAAAAGGGTCACAAAACAGACTTTTTTTGTTTTGTTTTTTAACGTCAACTCTACTTTGTTCATTAATTAATAACAACTTTAAAATTTAAAACTAACGTCAGTTATACAAATGACACTAATTTCTTTCCAAATTTGACTTTTCACGTCATTTGATAAACTGACTTTGATAAACTGACATCTTCTGTATTATTTCTTGTAGTGAATTACACATTTTACACTCATAAAGTAGCTGTCCAAGCCACTCTCTTCCACATCTGGAAGCAAAGGAACAATGGTTTCTACAATTGCAGTCTCTACCACACACAGTCTTCATGATTTATAGATCATGAGATTAAGAACATCATCACCGCCAGAAAACAAAAACAAAAACAAAAAGACATTTTCGAAACTTAATTGTATTGTGGCTGCGATGAATTCACCAAGTTTTCTCCCATAAAAGTTTGATTCTTGTTTTTTTTTTAAACCTTTTTATGCCAAGGACTCAATTATATAGGTTCTAACCAAAGCGTATAGGGACCTCAGACCTGATTATTCATCTTAATGATATTTACAAAAAAAAAAAAATTATTAAAGTTTTGTTCCACCAAAACCAAACATCTTGGTTTGTTTTGTTTGTGTTTGCTATGTTTAATGTGTTTTTTTTTTCAAATAAATTCACAATTTTCGCTATCTTAAACATTTGTTTTTAATGATAATATAAGTGCCGAATGCAAACAGAAATAAAAACTATATTACTTTTACAAAAAAAACATATGCATAGATGAAAGTGACAACACAAATAAAAATAATTCTTGTTTTTACATTTATACTTTACAAAAATATATGCATAGATGAAATCATGAAGGTGACAACAAAAATCAAATAATTATTTTAAACATACTCCAAGTAAAAGATATCTTGAGACTTTCGAAGTTTTTAGCCTATAAATAGAACACCATGGAAAGGAAAAGAGACACACACAAACAAAGCAAACAAAAGACTTTTCTACTTATTGCAGCTATGGATCCGACTTTGCAAGGCCAGTGGATCAAGGTATTTAAATTAGTTAATTAAAGATTTAATTCAAATTTGTCCCTTGTCCGATGTGGTGCTCGAATTTGGACCTCCATACTTTTCCTTTGAGGAGGTGGAGGTTCAGCCGGTAGAACTACAAACCAACGCCGGGTTGATTCTATATAAATTGATAATTCAACTTTTCAAAAGTTCATAATTTTGTACAAAAGACATTATATAGGTTAACATGGTTATCGATTGATTAGCTATATATGCCACTAACTAATTGTACGTAGTATTCATCACAAAGGCTGAATATTGATATACGTTACTTGTTTTTGAGAAGTTATATCTTAATTCTTCGTATCCAGCACAAAAAAAGAAAGAAAGAAAGATATAAGTATATGTTTTCCAAGTTGGATAATGGTATTAAAATTTTACTATCCATATATAGATAAAGATCGGATAACAAGAATAATTAAATATTTATCTTAACTACCAATCATTTGGAAGTAAACCATCTCCAAGGCAAGTACTGATGTGCTTTGTTTTGCTTCACAAGAATTTCTATTTTCACTGCTTGTATCTTTTTCTACTTTGCATTGTAACTTCCAAATGTTGCCCTAGGGGAAAGTAACAGGTGAATAAAGTATTTATATTAAAAATAAAAATGACAACAAATAATCTACCCGACTCATGTAAATCTGTTTAAATTCTGATACATACAATTATTGCAATAGACATAATTATAACTACATATAATGTTATTTAAATTCGTATTTAGAACAAGATTAATATATAATATCGTTTTTCAACTTTAGACTTATCTTATTGTTATATATTTCTAAATTTTATGATGATAGGATATGAATATTTTAGATTTCGAAGTTTGAATTTTATGTTATTATAAGAAAATACCATTATTACTTAGTATCTTAATGATTGAAAGTTTTGATTTAGATTCAAATAACAAAAGATTGAGTCGGATTATTTGTTGGTAAACATATATTTACGAATACTGTACTTTGTTTTAGGTCAATTATGGATATTATATTTTCTTGTTGCCGGTAAATCTCGGTTCAGATAACATATCAAAATTTTGAAAGTACAATAAGTAATGTTGTATCCTTTTCAATTAATATGAGTTTTTTTTACTGCAAGTATGTAACATGGTCGATAATTATCACAGTAATAACGAAGGAAATTAAAGAAACACATGCATCATCATCTTATGATTTATGTTGGTGATTAATAGGTGGAGCAGAAAGGAGGAAATGTACCAGGACCAAGATGTTCACACGGCATAGCCGTGGTCGGTGACAAGCTCTACAGTTTTGGTGGCGAGTTAAAACCAAACGAAGCCATCGACAAAGACCTTTACGTTTTTGACTTCAACACTCACACCTGGTCAATCGCTCCGGCCAAAGGAGACGTCCCTAATATCAGCTGCTTAGGCACCCGCATGGTTGCCGTGGGAACAAAGCTCTATGTCTTTGGAGGCCGTGATGAGAACCGCAACTTCGAAGACTTTTACTCGTACGATACCGTGACATCCGAGTGGAAGTTCCTGACGAAGCTCGATGAGGTGGGAGGACCCGAGGCTCGTACTTTCCATTCTATGGCTTCGGATGAAAACCACGTGTATGTATTCGGTGGGGTGAGCAAAGGTGGTAAAATGAAAACCCCCGTGCGGTTCAGGACGATCGAGGAGTATAACATTGCTGATGGGAAATGGGTTCAGCTACCAGATCCTGGAGAAAACTTTGAGAAAAGAGGAGGAGCGGGATTTGCTGTGGTACAAGGGAAGATTTGGGTGGTTTATGGTTTTGCGACGTCGATTGTGCCCGGAGGCAAAGATAACTATGAGTCTAATGCTGTGCAATTCTATGATCCGGCTTCCAAAAAGTGGACAGAAGTAGAGACTACAGGAGCGAAACCTTCCGCGAGGAGCGTGTTTGCGCATGCGGTAGTGGGAAAACATATAATAATATTTGGAGGTGAGGTCTGGCCTGATCTCCGCGGACATTTGGGTCCCGGGACGTTGTCCAATGAGGGGTATGTGTTGGACACTGAGACACTGGTGTGGGAAAAGTTGGGAGAAGAAGGTGCTGTACCAGCGATGCCACGCGGTTGGACTGCCTACACCACTGCCACCGTCTATGGAAAAACTGGTCTCCTCATGCATGGCGGAAAGCTTCCGACCAACCACCGAACTGATGAGCTCTACTTCTATGCAGTCAATTCAGCTTAATGCGTGTCAAGGCTTGTGTTGTGTGTGTGTGCACCAAGTATTATTACTATCCAATAAGGTGCACATTTATGGTTTTACGGTATTATTACAAATTATCTGTGTGTGGCTCGTCAAGCATTATTGCTAGTTAAGTTTTATTGTCCAATAATGAGCCAAGTTATGGCTGGCTGTGTTTTATTACAAATTATGTGTGTACTGTGTTTGAAATTTCTTGTCTTTGGAATAATTACTAAATGTATGTTAAGTAATTAAAGATTGAATTATCTACAACTACTTTATCTCTCTTTCCTTTTTTTTCCCTCTCCCAAAAAAAGAAAACTGCCTATTCTTACAACACCGTTTTCAAATACTATGCATTTATGGACAATTTCTCTCAGTTCACACGGTTTTATCTTCTGCGTCTCGATTCAAATTTCTTCATTGTCTTTGTAGCATTCAAGAAACTGATAGAAACACATTTTAATAAAAGAATCAAACTCATAGAACACAGTGTAACAACAAATTAAATAAGGATAATAGTACGAGAGATTATACAAAATTATATATCTTGATCGCAATTTCCTCATCTATCTTTCTACAACTGTCTCATCCAATGATAAACAATTGTGTATTTAAACGATAGCTTGTAACCTATAGGATAGATAGTACACTTCACTTAAAACAAATTATCTTTGATAAGACAAGTGTTTCCTTGACCTTATACTGCCGATCGATCCGACGACTATATAAATGACAAAAGACCCGACACGGATACATGTTGTTGTCATGACGTAGCAAAACGTGGACGCTTAAACGAGAGTGGCGTGGCTTGCGGCTTGCCTCTGCCGTCAATAGAGTTACCACATGTGGTAAAAGTAAGAATCAATTTGCAGTATAAAGTTTGTAATGGGATGAATGGGTGATTTTAAAGTTTAATTTGTTGTTTGGATAGTCTTCATTATTCATTTATACAAATACTAAGATATAATTTCTTTTTGCGATAATGTTTTGTGGATATTGATGATGTAACAATTTTAAACAATACCCCAAAATTACGAATGTCTTGACACTTGCGCAGTTTTTTTAGCTTATAAATAGAGCACAATAGAAGTAAGGAAAAAGACACACAAATAAAGAGAACAAAAGACTTTTGTAGTTTGTATTGCGAGAAAGATTGAATATGGCAGCTATGGCTCCGACTTTTCAAGGCGAGTGGATCAAGGTATATTATAACTATTTTTAATCACGAATTCTAATTAAATTGTCAATTCAACTTCTCACAAGTTCATAATTTTGTATTATAAACTTTATACTGGCTAAATTCGATATTGATTAGCTATCCTTGGCGCTAACTCATTGTTCGTTGTATTCACAATGGCTGGACACGGATAATCCCAATTCGTTATCATGTTCGTATCCATCTCAAAACAAAAAAAATAGCCATGTTTTTCAAGTCGAATAATATGTATTAAAAGTTTGTTATAATTATCGGATGATAGGTATCGATATTTCTTTTTAACTATTAAGGATAATAATATCACACATTGGAAAAGACAAAGGATTTTGACTAGTATATTCATACATATATATGATTTTATTTAAATCAAGATTAAGATATATCTAAAAATCAATTTTTTCACTTTATAGTAGATTTATAATTATTTTTTATATTTTCGTTGATTGAAATTGAATATTCTATATTTCTTAGCTTATAGTCAGGAACACACACGTAAACAAAACAAAAGATTTTTTTTTATAGTTTGTATCGCGATATTGAATTTCAATACCGATAAAAGTTGGTTCGGATATGAAAAAGAAATTGGTTTAGATAACATTTCCCAAATTTGAAAGTACCCGCCCTGCAATATTGACTGTTTCAGAAATTTAATTTTCATATACGGCCGACGGAAACTCTATGATAATTGATTAAGTGAAAGATAACGTCAAAAAAAACGTAAAAGATATTTGAAAAATAAAAGTAATAATTAAGTTAATAACATAAATATTATTATTAACGCAATATTCACTGTTTTAAAATTTTAATGTTCATATACGCGACAGAAAAACATTTTGATAATTAATTTAATAAAATATAAAATTGACTCCATGCACATAGCCACGTACGTATAATAAGTTAACAACTAAAATAGTCCCCTCAAAGTTAAACAAAAAAACAAAAACAATGGAGGTCACGGATCTGATAAGGCACGAGGTCATGTCAGTTGCCGGAAGTAGTTTTCAGACGAGAAAATTAAACAAACACATGGACGCGTCATCATCGTATCTTGCTTTTGAGTAATAGGTGGAGCAGAGAGGAGGAAAGGGACCAGGACCAAGATGTTCACACGGCATGGCGGTGATCGGAGACAAACTCTACTGTTTGGGAGGCGAGTTAAAACCAAACGAAGCCATCGACAAAGACCTTTACGTTTTTGACTTCAACACTCACACCTGGTCAATCGCTCCGGCAAACGGAGACGTCCCTCGCATCAGCACCTTTGGTGTCCGCATGGTGCCCATAGGAACTAAGCTCTATGTCTTTGGAGGCCGCAATGAAAAGCGCGAGTTCAGCGACTTTTACTCGTATGATACGGTGAAAAACGAGTGGAAGTTCCTGACAAAGCTCGATGTTGAGGGAGGACCCGAGGCTCGTACTTTCCATTCGATGGCTTCAGATGAAAACTACGTGTATGTATTCGGTGGGGTGAGCAAAGGCGGCGGGTTGATGAAAACTCCCGAGCGGTTCAGAACGATCGAGGCGTATAACGTTGCTGATGGGAAATGGGTTCAACTACCAGATCCTGGAGAAAACTTTGAGAAAAGAGGAGGAGCGGGATTCCTTGTGGCGCAAGGCAAGATTTGGGTGGTTTATGGGTTTGCGACTTCGAGTTTGCCTGGAGGGAAAAGCGACTACGAGTCAAATGCTGTGCAATTCTTTGACCCGGCTTCGGGAAAGTGGACAGAAGTAGAGACTACAGGAGCAAAACCTTCCGCGAGGAGCGTGTTTGCACATGCAGCAGTGGGAAAACATATAATAATATTTGGAGGTGAGATCTGGCCAGACCCAAAGGCACATTTAGGTCCAGGGACGTTGTCTAACGAAGGTTACGCGTTGAACACTGAGACATTAGTCTGGGAGAAGTTTGGAGGAGGAGATGAACCGGAGATGCCACGCGGTTGGACCGCCTACACCACTGCCACCCTCTATGGAAAGAATGGCCTCCTCATGCATGGCGGAAAGCTTCCGACTAACGGCCGCGCTGATGATCTCTACTTCTATGCAGTCAATTCAGCTTAATGCGTGTTAAGGTTTGGGTTGTTTGTGTGGCTCGTCAAGTGTTAATTATTACTAGTATGAATAAATAAAGAGCCAATTTTATATGTACTCTGTTTGAATTTGAAATTTGGTGTCATTGTCTTACGTATACGTGTTTAAATAAATTAGTGAAATTGTATACAAATTTGTCCAGTTATCATTTAATTTTTCACAATGGTCTTAAATTTTATGTTTTAACACTGAGTGAGACAAGCCTAATGGGCTATATTGGGCCCATAGAAATTGTCTAGTAAAGCTTCTAAATGGACTTAAATCACTTAATAAGGGCGATTGTTTTATTACTAAACAAAAAAGAAGGATGTTTAAGTTTTCTTGCCTTGTTACACTAGTTCTTAAACTCTCTTGCTTAGATCATATTGTAACCACAATCTTAGATCATAAAGGAGCTAGCTTTGTCAACTTGATAAAGCCAATGGTTCTCCATCTCTGATTCCATCTTCTTGATATCATAGAGACTCTCAATTTTGCTCTGTCTCGGTCTCATTGCAGCCATAGCTTTATGTATATCAGCTAAGATGACTGTAATGTCTAGAGGAAGGACCATAAGCTCCCTGATATTGTTCGGTCCAATCACTTCCGGATCTGCTCCCCACATCAAATGCCCGACTTGAAGGTTTGCTTCTTGCGTCAAATGCTTACCGTCAAAGAAGATATACTCTTCAGGCTTGGCACATACATTTTTAGCAGAGCAATCGGTCCCGTTGATAGAGCCAGTTCCACAACAAGCAGCGATTCCTGTCTCGAATGCTGCATCAGACAAGATAGATGTCAAATCTTTTGTCAAAGGTTATGGTGACGATGATGATAAGGACAATCGTAAAAGGCTTACTATAAGTCTTAGACTTGATAACTCTGTTTTGGATCGAGCTAAAGAAGTCGTAAAACGAGTACTGGAAACCATTGAGTTCTCTTGAAAGTTCAACCAAGAGCTGCAAAAGTTTCTTGTTATGCAAAGCAGCCATTTCCGAAGGCAATTTCACGCATTCTTGAACATTTCCGCTTGCTTGTTTCACAGCCGGTAAGCAACCCAACGGTGCCAAGTTCTGGAATGCAAACTTCCTCCCCCCTGACCCGTAAACCACCTGAAATTCGATATCCGAAAACAAATAAAAAATATTGAGAACTGCTAATCAAAGCTTAAATGATGTAGCTGCTGCGAGTTTTAACCTTTATTTCTGCTTTTAAGGTAGTGATGACTTGATCAACAAAAGCTTGTTTCTGATCATCTGATGGACTTGGATTATTCTTAGCATAGTTCAAGTAATCATCAGAACCGATGTAGATCAAGTAGATGGCTTCAGAACGTGTTTGATTTGTCCATTTGTTCTTGTTTTCCAAGAATTTCCTCACTTGTTGTGACAAAGTCATCTGCAAAAAAAGATCATTCAAAGATCTATTTTTAACCTAAAATTCCTTACAGATTTGACCTAATATTGTACTTTTGCAGTCTCAAATTTTAGACTGTTGCTAAATAATAAGAACCAAAAAAGAAATCTAGCAGTTGAATTTAATTACTACAGAGAAATTAGCTAATAAGAGAAAAAAAAAACTGACCGTCTCCGGAGGAGAGCCGAGTACAGAGGCGTCGGCGATGGCGAAATTAGCTCCGTGAGAAAAATCCGCCGTGGTTTGGAGAATCGGAGAGATTCGAGGAATTCCCATGAAATTAGCTTAAAAAAAAAAACACAAATGAATATATAGTTACTAGATTTTTGAAGTGAGATAAATATAATTACCAAGATAATCAGGAACAATAGAACCATCGGACCACCGTCCGGTGGCTTGTCCTACAGTGACTCCATAAGGAGGAAAGCTTGCGTCAACTCGGTTCTGAGAGAGGAACTGTTTGTTTCCGGCGTCGTAAAGACCATCGCCGAACACAAAAAGCGTCTGAGCGAAGGAAACGGTGGGAAAGTGAAGAAGAAGAAGAAGAGGGAAGAGTGAGACGAAGTGAGATTTGAGAATCGCCATTGAAAGATCGGTAAGAGAAAGCTTCGACGGTGGTTAGCTAGAAATTACGGTGAATGAATCAAAGCATTGATCAAGCCACGTGACCAACGTTCCCATTTTTTAAAATTTTTATTACAAGTAGACTTTTCTTCGTTAGTCCGTTAGTAGTGGCATTATTTTATTTTAATCGATATATAAAATTATTTCACTTTTTTTTAATAATAACTTCATTTTACATCAACCCCATGTGAACAAATGAATATATTCTTGTTGTATTTAAAAAACTTTTATAGTATTTATTTCGATCAAATATATTATTCGTTTCCTGTTTGTCCTCTGATCCCATTATGTGAACTTGAATCTCTTAATATCCTCATGCATGGTCCTCATCAAATAAAATTTAAAAACTTTTTTTTATCTTCCTGATAACCATAATAATAATATTAAAACAATGCGTTATAAGTATTAGCTAATAAAATATAATTATAAGTAATTTATATTAATATATAGCTTTAATTATTATTTTTTATCACGACTTTGTTGTATTGTGACTTTGTGAGCCTGTGGACATAAATAAGTATTTTATATTTATTTGGATACAATATTGTAACTTCATTTATGGTTAAGCTCCATGTGGTCACCTCAATGGCGACATTTGAAAATACTAAATAGTCAATTACTGATTGGCAATAAAATATCGCTTCTACTAATGTCATGGAAATAATAATTCTTTTTTTTCCAATTTCATAAAAGTATCATTTTAACATTTAATTCTTTCGATATGGTTGTTTTGTATTTGATGTAGATTTTTAATTACAATCTTCATTTTAGCTTATTAATTAGATTTTCTTTTTATCTAATGTGAATTATTATGTGATATAGTAGAAATTTGCGTATTTATCCTAATTTGTGTGAAACATATCAATTGTGGATTGTCATTATAACACTCTTTATTAAACATAATGAATATTTTACAAATATACTATTTTAACTAAACTTATACAGTATATTTATAGGTTCTGTCCATAACCTTTTTCATTTACTACAAAAAAATTTTTTGTCAGCTACACAATAAATAAACATTGAATTCTTTGATGGTTTTTCCAATTAATCTTTTGAAGAATAGACTTTACATATAGTCATAGACTCATAATGTACAACTTTTGTTTGCTTGCTTTCAATGTTTACATGCTTTTAAGGTTATTGTAAAATGTGAAGACATCACACATGCATGGTGTTGGTGGTGGTTGAGAAATAAAAGAATGTGAATCACAATAGCAGTCTCCCCTTTAACTAACTGGTTGTTCTTCATGACTTATCTTCTAACTAGTATTTCATAAAAATGCAAACTTAATTTGGGCTTTATCTTTTCACAGCTTTTTTTTGAAACTTTTCATTATCCTGTCGCAGTTTGATTGACCCATGATTTTGGGTTTCTTCGTTTTTTCTTATATCTCTAATATAATATAAAAAATTTGAGTTATATCAATTTATATTGATTATATAGAGTTTCAAGCATGGATAATTAAGAAGAAGACAAAACTATTAAAACGATAGGTGAATTTCGTAAATAAGTAAATAACATTTTTTGGAGTTTAGTTAAGGTTTTAGAGCTTATATGTGTGTATATATATATATATATATATATATATATACATAGGATAAATGACGTTTCTTAATTTATTGTGTTGAGTAGAGTAGTTAAGTTATTTAAGTATGTTGGCAAACAAAATGATATTTTCTCTAGTTTTGTTGGAAAAAAGAAAAAGGACAAATGGCCAAAATTAGGTATAGAAGAACAGTCGAAGTGGAGTTAGTTTCAATTGATATAAGACATAGCAAAAACGTGAGAGATTGAATATTCACATCGTTGTGTTTTTCTTTTTCTAACAACGATTTTACATAACATTTTTCCCAAACATTTTTTTTTAAATTTAAGTTCCATTAATTTTTTTAGTTCTATAAATATGTAAAAGCTCTAAAGTTTTACAATAAATTTATATTTTTCTAACGTTTATATTTTTATTATACATTTTTCCCAAAACTTTTTTCTTTTTTTTTTCTAAACTGAGTTTGCTTAATCTTTAAATTATAAAGAACATTTAAAAAGCTCTTTTATTTTCAAATAGTTAACAATATAAATATCTTAGAGGACTGAGGAACTTATTGTACCTTATCATCTTCTGCTTAACTGAAAATGGAGTGTAGTTTAGTGAGTGTACTAGGAATATTATTGGTATATCCTCTCTTCCAAAACCTTGTCACCATCTCCGGGCAGCATATTCCGGCGGTGGGTTTGTTCACATTCGGAGATTCCAGCTTCGACGCCGGAAATAAAAAGTTCCTCACTAGTGCTTCACTTCCTCAAAACTTTTGGCCTTACGGTAAATCTCGAGATGACCCTAAGGGCAAGTTTTCCGATGGCAAAATTGTCCCGGACTTCATTGGTAAGTTTATAAATTTTATCTTTGTTTTAAACTTTTTTTCAAAAGGAATCAGATTTTCATTTGATCTTTATAATACGAAGACAACAATATAGTGGACAACATATATAATTTGTGGATTGATGCTTATTTGTTAGCTTAGCTATCCTTCATTTCAAAATTCTGTCCCAATATAGTTGTTAGATATACTTAAAATCAATAAATAATTTTAAAATGAGTGCAATTAAAAAAGCAATTCAAATGTAGGAAAAAGATTCAATATTACAAACTATTTTATTATGTGTGAAAATTTGATAAATGTAACGGACTAGTAATTGTTTTTTCAAAGGTCTCAATTCGAATTAGCATTATTTCTTTAATATTTTAACTACGTATACACGATGAATACGTTCTTTATATAATACTATAAGTCTATAATACATATCCTTTAACCATTAAGAAAAAAATTAGCTTAGTTTTCTTTATAGGTTCGTTTTATATAATTATAAAACTCAGTACTATATTTAATTACTAAAGGAGATTTTTGATTGGTAAGTGGTAACAAAAGTTTTATAAAATTGATGGGAGTGAATAAATCACAGCAAAATTCATGGGGATTCCACACGATTTACCGCCGGCGCTAAAACCCGGAGCCGATGTGTCACGAGGAGCCAGCTTCGCCGTCGGGTCCGCTTCTATTCTTGGATCGCCAAAAGATTCTGTAAGCTCGTTTGATCATATCTATATATATTTAGTATCATAAAGCATTAATGTAATAATTACAAAATTCACAATTTTTGGTAGTTGACTCTGAATCAACAAGTGAGGAAATTCAATCAGATGATATCAAATTGGAAAGTGGATTACCTTCAGAAATCAGTGTTTATGATTAGCATTGGTATGGAAGATTACTACAACTTCACCAAAAACAATCCTAATGCTGAAGTTTCTGCTCAACAAGCTTTCGTTACTTCTGTCACTAACCGATTAAAGAGTGATATCAACGTAAGTATTTTCATCTCTAAATCTAATAAAAAAAAAATTGAGTCTGATGTATATGTTATTATAATTTTAATTGCAGTTGTTGTATTCATCTGGAGCTAGTAAATTCGTCGTACAGTTGCTAGCACCATTAGGTTGTTTACCGATCGCAAGACAAGAATTTAAAACCGGCAATGATTGTTACGAGAAACTCAACGATTTGGCCAAACAACACAACGCTAAAATCGGACCGATGTTGAACGAAATGGCAGTAACTAAACCGGATTTTCAATTCACCGTTTTCGATTTCTACAACGTTATTCTTCGTAGGACACAAAGAAACATGAACTACCGTGAGTTACAATTGAAAATCTACACTATGATTAATATCGTTATATGCTTAGACTTTGAACCAACGTTAACACTTGTTTTTATGACTAATCAGGGTTTTCCGTGACAAATATATCGTGTTGCGGTGTTGGGTCGCATAACGCATATGGTTGTGGTTTACCTAACGTGCACTCGAAGCTATGCGAATATCAAAGATCGTACCTTTACTTCGATGCACGTCACAACACAGAGAAGGCACAAGAAGCGTTTGCTCATCTTATCTTTGGAGCCGACCCAAATGTTATCCAACCTATGAATGTTCGTGAGCTCATTGTCTATCCTGTTAATGAGCCTATGCGTGAGTTTTGGGAGGATCCAATGGAGGAGAAGTTATCATTAGTCCACGACGTTGACGTCAATCCTAGTGGATCTATCTACCTCGTTTAATTAGTTCTTGAGCATAATTACTATTTTCTATCTCTAGATCACGCAAGAGCTCTTGGAAAATGTAATGCGTTTGTTCTTAATTTGTTGAGAATTAAAATAATAATGTTATCCTCAACTCTGTTTTTTCATAAGAAAAATCTCAATGGGTAATGCGACAAACTTGAGAATATGAACCAAAGCGTATCCAATGAGGCAATGGCCTGCTTTGTGCTCAGATTAGACAAGTTTCGGGCCACACGCACTCCACTAGAACAACATGATAAAATTTGGTGGAATCGTTTAAGAGGTAATGGATTCAAATTAAACTCACATGAGTCTTTTATTTACTTTTTTTTTGTTTGTAATGATTCTTGCAATGAATATATACATATAGTCAAAATGATTGGTATAAAAGCAAGGAAAAGTAAAGATTATAAAAGTTCAAGAAAAGCTAAGTTTTACATCTGGCTCTGGGGCCGGCTATATGTATATGTTTAATTTCATATGAAATTTAAACCAAGAATCATGATAATAAGATAATAGATGAGTCACAGCCGAGGCCTTCTTCATATAAAACTTTACCTTCACGTAAGCAAATTTGTTTTATCTAGTTCCTGCACTTTTGTTTAGAATTATTTTTCTAAAACAAATTGTGCACCTTTTGTCGTTTTAATGATTCCAAATTAGGCGTCATTCGTTTTTTTGTTTGTTTCTAATATATTCAACGCTAATCTTTCATTAATAGAAAAAAAAAAAATTGACTCGTGAATTCAATAAATATATAACATATTCAATAGAGCCACATATACAATAGCTGCTACAGTTAATATTTTTTTGAAAGTACCTATGTGTAAACTAATATATCATCTATTAGTACTAAACGAAAATTTAAATAAACTGGTCGACAAAAGAAAATTAATAATTTAAATATTTCTTATATAATTAGATGAAATACTCCAATCTATTTTAACTTAAATGTAGCTTTATAACTTAAAATTTGTTTTATAATAAATATCAGTTTTTGGTTTTTAATGTAAATATTTGATAAAATTTTCAATTTTATTTGTACTGTTTTATTGTATTAACCGGAGTGTATTAGTAAAATAGAAAAGTTAATTTTTTTTAATTTGTATTAAAAAAAAACTCAAACTTTAAACGAACACTTGATCTGAAGCGCATGGAGTATTAGTTACGGCCACGTGGGTGAGAGGTTCCATTTGGCATGTTTTTTTTTTATATTTCATTAATATATATATATATATATATATATATATATATATATATATATATATATATATATATATATATAAATTTTCTTCTTGCCTCTAAAATGCACGATATATATAAAAAAAAATCTTCTTCTAGCCTCTAAAAAGCACGATCTTTCTTGTTACTAGTAACCATAAATAAATTTGAAAATTAAAAACAAAATAGAAGAGAAACCAGTGATCCGTCAGATGTGATAATGCGAATATAATAATTGATCAGTAATCGTTTGCTAGTGCATTAATTAGGTGTATTAGAAAAAATGAACCTCGCGCGACACGTTATCATTTTTTAAATAACAATTATATTCATTGCCAAATTGCCTTAATTTCTTTTGAAATTTTTTTTTTCAATTGCCAAATCATAGTATTTGCAATATAAATATAACGAATCAGTCTACGAGCTAAGGCACAAAAGCAGTCTTCTCTTTCACTGTTCTACATCTCTCTCTACTCTCTAAACGATGGCAAACAACTGTAATTTAGTCAGTGTTCTATGTGTATTTTTGGTATTGACTCTCTTTCACAACCCCATCACCGTCTCCGGACAGAATGTTCCGGTGGTGGCCTTGTTCACCTTTGGTGACTCCAACTTCGATGCCGGAAACAAACAGAATCTCACCAAAACCTTAGTCGCTCAAGGTTTCTGGCCGTATGGAAAATCCCGAGATGATCCCAACGGCAAATTCTCCGACGGCTTCATCGCTCCGGACTTCGTCGGTACGACTTTTTTTTGTTGTTAATATAACCCGAAGACTAATTAAATCGAACTCTCCAAAACATAAAACATGATACTTTTATCATTTAAAACGTTAGTAGTTACAAATCACGAGTATTGGCTATTAGTTATTACTTAAAATAACGTTGAAAGTATTATACAGTAAATATGAGTTTTGAAAAATGGTTAGTGCATTAATTCATCTGCTATTCACTTTTCGAAACACATGTAAAAAAAAAAATCATCAGCAGATTTGGAGATGTAGTAGTAACGAGAATTATTTGTATTATATGAAAAAACTAATATATTTCTAAAATACAAATGCAGCAAAATTCATGAAGATCCCGATCGCGATCCCGCCGGCGCTTCAACCGAACGTCAATGTCTCACGTGGAGCTAGTTTCGCCGTCGCCGATGCTACTCTACTCGGAGCTCCAGTGGAATCTGTAAGTCAACTTAATTAATTTCTTATTATTCCCTATAATATATATATATATATATATATATATATTGTATATCTTATATTCAACACCTAATTGAAAGAAAATTAATTATATGTACGTCTTTTATTGACCCGGTCATACTAAGCGGGAATTTTTTGTTTTACTTCACAAGTTCACATAAAGACATCTGACCTAATGTCAATAAGCTTTACTATAATTTATTTGCAATCATAATTTTGGTTTTTGTCTTTTTATTTTTCTTTAGTTGACTCTGAATCAACAAGTGAGAAAATTCAATCAAATGAAAGCAGCAAATTGGAACGATGACTTCCTGAAGAAGTCAGTGTTTATGATATACGTTGGTGCAAACGATTACTTGAATTTCACCAAGAACAACCCTAACGCCGATGCATCTGCTCAACAAGCTTTTGTCACTTCCGTGACCAACAAGTTAAAGAACGACATCAGCTTGTTGTATTCATCAGGAGCGAGTAAATTCGTGATCCAAACCCTAGCTCCATTGGGTTGCTTACCCATCGTCAGACAAGATTACAACACCGGGATGGATCAATGCTATGAGAAACTCAACGATTTGGCTAAACAACACAACGAGAAAATTGGACCGATGTTGAACGAAATGGCTAGAACAACTCCTGGTTTCCAATTTACCGTTTTTGATTTCTACAATGCCATTCTTACTAGGACGCAGAGGAACGCAAACTTCCGTGAGTTGGTTAATTTTATTTATTTAAATTTTATAACTTCTAATACCATGTGATTAATACTCATATACAAAACCGTTAATATTTGTCACTCTTAGGGTTTTTCGTTACGAATGCATCGTGCTGCGGAGTTGGGACTCACGATGCTTATGGTTGCGGTTTACCTAACGTGCATTCGAGGCTATGCGAGTACCAACGGTCTTACCTATTCTTCGACGGACGTCACAACACCGAGAAGGCGCAAGAAATGTTTGGTCATCTTCTTTTTGGAGCGGATACAAATGTTGTCCAACCAATGAACGTCCGTGAGCTTGTTGTTTACCCAGTCGATGAACCTATGCGTGAGTTTTGGGTGCCTCCAACAACGTCAGCCACTGTTCAAGCCAGCGACTCTAGCTCCTCCTCTAGCCGCGGTTACGAGTATTACTGAGTCTCTCTAAAAATCAGTCTTTAGGGTCAATCATGTTTCTACAAGGCTCGTGAGTTAAATTTTAATCGAATCAAAATCGGAATCTTGATGTGTAACGTTTTTTCGTTTTCCCTAGTGAGTTTTCCTCTATTAATAAAAGATTGATCTTTGCAACTTTACCACGCAGTGGAACTAATCGTGAGTTCATTAGTCTATCGATTCACTCTAATCTATTCGAGAGCTTAATTATTTAATAAAAATAAATTATGTAAAAATATATGACGATATGTTTTATGACACCGAATTAAATAATAAGCTGATTTTAATTATAAAAAAGAATATGATATCTATTACTAGTTGGGAAATATAATACTCTCAACTGAAATAAATATAAATTAAAATATAATTACCACTTGGGAGTATTTTATTACAGTAAAATAAATATGATCTGATTTTGTGCAGTATGATCTGATTTTGTGGATCATGACGGGAAAATAAAATAAGACCAAACAAATCTCATCCGGTCATAAATTTAGTAATTTTCTTCTATTTAATTAAGTAAGAGAAATAAATGACGCTTGCTTATCCCAAGGTGGAAAGATAGAAACATACAAATATTTAAAAATCTCCATAATTGAAGCAACACACCGATCTTGACTTTATCTATCCTATATCTACGTTCAATGTTGATAAAATAGTACTAAAACGATTTGGATCGCATCACATGATATATAGTACTAGATCCGTCTGACATGGTAACATTTATTGTCGGACTTATATAATTGAAAAAAGCAACTTGTTTATATTACTAATCTACATTTGATAATGTTGAATGGCAATAAATTGTAATTTTAATTTTTAACTATCGTCGTAGGCAGCTAATCTTCCTGTGCAAGAAAGGTCAACGGAAATTAAGCGCTAAGGTTTCTACTAGCACATCTGCACATGTTTCTTGTTGTCTATCTAATTGTATTGTAACTCAGTATTTCATCAAGATTATTTACTTCCACCATAAAACTTGTTCTCCTTATCACAAAAAAACTAATCCATTTTATTATTATATCCTAACACACAAAAATTATATGACTAACATGATTAGGCAAGATATTATAGTGACCTCGTCAGTTATTTTCATATGCACACATATAGACGATTCTAGGTAAGCCTAAATTCAAATAAGGCTTTGAGATTATAAGGTCCAGTGACATTGGGTGATCCGCCCCAAATCAGCTCTGCGATCTGTCGATGAGCCTTTTCCGTCAAATGAGAGGAATCAAAGAACAAATAATCGGTAACGTTTTCGCATAGCTCGTAACCTTGTGACGGCCCTCTTCGGTTTCCACACGTATTGATTCCTCTCAGTGGTCCGCTTCCACAACATGCCTTCTTCCCTTCTTTGAACCCTTCAAAATTAACAAACACAACAAAAAAAATGCTCTTAAAGGTAAACTATATATAGATCGATCTCTTACATATATGTAACTACCAAGTTTAGTTACCATATTTTGAAGGATTATTGATTCTTTCGGAAATTGAAGAGTGATAGTCGTGAAGAGCGTATCTAAATCCGGATAATTCGCGTTGTAGCCGCCTTAAGACATCCGGAAACTTCTTGTTGTGCATGTCGATAAGCTCAGTGGCAGGTTTGAAACAAGATCCTATCTTTGTTCGGTCTCTTATCAATGAACTTGGTGCACATTCGTACGGTCCCACGTTCAAAAATCCAAACTTCCTTCCTCCCATTTTATAGAGTGTCTAAGAACCATATCATTTATCTCATTTTAGACCATAGTTTAATAATTTGAAATTAGTTTTCCATTTTATTTTTACCTTGACCACGGATGTCGTGTTACCGATAACAAAATCGACGAATTTCTCTTTGGAATTGGATTGGAAAGTTGAGGAGTTTGCAGAGAAAGGATAAAAATAGTCGTTGACTCCGATATGAAACAGATAAACAGCTCTTGAGAAAACCTTTTTGGTATCTGCATCTCCTAATTCAGATCTCAACCTCTTTTCAACATCCTTGAAGTTGTTTAACTGTGTTCCCAAATTTATTACCTTGAATAATTTAAAAAAAAAAATTGAAAAAATGTCAAATAGTCAGATAACTTTGAAGTAATAAAAGCTACACAAGATTTTTTTGTTTCTACTCCCTCTCTCTCTCTTTGATTTAAGTGTCTTTCTAAATATATTCTCCTGTTTTAAAATTAATATTATCTAAAGTTTCAAATATATTTTTATCACAAATATTTAGTTTAGCCATAGTGAAAATACGAAATAAACCAGAATTCCAAGAGAGTTAGTAGTAGTTTTTTGTAGGTACATGAAAACAAAATTAATTTGTTTCCTTAAAAGTCGCATGGAAAAAATATCAAATCAACATTTATATTGATTTGGAACAATTCAAACTGATGATATTTACCATTCCACCAAAGGAATCGACTAAAGCTCCGGCGCCAGCAGAAGCAAAACTTACTCCATAAGTAAATTGATTGTTACCGTTGCTTGGTTGTAGATTTGGCGGGATCAACGGTAACCATGCGTTCTCGGCTGCCACGTCAGCGATTAGTGAAACAAAAAAATGTTAAAATTTTCTAGGAAATAAAACTTACAAAACAGAGTAGTTTTGTTATGTTACCGATGAAATCAGGAATCAATCGTCCGTCTGAGAGTCTTCCGGTGGGAACTTTGAAAGTTGTTTGACCGTACGGCCACATATTAGACCGGAAACTTGAGACGGTATCGATGTAGTTGTTGTTTCCGGCATCGAACAGAGAATCTCCGAACACGAACAACGCAGCTTGGTTTGTTATAAGAATGTTCTTGTTTTCGCAGTTGATTGAGCCGATCGATAAGATTACTGTATTGACGAAAAAGATGATCGAAACTAGTCGAGAGCTTCCCATGTTTAATCGTTAACGTTAATGTTTTGTCCACTAGTTTGACTATATATATATTCATAACATTAGTTCTTCCAACAGTTTTTTTTTTTTTTTTTTTTTTGTTATATACTATAGTATATTCTTTTTTGTTATATATATAATGTTCCTATGCACGACTTTGAATCAAAATCGATATGATGTCTTGTTGATAAAAGTATATATGAGGTGACAAAGACAAAAAAACATAGTTATTTTAATCATATATTTTCGAACTACACATGGATTTGTTTCTTCCAATTTAATTAGGATAAAAACACAAAAGGTGTTATGGAAAAATTTCAAAGATTTATCGATTTGTGCTTATATATTTCAAATCTATAATCACGTGTTCTTAATTTTTTTTTTTTTCAGTACATGCATAGTTTTCGATTTAATATAAACAGATACAACATTAAATCAAAACCGGTAAAACTTTACCTTGCAAACCTTGAAAATCAACAAAGAACTTAGTACAAAAGGGCTCATACTCATGATGATCATAGTCAAAGGAAAAGGAGTTGTTCTACATATTTTCGCACTACAAAGATATCATTAATTAGTTGATAGTTTGAAAATAATGTTTTTAAAATATTTAGGATTAGAAACCAAGAAGCTTTATGATTAGTCAAAACTTCAAATTAATACTTTTTTAGAAACAGATGCATCTGCATGTGTCACTTTTGACGTGATCATTAAATAGTAGTAAAGGATAGAGCGAACGAGCGAAGTCTTGCCGCCAAACTGGACCGTGGATCGCGTTTGGTCGTAGCGAAAGTTTTGTTATATGACAACTTGTCAGTTTTTATATTTGCCAAAGCCCAAATGGGTAGTTTTTTTTTTTTTTTTTGTGGGGTAAAGAAGGAAACCCTAAAGCAGTAAATTTCAGTAATAACAATAATCTTTTTTGGGTCAAATAAGTAACAATCTTAAAAATAATTTAAAAGACTTACAAGTAATCTTCTAGAAGAAAAACTTAGAATGATAACTTTACTACGGAACGAAGACTGATCACTGATTCAAAATAAAAAAAAAATTATGTGATTCATGAGTTCAAGTAATTTGAGTTACGAATATTTGCTGAAAGAAAAGAAAAAAAAAATGTTCCAATCAAAAGCCAAGTTTAATTATTTTTTGCTGATACCTATAGAAGCATCGAATCAGTGAACCACCTACTCTTTCAATGCACGTTTGCAAGGTTGGTCTGGGCTGTCTCGCCGATTCCTGCTCTCCCTGGCGGAGAGTGGTCAGATTCCCTATACTCAAATATGTATTGGGTCCTCAACCTTGAGAATGAGTGTCCTCAGCTAAAAGAACAAGCTATCTTGGTTCCTTGGCTGCTTTGGAGGCTCTGGAAGAATAGAAATGAACTATTGTTTAAAGATAGAGAATTTGGGGTTGAGGAGGTTCTAAGAAGGGTTAAGGAAGATGCTGCGGAGTGGCAGATGAGAAAAGAGGAGAACAGGAATAGCGAGAACATAATGGCGAAGCAGACAAATGGGAAATGGAGGAGCCCACCTGCCCAATGGGTTAAATGTAACACTGACGCAGCTTGGCAATCTGATGGCCACCTTTGTGGGTTAGGATGGGTACTCCGGAATGACAAGAGTCGCGTATTATGGATAGGGGCTAGAGCTTTACCAAAGCTTAAAAATGTCCTGGAAGCAGAGCTTGAAGCATTGAGATGGGCAGTCATTATGATGAGCAGATTTAATTATAAAAAGATCATCTTCGAATCAGACGCTAAGTCCTTGATTGATCTTTTGAATAAGGATGAAGACTGGCCAAGTTTACGACCCTCCCTGCAGGACATCCGAGCGAAGCTCCAGCTCTTTGAAGAGGTTAAATTTCAGTATACGCCAAGAGGAGGGAATAGTGTAGCCGATAGAGTAGCGAGGGAATCTCTTTCTTTCACGAATTATGATCCTAAGCTTTATTCTGTTGTGCCGAGTTGGTTAAAAAACAGTGTGGATTTAGAATATGGTTTGTAATAACGTTGGTTAATGATGAATTGATGTTGAGCCAAAAAAAAAAAAAGAAAGAGGAAAAAAAAAGAACAGAGGCTCAGACTTCAAAATAAAAACATCAATGGGCTTTTAATGATCTTCGGTTCATAATACATTAATACTAATAAGTCACTTAAACGGCCCAATTAGTTTTTCAAACAGTCGTTAAACAAAAACTGTAAAAATGTAAAAAGTCGAAGAAGTAAATCAAAGAGACGTTTCCACAACGGTCAAAAAGTTCAAATCAAAACATTTGTAATACATCCGTCTTAAAATAGCCGTTTCTTTACAACGGTAAAAAAATATATATTATAGAATATTAAAACATGGATGGTTATAAAAGGAAACACAAAGAAGAAAATTTGTCTTCACTGTCTCCAAATTCTCTTTAGGTATGTCTCTGATCGTCGTCATATAGCTATCTATTTTGAAAACCTTCTGCTTTCAGATTTCAAGTGCTTTGGTCTCAGATTTTTTTTTGCTTTGTTTTTTTCTTTTCTTCAGATACCTCTTAAGGTGGTCCAATGAAGATTCTTATCAAGACGGTGAAGGGAAATTAAGATAATAAACCTAGAGGTTGAGGATAGCTCCGAGACAATCGACATCAAGATCCGTGGAGAGCCGACCCGTCAACTGGTTTTGGGTCTGGGTCCGGCGGGTTCGGGTCAGGGTGAAGTCATGATGATTTTTGTATCAACGCTTAAGGGGAAAACATTCAACCTAGAGGTGAAGGGATCCGAGACAATTAAACAAGTCAAGAAAACTGCAAGATGTTATATATATGGCCAATTTCTTATTCGATTCTTATTATTATTATAGCAAAGATTAATCAATCATTATGACAAATAAAACACACACGCAATAAAAACATGAAAAGCAAGATGCAACGGGTGATTGAGCTTAATGATAATGAAGTTCAAATAGCGCTTTGAGATTATAAGGTTCGGTGACGTTGGTCGATCCGCTCCAAATCAGCTCTGCAATTTGTTGATGAACTTTCTCAGTCAAATGAAAAGGATCAAAGAACAAGTAATCTGTAACGTTTTCGCATAACTCGTAACTTTGAGATACTCCCATTCGGCCTCCACATGTATTGATTCCCCTCAATGGTCCGGTTCCACAGCATGCCTGCTTCCCCTCCTTAAACCCTATATATCAAACAAAACAATCCAAAAGGTTATACTAAAGAATCTGTTACATCAATTGCAATTATTATTAAGCAATGTTACCGTATTTCGAAGGATTTTTCATTCGTTCGGATAAGGAAGTGTGATAGTCATGAAGAGCGTATTTGAATCCCGGTAGTTCACGCTCTAGCCGCCTCAAACCATCCCGAAGCTTCTCGTTGTGCAGATTGATCAGCTCGGTGACCGGCTTAAAACAAGATCCTATTTTTGTTTGGTCTATAATCAATGAGGCTGGTGCACAATCATACGCTCCCATGTTCAAGAACCCAAACTTCCTTCCTCCAATTTTATAAACTTCCTAAGAACAAAATCACAAGCTCACATTAACTGATCAGCCTTGTCCACAAGAGAATCCATACATCAATTTTGATATGATTTACCTTGATCACGGCCGTCGTGTTACCGACAACAAAATCGACGTATATCTCTCCAGGATTGGATTGGAAAACGGAAGAGTTTGTAGAGAATGGATATTGATAATCGTTGACTCCAATATGAAACAGATAAACTGCTCTTGCAATAACACTCTTCCCTTCTGCTTCTCCTAACTTAGATCTCAACACATATTCAACCTTTTTAAAGTTGTTTAATTGTGTTTTTAAATCTATCACCTTGACCGGTGAAAATGGGGAAAAAAAGAGTGTAAAAAGTCAAAACAATTATCATCGATTCAACTAATAAAGATATACAAATTTGAAAGTAATAACTAATAAGTGATGATTACCATTCCGGGAAAGGTTCCGGCTAAAGCTCCGGCACCGGCGGAAGCAAAACTAACTCCATAGGTAAATTGATTTTGACCGTTACTTGGTTGTAGATATGGTGGGATCAACGGTAACCATGCGTACTCCGCTGCCACGTCGGAGATTCGTTAAAAAAAAGCCGTTAAAATTTGCCGGGAAACAAAACAGAGTAATTTTGTTACCAATAAAATCAGGAATTGTACGTCCGTCGGAGACTCTTCCAGTAGGGAATTTGAAAGTGTTTTGGCCGTATGGCCAGTAATTAGACCGGAAACTGGGAAGAGTATCGATGTAGTTGTTGTTTCCAGCATCAAACACAGAATCTCCAAACACGAACAAAGCGGATTGGTTTGTTACCAGATTGTTGTTGTTGTGTCTGCAGTTGATGGAACCGATCAATACGATTGTTGTGTAAGCAAAGAAGATGATCGAAGGTGATCGAGAGTTTTCCATGTTTAATGTTGTGTTCTTGGTATTATTTGTAAATGCTCTGTTTTGTGCTTGTACAATAATGATCTGTTTTGTTCTTCATATAATAGCAAGTGCTCTGTTTTCATTTATATATATTTTTGAATTTTTTTCAATAGTTTCTTTCAATAAAATTGGTTGATTGATAAGAATTTTTTTTTTCTTGTGGTCAAGTTGTATATAAGAAATAGTGTTGTAAAATAGATCTTCCAACTGCCCATTTGTTTTTAATTTTTGTTGTTGTTGTTGTCGTCGTTTGTTCTTATTTAGACCTATACTATCTAACCATTTAAGAGAGATTGTTGTGAAAAAGTAAGGATTTTGAGTTGTTGAGCAATCCAATCATTGTGGTCATTGCGTACGTGCCGTTATTGTTGTATTCAATATGGCCACTAGAAACAGAACGTTTTAGTGTAACTACTTCTGATATCGATAACGAACTATGTTACAAGACCGGAGTTATATTCCTGATTTAAATATCTCTACAGCCCATTTTTTTTCATTTGCTTGTGGCCTTCGAAAACTTAGAGCCGGCTCTGACTGAAGGTCAGTTGGTAACCAAACTTCGGAACTTGAGGAAAAAATTTGATGACAAAGTTTTGAAGTCTTTTGAAAAAGGAAAGACTGAAGAACAGATTGTTTATTCAAAAGCTTTTGACCAGAGATGTTATGATTTATCGAGAAAGATTTGGGGAATTGACGGTGTTTTTCCTTCAAAATCAAAGAATATGCGCCAAGGTCAGCTTGAAGGAAGGGTCAAGGATGAAGAAGATGAAGAGCCACAGAGCACACCCTTATCTTTTGGTCAAGAGTTCGTCTCTTTCGTTAAAGCTGAGAATCCGAATTGTATAGGTATTGATGAAGTAGAGTATTTTGCAAGTTGGGATAAGGTCAAAGATGGACCAAAGAAGCGAGAGTTGGAAAAAACGTTGAAGAAGATGCAGGCTAAGCAAGCGGAGCTTTGTATGATAAGGATTGAATTAGTGGCAGACGCGGCGAAAATAATGTTTAAACAAGACAACGCATCTTCTTCGGGTAAGTAGATGGAAGATCCGAGCATTTTTAGCAACACTTTTCCATTGATAAAACTTGAAAAGAATTCTTAATTACCCAAGTAAACACACCCAAGTTAACCAAATGTTTTTATAATCGAATTTTAAATTTGTTTCAGTCTAACTATTTTAATTTGGTTCGGTCTAGTAAAATTTAAAGAGATTATCAGAAGCAGAAGAAATAAAGAGAAAGAATGTAGACTTCAGGGGCTAATCAGCTCTAGGAAAAAATGTTTTTAACAAATAATAACCCATGCATATCAACAAAAAAAATATATATATATATTTTGTAAGGCGTTGGACCACTAACAAAAATTTATGCTAAATCACAAATGGATTTTTTTTTAACTTTTGAATAGACCAATGTTGCAGAAGTATATTTTACATATAACTGTAGATTTCCAATAAGGAAACCAAAGAATCATCTTGGTTTCTTCACAACGGTCAATTAAAAAAACTTTTTATTCTTTTCCAAAAAGGGTCAAACGAATGGAAAAGAATTATTATATAGAAACTTATGAAAAGTGGAAACAAATAAAATCTCCCAAGGATCATAAACCTATATAAATGCTTTCAGATTCTCGGATTAGAGATTCAATCACTTAAAGACTTTTCTCAAGTAGATTCAAACAAGAAAAGGTGTGAAATATTCTCAAGATCAGTGTGCAGTGACAAGAATGCAGATATACGTAAGAGATATGATTGAAACGTTCATGAACCTAGAGGTTAAGGGATCCGACACCATCAAAAGCATCAAGGAGAAGATCCAAGACAAAGAGGGCTTTCTAGTGGTGGACCAGAGGCTCGTCTATCACGGCAAGCAGCTCGAGGATGGTCGCACCATAGACGACTGCCACATCCAAGATGGATCGATACTTAACTTTATCCTTCGTGTCCGTGATGATCGCTAGAACTTTGCCATTGATTTGTGATATTAAAGACCCCTAAAAATAAGTTTTGATCAAGGCAATGTAACTAGGGGAGTAACTGGGTAAGAAGAATCTAGTCTTCCTATGAATGAAATAAAAATAAAATAATTTGTTGAGATAATTGAGCTCTTATTTATTTATCTTTTCTGATATGTGTATACTTACGTATACATTTTTTTGCTGAGCTGAATTGTTTGAGATAAGTGAGCACTTATTTATTTATTTATTTGAATATTTACCGTTTGAGATATAACTTCACATTTTAAAAATCTCATATGTTTATAATTAGTGGAGGTTTTCCATAAATGTTTTCACTTTTCACTGGGTATTACGCTGAAGCATACCAATAATTTCAAAGATATCAAATAAAACACAGAGATCAAAACCAAGCGACTGTTTGCACAATCAATTTTAATACAACGATGGAAAATAATTTATGAAACCTGAAAGATTTGTCCAATCTCTTCTTCTCTGAAGAACAAACGTTCTCGCCTGACATAAACCCATGATTTATTTTCCGTTGCAGGTTTCTTGCGGTCTAAGTAACAGTGATTGTAGTTCAAAAAAATTTATATTGTGCAGATTGTTCATATTATTGCAAACGTTCATCAATTCTTATTATTTACAAACAACACAAAGAACATGACTAATATAGCTCGGACTAGACAAGATAGTAACCTCGTCTTATGTATACATCGACAAAATCTACTTCAATTAATTCAATCAGGGTTTGGGGATTACAAGGTCCGGTAACATTCGACGGCCGGCCAAATAAGCTCAGCAATCTGTTGATGAACTTTCATGTGTGATGGACTGAAAAAAATTGAGAAATTAAGTAAAATCTTTAATTGATTAAAAATTTAAGAATTCACACTAATGGAACTTTAGTAGATGTTTGACCCACATAAATGATAGGGCAATCGATCGTAGTGTCATATACCGATATGTGCATATACCGATATGCGACCAAAGAGCCACACACCAACTTGGTTTCTTCACAACGGTCGATTACATCTCAGTCAACACGACATTTCCAAAAAGCCGTCATAACAATAAATGAAATAAGTATAGGGAATTGTTAACCAAATAAATTCCCACAACGACCTATTAAAAGAAACCCTATGAGATTTAGACTAAGAGTTGCATCTGCTTTGGTCTCATTATTCTCCGTTTATTTTCTAACCACCTTCTCTTGTGAGTACTGAGTACGCGTGTGGTAGAATGCAGATTTCTCATAAGGCTATGGATGGGAAAACAACGATCAACCTAGAGGTTGATAGCTCCAAAACCATCGACCTCAAAATCGACGAAGACCACACGAGCTGTGGAAATATTCCACCGAAGATTCGTCATGGTAAAGTCATGCAGCTCTTCATGAAGACTGTGGATGAAAAAACAATGATCAACCTAGAGGTCGATAGCTCCAAAACTATCGACCTCAAGATCAACGAAAACCCAACCCGTCGAAAAAATGGGCCGGACCTTCGTCATGGTGAAGGCATGCATATTTTTATAAAACCTTTGACAGGAAAGAGAATCGCCTTAAATGTGACAAACTGCGAAACAATCGATAACGTTAAGGCCAAGATCCAGGATAGAGAAGGCATTCCGGGTGACCACCAGAGGCTGTTCTTTGCTGGCAGGCAACTCGAAGATGGTCGCACCGTAGCCGACTACAACATCCAGAACAACTCGACCCTTCACTTAGTACAGCGTCTCTAAGACGTGGCGGCTAATTTGGATTTTTATATTCGTATGTCTATTTTCTTGTTAAAGACAATGTAACCAGTGGAGTTTTAATGAATTCAAGATGTTTTATATCTTGTTTTTGCTTAATTTCTTTCTTTTAAAAAATGCAAATTATTTAGTAGTAGTCTTTGTATCATTCTTGTTTGTGCGTTACTTCCATTAATTGTTGCAATTGGTTAAAAGAATGGCTAGTTCGTTTTGATGCGAGAGACTGCTGGATCTACCGGAAAACATGACATCACCTTATTTTGTAAAAAATGAACATAAAATCCATGTGTATTATAGTGTTATACATTCAAATCAAGGAATCTGAAATAACTTATTGATATTGTATGGGCCAACCACTAGAGAATCTGACATGTGCCCACCGTTCCAAATTAGCTTTGCGAATTGGTTATATGTATTTTGTGTGAGATGAAGTGAATCCCAAAAAATATAATCTTTAGGATTCTCACACAACTTATATTCTTTCACAATTCTCTTCCCTCCACAGCTGAATACTCCTCTCCACTTCCCTGTTCCACAACATGCTTCTTCCCCTTCTTTAAACCCTTTTATTTATCACAAAAATGGTATTGGGTTATGAACATATATTTTAATGGGCCCCTTAATGAATAAGTGGTGGAATAGCCCAAGAAAATCCACAAAGAGTCGACTTACCAAATTTAGAAGGATGTTGCATTCTGACTCTGAGGCTTTTGTTCATGTCAAAGAGGGAGAACTTGAAGCCCTTGACTTGTCTTTGCATTTTAAACAAGAGATTTGCCAGAGCTATGTTATGCATGTTTGCTAATCTTGAAGCATCTCTTAAGCAAGAATCATTCTTCAGTTGTAGTATTCGTAAAGCCGGAAAACAACCCAAATCCGGCACATTCAAGAACCCGAATTTACGTCCTCCAATCTTGTATATTTCCTGTTAAAAAGTCATATAACGAATAAAATGAATGCAAACAAATAAGGTTTATTATGATGGTGACGATGATATGATGATGAACTTACATGAATGAATGTAGTCAGGTTACCAATGACAATGTCAACATGTTGAGACATTGAAATGGAAAGAGATTGATTGGTCAAGAAAAGGCTTGAGTAGTCATTGCTCCCAATGCTTATCAAATAGACAGCTCTTGAGATTCTCTTCTTGCTTTCTTCTTTACCAAATTTTGTCCTCCACAATCTCTCCACTTTCTTGTAGTGATCCAATTGTGTTCTCAAATTTATAACCTTACAATTATTAGGAATTGGTCACCACGTTAAACAACATAGAATAATACATCTGACCTAACCTAAAATTTAAAAATCTAATTGTCCTAATTGTCCTAAATAAGTAAGTGGGTTCTACATATTTTGCAATTTAATAATATTAAAAAGGGATTCTACTATCTTTATTTATATGATATATCTAAGTAAAGCATGTAAAAGGATACAAAACAAAATACGTACATTTTAAAGAAGATTGTCAATTAATTTAGCCACAATAATCGGGTCAAAACTCGAAACCCACTTCCATATGCAATCATTTAATCAACATTTTAAGTATATAATACTCCATTCAATCAAAACTCATAGACCAATTAAGCAAATGAAACTCAATCAAATGATATATCTATTTTAAGATACACTATAATGCAAAACTATTACTAAAAAATCCCAAAGAAAAAAAGAAAAAAAAGGTAAAAGATAAATAACGTACCGAACCTTGGAACGTTTCCACAAGAGCACCAGCACCAGCAGACGCAAAGTTGACGCCGTAAAGCTTCTTTTGACTATTTCCCGGTTCCAAAAACGGCGGAATTAACGGCAAATTCGCATATTCCGCTATCATTAACGTACATTTCCGTCAATATTATATATATATATATATATATATATATATATATATATATATATATATATATAAATAAGACCACGACCTAAAAAAAAGAAATAACAAAACTTATATAAATGTTCTCACCAATGAAATCGGAGATGAGACGACCGTCGGAGAATCTTCCGGTGGGGAGGCCAAAGAATGTTTGACCGTAAGGTGGAAAATTGGCTTGGTCAAGTGTTGTGGTATTTATGTAATTATTGTTTCCAGCATCCAAGAAAGAGTCTCCGAAGAGGAACAAGGCCGTCACATTATTGTCACCGTCGTGAGAAAATTTGGCTGAGGACTTTCCGGCGAGAAAGATAATGGTGGAAGAGAAGATAAAGAAGATGAAGGAGGAGGAGAAGGAGATAGTTCTTCTCGTGACTTTCTCCATTAATGTTGACTCTCTCATTCACCACAAAATTCTAAAGACTCGTGTTGTGTGTGTTATATAGACCAAATCATTTGCTTTTCTAAGCTAACTTATAGACATGTCGACAAGACTATGTATTTATTTATAATATAAAAATGTGTGTCCACACTTATATTATATACAAGCCCTATTACTATTCATTCTTTTACATAGACTTTTTAAAAGAAGTCAAATGGTTTGATATCTTCACAATAATAGGGGAAACCAAATGATATCTCAAACTTTTCCTCTTATAACTCATGCACCCTTACGGTTAATTTGGATTACATTTTGATAGTAACACGAAAATATAGTTATTTCTCATTTTTTCTTTCTTACAAATTTTTCCAGAAAGAATCAATATATATTTTCTGAATAGACGTGAAATAAAAAGAAATATATTTCACTCATCTGTTCTGAAAATTCAATATAAATGACCAACAACATATAAATAAAAATCTCAATGTACTGACATATATCAGTAAAAAGAATGTGTGCTAAGACCATCTCCAATGTATTTTCCTATTTTTAGCTCTATCTCTATAATAGAGGTAAGTTTTCTCTATTTTTACTTCAATGTGTTCCTCTATTTTTTCCTCTAAAAAGTTTAACTCTATTTATAGAGGAAAAAATAGAGATCTCTATTTTAGAGATGAGAATAGAGGTGGGTTGGAGCAAATTTGCCTCTAAAATAGAGTTTAGAGGCAAATATAGAGGTGGGTTGGAGATGCTCTTAGATATTTTATACAGAGAGTGAAAAGTCCAGAAGAGCTAATTTACTCTCTCTTTTTATTTTCTTTTATCATAATAAACGGTCACGAGAAAGACACAACAAACTCACCAGTTACCACTTGCAAAAACAAAGTCCAACCTTTAGATGCTTCTGTGGTTTAACGTCGTCGTTTTGGCATTTTTTTCCTCTAGATTCAGTGTACCACGAAATAACAAAAGTGGCTCACTTTTCTAGGCAATCTCTTTGATGATCACCGCTTTTTTCTGATCTCAAATTTACGAAAACCGGTCCTTAATTTTCGTCCGGTTTGGTTCAAATCTAGCTTGTGACTTCTTTTGTTATGTTCAACATTTCTCACAAACTCTTAGTAGCACTAGCACACATAGAAGATTTATTTGATTAAACAGATGAGAGGTTCAAACACATTATGACAAATGTTAAAGGAGTTTTGGGGCACAAAGTAACAAACCACAAAACACAAAACGAATTTAAAGATTCACTAAAACAAAAACTACCACAACCCTTAAATTAAGCCTCTTACTTAACTTCATCACACGTACCCTCAAGATAGAGGCTTATTGCTTCTTGCAATGCAAACAAGCTTTCAGACAGCAACTCCTGAAAGAGACAGAGACAGCAGAAGAAGATGAAAGTAACAGACATTAGAACGATGCGGGAAACTCACTAACATGCAGCCTTATTTACATGAAAATGGATCTCTTCAGAAGACTCCTCCAATCATGGAATGAATCTCATCAATGCTCCATAGGTCCATAGGGTTTGCACAATTGTCCTGAGTCGTTACAGCATCTTCGTTGAGGAAATCCAGCGAAGCGTCCCATTCAGTGTTGTTGTAAGGTGTCTCGAAATCCAAAGACTTGAGCTTCTTAGCTGGATTGGCTTCCTCAAAGAATAGCGCAGAAGAGATGTCAGGAGTTATTGGAGCTTGATCGCTCCAACCAAACTCAGAACAATCAAACGAATTACTACCCTGGTCTGAGCTGAAATACTGATACCCGTTACATCCAGCATCAACGGAGTTTGTCAACCCAAACTGATTGTTGTTGTTCACTTGGTGTTTCTCCTCCTCCATGAAACACATATTGTCAAAGGAGTTGTTCAGATTCTGAACCAAAGCTGGACTTGGGTTTGGGTTGGGTTTAGCCACTGGTTTCTGAAGATTAGCCTTCACAGAGCGTTTCTGAGAATTAGCCTTGGTGTTTTCCTCAGGGAAATTCACCTTAGCTTTAGATCCACGGATCCTCCTTGCTGCAGCATCGTAAGCTCTAGCAGCTTCCTCAGCTGTCTTGAAAGTTCCAAGCCAGATTCTAGCACCTTCTTTTGGATCACGTATCTCAGCAGCCCATTTGCCCCAAGGACGTTGCCTAATCCCTCGGTACTGATTCTTCCTCTTCCTCTTTCCAGATTTCTCAGCTTCCCCATGAACTTTCTTACCAAAAGCTGAACCAACAACAACAACAAAACAAAAGACTTCTTATATATGACTCTCATCAACAAACTCAAATCAAATCTCATCACACAAATCAATCCTCATAGCCCCAAAAAACATCACTCAAAATCATATGCATATATATCAAGCCTCATGCTTTACACAACAATCAAAATCATAAGCATATAAATAAAGTCTCATGCTTTATACAACAATCAAAATCATAAGCATATAAAGGTATCCAAAAACAAATTATTCCAATGAACATAGCTAAATTGAATCAAAACTTGATTTCTAACCAATTCAATCGCTAAAACTAAAACAAATCCCCAAATATTTACCTTCGGCGGCGGTAGTAGCGGCGGGTTTCGGAGTCGAAGTGAAAACGAATGGTTTCACATCGGCGAAAACATCACCGACATCGAAATCATCATCGCAATCAACAGAAGAATCATCTTTGAAACCCTGGAAATCAGCCTCGAACTCAGCGTCAAAATCAAAGAAATTAGAACGATTCTTCGAGCTTTTCTTCGATCCTTTCACATTCTTCTTCAGATCCGGCCAAATAAACTCGCTGGTAACACGGCGAGACCTCGGCGGTGGAATGAAATCGGAGATTATAGCTCCTCCACACATGTCGGTGACTCTTGAGGGTGTAAATGTTCGAAAACAAAATCTTAGCGGCGAAAATGGAAATTAATTGATACTTTTGGGGTTTATCTTTGTTTTTTACTTCTCTCTTCAACGCTTTGCTTTGGTGTTGTTCTTCAGAAAGGGCTTTTTAGCGTAAAATAAAGATGAAGCGAGTACGATGGCTGTTTACTATTATACCCTACACTTCATGTACTATTTACGTTACTACCATACTTTATACTTTATAGTATTCATTTACATTAGATTCATTTTGTAAATTAGGATTTACTCATTTATTTATGGTTAGTTGCAGTAAATAGGATTAAATTTAGTCAGATTTGACTGCTAGTAGACAATTTTTCACCTAACGTTGATTTTTTCATAAGGTCTATTTCCTTTTTACTTTATTGTACAATATAGGTCATATAGAACATTGAATATAAGTTTGAATAAAACGAAGTCAATCAAATCTTTTGATTGGTTATATTGAGACAGTTTTATTTTTATACCATGTAATAGAATGATCATTTTCTAATGCTAAAATGTGATAATTTTTGAAATGATAACAATTTGTTTCCTGAGTTTGTGTGTTTTTTTATAAATGTAAGAGGATTTTATATTAATATTTTTAATCTACTTTTAACACTATCATAATCTATATTTTATATTTTAATACAAATATAAGAATAATATTTATTGCATTTTGAATGATTAATTAAAAATAAGTAATCTAAGAAAAATGAAAAAAGAGATGGCATTGAAGTACTTGTTTGACTGATTTGCTGCCTTTTAACTAGAAGTAATATTCATTGTAGTAATAAACTTTACCAGTTGACCCTAATTCATGAGTAGCCAAAATTAAACATCTATAGATCTATATATTATTGTGATTACCATTTAAAACAAAACTACATTACTTTTGCAATATTTTTTTCCTGCTTTACATTGAATATTAAATTGTTCCACTCAGGAGGAGCCAACCACAACACATAGTCTGAAATTAAAAATTAACTAATTTTTTTAAAAAATAATATATAAATGAATTATTGATAATATGATACAAAATAAATGAATTATTGAAAAATGTCATGAAAACTATACGACGACTTTTGAATGTAATGTTTGATTACATGAGAGGACCATTAAGACCTTATGGTGTTATGCATATGGCTAAAACTGTAAAAGCATAGAACCACATTAATGAATCTACGTGTGCAGGACACGTACGATATTATTGAAGCTTTTTGAGCAAGTTGATAGGATTTGGTTTTTATGACAAAGCTTTTGTCGTTTCATGACAAAACAAAACAAAATTAACAATTCTTTGTCCTTTTGTTATATGTTGATGACTCGTATTCCAAATCAAAATTTCAAATTTTCGTTGCGTATGTACCTAAGAAACTAAACCATGTTTTATTTTAGTTTTTTGATATATGATTGCAACTTTCTAAATTATGTATAAACATTTATTGGAAGTTCAGTATTCTCTTATTTTATAAAACTCAATTTGATACGTCATACGTGTATAGTTGTACTACATGTATATAAATAAGTGCATTCGTATATTTTATACTAAAATGTACATTCATGTATATTTTATATATTAAGATCAAATTGTGAACGCAAAGAAAGACAGACGAATAAAAGAGGTAGGGTCCGAATCTTTTTCCCGGATTGAGACAAGTTCCTAAATTAGCTTATTTCAAAGAATTTGAAGATGATATCATTCATGGAGCAATTATTTGTTTCACTATTTTAACTTTTAATAATTGAAGTATACTCGATTCGGAACAACACATTAGTGCATTTTTTTGTCTTTAAATATAAACCTTATGTTTTGTTTTTTAACCAGATTATATCACTAAAGAAGCAAAAGAAATTCCATAATTAGTTGATTTTATTTTCCACCAACTGGAATCCACAATCTGAACATAAACTTCTATATGAATTGCATACAAGTGGAATCATTTTTACACAAGGCATGTTGTTTTTTTGGGCCGAATAGCTTAGCTAGTGGGCTTAATAGGTCGAGTTATAGACACTTGCAGTTAGTTCAATTTATTGGCCTTTCTAATTGGGCCGAGACCACTAACCTGCTTAGTGTGACAGTGACAGGGACACTGTTGACCAAAGTGATCACTTGACGAGGGAAAAATATATAATATCATGTAACACAATAATTCCAACTTTTAATACTATAAAATAGCATTCAATACACTATTCGCCAGTACATATTCAACACGTGCCTGAATGAGTTGTTCATATCTTCGACCAAAGAGTGTCTATGTCCATCCATATATAAAAATATCTCCATTAAAATAAAAATACAAAATAAAAACAAATCGAATAATTTTTTTTCAGAAAGATTTTCCGCTCTAAAATAACTCTTTATCCAGTTCATATCCATCATGTCAAGATCCAATCTGAATATAAGAATATTTTTCGAATTAATCATATCTAGTTCATTAATTGTGAATATGAGTCATATGACAATTTGTATAATAGATTATCTCACTAATTAACGTGTACCTACAAGTAATCTTTATCTTTGGTCAACAACTACAATTAATCTAACTAATTAACGAGCATTTTACTAAATTAGTAGTTATCCCACCTGAGATCACCACATAAACTGTCCAATTATCATTTAAGATTTTGGAAAATGACACAATTTAATTAACACATCTCTTTCTTTTTACTTATAACTTAGTAAGGTGTTTAACAAAAAAAAACTATAATTAGTGATTGCTTAAAAAAGCCTCAAGGAACTATAAATAACTGGCGTCGTCGCCGGAGATCATCAAACAAATTCCGAGACTCGCTTTTCCCGGCGCCGGAGTTACATCGTCTATACGAAGCCAACATCATCTTCGTCGAAGCCTCTAATTCTTTTCTTTCATCAATCAAAATCTGACTTTCTCTGCACTCTCTACTACAAAATCCCAAATCTCCTCTGTTTTCAAGAAAACAAAAATCGAGAATCAAGAACACATGTTTAGATTATAAAGAGTATCATATAATAAAGTTTTACGAATATTCGTACCTGTACATGTAAACATCTTTGTCTTGACGGAGTTGTTTATTGCAGAGATGACATGTTTTGAGGAAACAAAGCTCCGAGATGATTGGATTGAATCGGTTTATTCTCAGTGAAGATTTGATCACTATGTTGTTTGGTTTTTCCTTTGAATCTGCTGTCACAAGTTGCAATCCAACAGAGATTTTAGTCATTCTCTCTATCTCTGTGAATTGAAAATCTGAGCAGAGAGAAAAGTGAGAAGAGAGAGAGATGAAGTTGGAAGTGGAATGGTTTTTGGGAATATATAAAAGTAGATATTTCACTGTACTAAGTGATGTGTCTTTATGTCTCAATTAAAATGTGGAATTTGACCTTTTGGCCAATTTCTTGTCGGACATTACTACTTTTGCTATTCAGATGAAATCAGAAAATAACCCAAAAAAAATGGAGTAGTTGAAAAATAAAAAACAAAATGACATGAAACTAGTTAAATGAATAAATCAATGATTTTTATTTTTTTCATTATATTTCTAGTTGAAAAATACTTGGATTCACCCATAGGGGTGAACCTCTTATGTTCACCCCCTTTATTTCATCCAATCAAAATCTGTTACCTATTAATAATAAAAAAATTCATTTAATTATAAAATTTAATTTGCCACTAAAACGAAATTATGTTTCGGTTTAAGTTTATTAGAAAGGATTAGAGTTTAGATTTTATGATTAAACGAGTTTAACTATCGGTTTGGGTTTATAAACGGATTTAGATTTTACAATTAAACGAGGTTAAGTGTCGGTTTGGGTTTAGAAAGTACGATTAGGGTTTAGATTTTTTACGATTAAACGAGTTTAAATGACGGTTTGGGTTTACAAAGGAGAATTAGGGTTTAGATTTTATGATTAAACGAGTTTAACTATCGGTTTGGGTTTATAAACGGGTTTAAATTTTACAATTAAAGAAGGTTAAGTGTCGGTTTGGGTTTAGAAAGTACGATTAGGGTTTAGATTTTTTACGATTAAACGAGTTTAAATGACGGTTTGGGTTTACAAAAGAGAATTAGGGTTTAGATTTTGTAATTAAACGAGATTATATATCGGTTTGGGTTTATAAAAAAGTGGTTATGACTTAATTTTATTATTTTATTTAGAAAATAATTGTTTTAATTTTTTTAACTAGATGACATGGCAAATTCTAATTGGATAATTAAGAGGGGGTGAATGAAAGTGGTTCACCCCTAGGGGTGAACCCAAGAATTGTTCTTTCTAGTTTGTACGTAATCACTTTTTAAAAACGGTAAAACAAAAAAAAAACTTAATAATGTTATAAATAACAGAAAAGTATTTGTTGTCAAAAAAAAAAAAAAATCTTTAAAAAACGTGGTGTGAATAAATAGTTTACAAACATTCATTATATTTGCCATCTTCAATGTCTTTACAATCTTTTTTTAGTTCATTTCGTAGTGTTATAGTATTGGATATTCCGAAATAATTTATTTTTTTCACTTTCACGTATATACTCTCTTCGTTTCAAATTAAGTGTCGTTTTAAAATAAGTGTCTATTTATATTTTTAATGTAGATGTTTGAAAATTTCCAGTTTTATTTCGATTATATCAATGTGTTGACCAATAAAACAAATTGTATAATATAATATAAAATTTAATTAGTTTTTTAATAAGTGTTAAAAAACTTTAAACGATATTTATAAGAAAACAGATAAAATAATATTTTTCAACGGTTTGGCTCGAAGATAACTTATAAAAAAACGTGTACATATGGACATATGGTAAATTCCTAGAAAGAACGTAATTAAAAAAAAAAAAAAAGAACGTAATTTTTGGTTTAAAACGTGGGATTTGAAGTGGCCGGTGTTTTATGAATCTTACAACGTTAGCCGTTAGATCCCAACGTTAGCTTTAGTAATAGTACTTACTTACGACCAAGCAATAAAATAATACTCTTAAGAATTTACCTTCTTTAATTTTATCACGTTTCTCATGCTTTCATTTTCAAAACATCAAATCATATTATATTATGTTACATAAAAATATACTACATTATAGGTCATCTATCACTTCACTACAATAATTGCAACTATTCAATATCCATCCCATAACATATCGGCTGTGACTGTTGTGTAGTCTAGAAGAATTTAAATTCATCTGAGTCCACACAAATTTTTACTGTTATCAAAGTAAAAAAAAAATTTCAGAAGAAAACTTTATTCTACTCAAACGAGAGAAGAAGAATTCTTCTCATTTTTTTAATTTTTTATGCAAACATTTTAATATTGTTAAAAGAATTTATATACTTTTGCAAAAAACCACATCTAAGACCATACACAATGGTACAATCTTTGGTTGGATGTGAGTAATATAAAAAGGAGAATAAAAAAAAAAAAAAAATATATATATAAAGGAGAAAAAATAGAAAAATTGTGTAGAAGTTGTATGTTGGGTGTAAGTTTACACTTGGGTGTGAGTATTAAAATAAAGAGAAATATTGCACTCTCTCTATCTCTCTCTCTTTTCTCTCTCTCTTTAATTATAATAATAAAAAATTATTCACACCCACACTCACACATGTGCCATTGTGTATGCTCTAATTCTAACAATAATAAAAATATATAGCAATATAATATTCATTCTCAAGGGGGGAAATATATGAATCTTATCATGATGAGCATCCTTCACATAATTATTTTTTCCCAGTATGTCTTTGCAAAGTTCTATAATATACAGTCCTTATTTAATGTTTTTAAAGCTGGTTGTAACAATGTACACTACACTTTTTATGTATGATAAATTTCTAATCAAGTATGATATCTAATCAAGAAATTAAAAACCAGAAATAATCATACTATATATATCGAAACTTGGGAGATAAATTTGAAGTAAAGATTTCAAGTCACATAGATCTCGCTACTACCCAAAAAAATGTGCACAAGCATTAAGAATCAGAGACAAACTATGTCTGTGTATAGCCAAAAATTGGTGTTCTCATTTTTATACAAAAAATTGAGGTTTTCAGACGAGCTTAAGGAAGAAGAAGAAGACAGCTTTACTTACAAGTAAAGCTGAATAAGCTCATCACTTACTACAGATGGAGTGAGAACACCAAGATCAGTGAAGAGCAGAGTCAAGTACTGAGGAGGAGTGTAGTCCCTTGCAGATCTTTCTACCTCAACATTAGGAGGAACAGGAACATTGAAATCAATAGGTCGCAAGGCCGGTTCTAAGTCCTTTTGATCCAACGGGTAGAGCCGTGCAAACTTCGCTTGCAGGAAAACAAGAAAGAAGAGGATGAATCATTGATGATTTCTGCAACCACCTTGAAAACTTTAAAGTTATGAGAGGTTACCTTGTAACTCTCTGCAGCTACATAGACTGGTTTATTCATACTATGTGCGACGAGGGCGATTTGGTAAGTTCCCATCATGTTAATTATCCCCCCACTTTCAACTACTCCATCAGCTCCAACAAACACCATGTCTACTTCATCCATGCTATAGGCCACGGCTGAATCGATCAGAAGCTTCACAGGAATATCAAGCTTTGCGAGCTCGTTGGCTAGCAGTACACCTGTTTTATCTGGCCTTCCCTCTGGATTTTGTTTTTACGGGTGCAACGGAAATGAGATTGTCAGTTAGAAATATCAGAATGAGATAACTGGAAAGTGCCAGATCTGATTGCAAAGTCTTAAGAAGTACCTGTGCACAAAACTCGAAAGAGTTTCTTGTTTTGCGCTGATGTCTTTAGTATTTCAAACACAACTCTGGAGAAACCATGGACCAGAATAGTACAACCATCAAATATGAAATCTTGACTAAGCATTGCAATTATCGTTCGGGCCTGCAAAATTCCAATTACTGTTCAAACTCTTCTTCTACTTACTATTTATTTAAGTAATTTCCATTCTACGAAAACACTGACCTTGCAAGATATTTCCCCAAATTTCTCAGCACGTCCAAGCACACGAGATTTTGCAGAGTTGAAGTCCTCAAATTCCAAAGCAGATGTTCGAGTCACGTAGCGCATGAATAGATCACATCCTGCTGTTAAGGATATAGAGGTTGTGTCCCATGACTGAAAAATGAAGGCAATTTTACGTTTTTAGAGTTCTCCCTCGAAAACAACTGAAAGCTACTCAAATAATACCATCCGACACTCAGGAGTCAGGACTAACGAAATCCATCAGTTACCCATTTTCATAGAGACAGAATATTTCAAAGAATTATAGCATCACAGAAGATGTATATTACAACCATAAAAAAGATAGAACTTTCAACCTATCTTTCCCTTAAGAGCCACCAGAGTCTTAACTATCAAGAAACTCGCAGATTGCAGAAATGCCAAGTATAATTCAGAACTCTACAAGTCAATGCAATACCATGATCACATCTACCATTTACGCCACAAGCTAAACCTGGGTGATCGTCAAAACAATCAATGCTAAGCTGCAAACTAATAGCATGTTCGTTAAAAAATGAAAGCTATGAGTTGGCAGGATTCAAATATACCATCTGACACTCAAAACTAACGAAACCAACAATCGCTCATTTCCAAACAAACAGAACATTTAAACAAGTGTAGCATCACAGAAGATGCAAAGTACCAACCAGAAACACACCATTAAGATATCCAAAAAGATAAAACTTTCAACCTCTCTTTCTCTTTAGAGCCACCAGATAGTCTTAACGATCAATAAAATCGCAGAATGCAGAAATTACGAGGACATATAATGCCAAGAAAATTTCACACCTCTACAGGTCAATGCAATGCCACGATCACATCTACCATTTACGCCACAAGCTAAACCTAAGTTATCGTCAGGGCATGAAGCAAAATACTCAATGCTAAGAGTTCGTTAAAGATTGAATCCAAGACAAATAAGCAATTACAACACACAGTAATTCAAAACTCCGAAACTTCCCAAACAAAGAAGAAAGACTCTTACTTTCAAAGTATCAGAAGCTTTCTTGAGTTCAATTTCAAGCTCCATCATAGTAGTAGCTTCACTAGCCCTAATAACAGCCGCAAGAGCACGAATTGCCGCAACAGCCTCCGCCAAATCAGGTTGCTGTCTCCAACTATTAAACTCCTCAATCACGCTAAAGGGTCTTCCCGAAACTGAGGAATCATGGTCAGGATAACGTCGAACCGCGGCTTGAGCCTGTTCTAGCCACTCGCTGGTCACGATCCCATGATGCGCCGCTCTAGTTTGGTAATAAGCCGAAATAGGATTAGGGTTAGGGTTTTCATCCGCCATTGAAGCAGATGGTGGTGGAGGAGAATCAATTGAATGCGTTAGAGAAATGGGTTTGTTGTTCTGATGCTTATCGAGAATATACGAAGCCGATTCTCTCCACATTTTGGTGAATTCTTCGAAAATCTCAAAATCTCAATTTCAAAGCTAGAGACTTTGGGGTTTATGCCTGTAATAACATTTAATTAGCTTTAAGAACTTATTCAACAATAATATTATCATATGGCTCTCCAAAAATTGTATATTTACATTCACGACCCTAAATTTTATTTAATATTTCAATCTCACCCTAATAATTCTCACAATTTACATTTGAGAAGACTATAAGCTATAACAATACCCATTATTAAAGAATGGTCTACTTGTGGCTCCACCATCATTGTTAACACATCTTTTCCAAGATCTAAACTTTTGATACTCGATTGTTTCTTTTTAACTTCTGCCATTAATCTACCTGATCCATCTTCGATTGTGAAAACCGATTTGCGGTTTACAATCTTATAACAAGATTGTTGTTGATCATCATTAGCTATGCGCGGTACCATTACAACTTTGTATGACGAAGATGAACCTCTTGGCGATATCTTGAAGTTCTTTCTTAGTCGAAATCTTGTCCCGGTTGAGTTATATCCTTCCCAAGATTTGAATAATCTCAATTTCTATAACCAATAAAAGAACGAAGTTAGAACAAAATAATCAAAAATTATAAGAACATGGATACAATGAAATGCTTTATTATTTACCTTTTGACGTAACGTAAACAACACTTTGCCGAATAAATCCATAAGGTAAACTTCACTGCAACTCTTGGAGTTATAATTATCCACTCGATAGATTAAGTTTCCTTTGGAATCATAAACTGTGCAGCCTTTGCTATGAAACACAAGAGATCTCATCCAAATTGTGAAACTCTCTTTCCCCGTCGTTAAGTATGGCGAAATCTTGTCTTCTCCCGCGCTAGAATCCACCGTAAACACCTTGTCAGGATGAATCTTCACCATGTTCTTCGCCGGAGATATCCGAATAATCTTTCGGTTGTTGCTATATATTTGCATATAGTGTAAAAGTTTGTGTTTGGTACTGAATGATAGTTATATGTCTTCTTCGCATTTATACTTTCTACTTGTAGTAGTAATTCAGTTTCTGGGGTATCATTATATATACGAAGGTCTTCATCCACATGTTCAATGTGAGATACAAAATAAAAATAACAGAGAAAATCATGTAGCTGTAACATGTATGGTCCTTTTTGTTAAACAAAAAAAATGTATGGTCCTTTTTGTTTGTTAATACATGTATGGTCGTTGTAACGTGACCAATGTGATTGTGAGATTCGAATAATAGAGAAAGAAATATAAATAAAAATGCTTATACAATATAATAAGATAATTTCAATTATTAGTTGTGCTAGGCTTAGAATCAGTCTTCAGTTGTGGTCCATTCCATTTGCGTTCTCTGCGTTGTCCAATGCTGACAGTTTATCGGAATGATACTGCACAAAAGAATGTTTTGACAAGCAGATTAACTGTGAAAAAATCGGTTGTTTATATTTGCAAAAATTGTGGTCTTTTTTTATTTCTTATAGGTAAGCATGTTTTATTTGTAATTTGTAATAATTTGTAATTGTAATGTTTTGACAAACATATTTTATAATGTAATGTGTATAATATGATTATTATTATTGTTTTTTCGTGTATAATATGATTGTGAGATCCGAATAATAGAGAAAAACATATTTAAAAGAAAAATGCACATGATACAATATAATAAGATAATTTCAATTATTAGTTGAAAGGCTTAGAATTGATTATCAGGTCTGGTCCATTGCATATGGATCTCTTCGTTGTCCTTTTATACCGGCAAATAACTTTTTATTAAGACAACTAGTATTATGGCCCCTGCTATGCAGGAGCATATGCTATTGTTAAAAATTTAGTGATTTTTGTTAATTTTAAAGGATTTAGAAATAAGATTTAGAAAATTACTTGGAAGATCTCGAATAAGTTGCAAATCTCATCCTTTTATAATATGAGACCAATACATGATGGTTTGAAGAAATTAGTAGATGAAAGTGGGAAGTTAATTTGATTATGGTTGAAAAGAAAGAAGAGTGGGATCGTGGATTCGTGGTTTCATTTTAAAAAAATTTGTAGTTTAAAAGAATCAGTTTTCGACAGATAAAAAGGGGTTAAAAGAAAAAAACACTAAAATATTTTTTTTTTTAACTTTTGCGGAGAAAAGAAAAAAAAAGATTTTCCCTTTTTAAAATTGTAGATGACACATGTCACTCTGAGAATTGCCGACTGACTTCTGTTTTATATAATAAAGGACACGATACAAGAGTTCGGATATCCATATAGGAGGATCCATACAACCAGAAAAGAAGGAAGATGAAATACAAGTTATACAACCTTGCTTTGCTAAACTATGAACTACTTCATTACAAGACTGTTTCGTATAAAGAAAGATAACATGTTGAAAAAGTGATGCCAACTATTGAATATCTTGGCATAAACCAAAGATAGTAACATCCACAGAATGACCATTGATGATATCCAATGCTGACAGTTTATCAGAATTATTTATTATCTGCAAAAATTGTGAATTTTCTATATCCTATACAGTAAAACCTCTATAAATTAATAATGTTGGGACCATGATATTTTATTAATTTATAGTGATATTAATTTATCTATAAATTAATACTTATTAATTTATAACGTAAATTAATGTTTATTAATTTATAGAAAATTTTGTTTCAATTGTGAATTTTTTTTTAAAAAAATACGAGTTAAAGCAATGTGATCTAAATAAAATTAATGTTTTGGATGTTATAAATTTTATAGTTTTGCCTAAAACACTTAATATTTCGAAGAAAAAATAATTTATTTTGACAGTAAATAACAACAATTATAGAATTCAAATATACAAACGATATACATAAATTAAAATTCACAAATAGTGACATTCATTGTTGTATTTTAAATACCTATACAACTATTAAAACAAAAATTATGCATATTCAAAATTTGAAAACTTACAAAAACTTTTGGCTATTTTTATGAAAAACACCAAAACTATTATATATATATATATATATATATATGCAAATTTACATGATTATTAATCCTTATCTAATAAATCACAAGTCACTTCTCTAACAACTGCAGCATTATCCTTCTGCCACGTGGCTTAAGTCTAAAATTATGCACTTTCACTTTTTCTTTTTTCTTTTTGTTAATTTCCATATATATGAAAAAATAGTTAACTAAAAAGTTCTATCCTACGAAAACCTAAATTTTCTCGAGCAACCGTTATCCCACTATTCCACGGCCTTTTTTTTTTTTTTTTTTTTTTTTGAATGAATGTAAAATTTATTCAACCCAAAAAAAGTCCTTTGTACAATAAATGCAACCTTAAATCAAATATTGTTTTGAAAGAAATCAACAGAATAATTTAGAAGTCTAGTTCCTGGAATCGAACCATAGACGAAGTCCATCTTCGAGCTTGGCGGGGTTCAAGAGACGGATGGATGATATTTTGTTGCGAATCAAGCGATCAAGAAACTTGATCTAAAAAAATCATATATTACGTACAGTTTGTTCAATCATCATATATTACGGAAAGACCCAACAAAAATATAACTCATTCCATCTTTTATTGTTCGTCTCTCCTGCAAAAAAAAAAACAAAATTCTTGCTATAATATTTTTTATTATCTGCTTCATGTCTTCAGTCCATTAGTTTCTTCAGAAAAGATGATGATATCATGGATTAGCCATTTTTCCCTCAAACCGGTAGAGCACGAAGGTGGCGGCGTAAGAGATTTGAAGCAACTAACAAGTGCTTGAACATTTCGACCAAATGGAACGGTAACAAACTCACGCAAACTTCAATAACCAAAACAAAAACCCAAATCATATTTACTGAAAATTTGTTTCTAACAGGAAGTCATGATGCATCAAAGGAACATGATGAAAAGTTACAAGAGTTGATAAATTTGATGAAAGATTTAAGTTCAGAATTGAATGGTTCAGAATGGGAGTAGTTCTCAAGTTCAAATTTTGATTTGGTTCCGTAAGATAAATATGTGACTTATAGAGCTTCAAAGTCTGGGTTTTCAAGCATCGTTCTGAGTCCAAGTGCAACCTTATAACGTTTGAAGTGGAATTATTTGATTGTGATTTGCATTACACTGAATTTCATTCAGTATTTGTGTAAGATTAAAAAATATAGCTTATTTGACTTTAGTATATATCCCCTCTGTCTTTACGTGTCCATAACCCATATCTCACCTTTCATTCATCTAACTATATGTTTCTCTCTTGAAGGTAAATGATTGCGGACAACAACATTTACGACAAAACAACGGTGTGGATGGGATCAAAGAAAGAGAAGACAATTCACTTAGCTGATGGAAAAGGATGACAACTACAACAGGGGAAACAAGCAAAAATCCAAAAATGTGATTCAAATGGTTAAGCACATAGTGTCTATAGCTGTTTAATTCAATCCATTTCCTTAATGAAGAATTTTGTTTTTAATCTATGTATGTAGTTTATGAAGAACCAAGAAAAGACAAACTTAAATTGAGAACAATACGAAAATGACATTTACATGTCTCTTATGTTTAATTATTTCCATTTATCTTTAAAACTATTTTTTCCCGTACGAAGTACGGGTCTCATACTAGTTTATGATATTATTAGGACTATATTTTTACATAGAGATTTCAAAAATCTTATTATCTTATTATCTTATCGAATTTGGTTAATTTTTGCACTATCCCGACTCGGGACCGGCCAAATTTATTAATTTATCGTGTTTATTAATTTATCGAGTATTAATTTATAGAGGTTCTACTGTATTTGCAAATCAATGTGATATCATTTATTTTCCCTATAAAACTAGCAGAAGTGGACAAACCTATTTTAAACCACGTACACGCAGAAAATATGAGATAACGCATTATGGATTGACCTTTACAATATTTTATAGCCCATGGGCCTTAATAAACCCGTACGATGATTATCATCATCTATGTTATCTTTTCATGCATTCGTACTTCTCCCAAGAGTCCATGACCACTTTGCTGCTCACTAAATTACCATCCAAATCTATTTAATTCAGTTTGATATATCCGATAGTTTACTAATCCAAGTATGGTTAACTCAGCTAGTTAAAGATATTGTCAACATAAACACGATGCTAAAAAAAAACAAAAAAACACGACGCTAATTTCAAAACAATTGGTTTACGTTGTGGAATTGGCACTAACATATACATTCGTATTCAAATCATGGTCATGATAGCGATGAATGGCGGCTTGAGCATGTTCCCAACCACTCGCTGGTCACTATTCCATGGTGTGCCGCTCAAGTTTGGTAATAAGCTAGCTATAATAGGGTTAGGATTATAGTTTTTATCCACCATTGAAGAAGAAGTTGGAGGGGGAAGAATGGATTAAATGAGGAAGAGAATTAGGTTTGTTGTTCTGATGTTTATCGAGGATATACGATGCCGAGCTTCTCCACATTTTATTGAAATCATCAAAATACAACTTCAAGCGAGAGATTTGGGGCTTATGCCAACATTTGATTAGCTTTAAAACATGCTTACCTTTAAGATTATCACCTGATCAAGGTTACATTAATCTCGCCAAATACTTATCACAATTTACATTTTGTAAGACTATAAGCTATAACAATACCCATTATTATAGAATGATCTAGTTGTGGCTCCACCATCATTGTCAAGACATCTTCTCCAAGATCCAAACCACTAATATCCGATAGTTTATTTTTAACTTCTGCCATTAATCTTCCCGATCCATCCTTGATTGCGAAAACGGATCCGCGGTTTACAATCTTATAACAAGACTGTTGATCACCACCATCAACTATGCGCGATCCCATTACAACTTTGTAAGATGAATCTCTTGGCAAAATCTTGAAAATCTTACTTAGTCGAAATCTGGTCCCGGTTGAGTTATATCCTTCCCAAGATTTGAAGAATCCCGATTTCTATATACACATAACAAAAAGTTACTCGCAAAGTAAAATAAAATAAAAGCTTATAATTCTTAAAAAAACATTGATGAAATGTTTATTATTACCTTTTGACCTAAAGTAAACAGAATTTTCCCATATGAATCCATAAAATAAACTTCATTACTGCAACTCTTGGAGTTATAGTTATCCACTCGATAGATTAAGTTTCCTTTGGAATCAAAAACTGTGCAGCCTTTGCTATGGAATACCAAAGATTTCATCCAAATCGTGAAACTCTCTTGCTCCTTCGTCAAGTAGGGCACAATCTTGTCTTCTACAACACCAATATCCACCGGAAACGCCAGGTGAGGATAAATCTTCACCATGGTTTTCACCGGAGAAATCGGATTGTATATTTGCATATATTGAAAAACTTTTATTTTTAGCACTGATAGATAGTATAGATATCTTCTTCGTATTTATACCTTGTATCATAAAAGAAAAAATATATTAATGCGAAGGTCTTCATCCACATGTTGATGAATATGTACGAGATAAGAGAAGTTTAATACAACGTATCTTAATTATATTCAACACGTACATACACGTAAAGGTCGTTGTCACGTGTGAGATTAATTCGAGTATTAGAGAAATATATATCATGCACAGCACATCACATACAATATAGTATATAGTATATAGTAATAGAAATTCAACTATTAGTTGATAGGCTTAGATTTGGTCTTCGATTTCGGTTCATTGCATTTGCATTATCTTTGCTGATAAATGCTGACAGTTTCTTGAAATGATACTGCACACAAAGAAGTTCTATAGGAATACGTACCCCATTGACCCCATGTTGCTCAACGATGCTGCCAAGTTAGGGAGACAATTCATCACATCCTCTTCACATGGCCACGTATTTTGGCTGCTTGGAGGATTTCCAACCTCCCGCTATATCATCAATTAAACTATACTTGTTGCAACCTATAAGACAATACTGAATCGTTGCTTTCACCTTTTTTGGCTTATTTGGAGACTTTGGAAATCAAGAAATTACTTGATTTTTTTCTAGATATATACAAATCTCCTAGCCGATGTGAGAAAGGTACGTACGAGACGATGTAAAAGAGTGGACGAATGCGAATATCCCAGGAGATAAGAACCAAAACGATCTATAACATTCCCTTACAACGAATATAACTTGGCAAGAGCCATCTAATGGATGGATAGATAGCAACCACGATGGCAGTTTTAAAGAAGCAAATGCTCCAATGGGTTTAGCTCGAGATCAGTCAGATGTCTTCATGTTTGCAAGAAGTTCATCTATTGGAAAGAGCGTTAATTCTACTATAGATTTCAGTTTCCTTCACGCATTACATAGTCTTTGGTGTCATGGAATCCGTTAGGTCATCATGGAAGGTGGCTCGCAACAACTTGTGAATTTAAGCTGAAGAAAAAACAGATATATGTCAAACTTGATGGGGATAAATATCATCGGATCACGTTTTCTTGTATGTGTTTATGTGACGTACTGACGTATATCATTGGATCACTATTTTTTTGTAGGTGTGGAACTTCTAAGATAAAAAGAAAAACTGATTCTGAGATCACTTTACGGGCCCTTTATACTCTTTATTAGCCCATGGGCCTTAATATGATATTGTGACGATAATAATCATTATACGAATATAGAGAGACTTGAGACCAAAAGAAATAACGAATATAGAGACAGGAGCTACATCTTTTGATGCATTCGTACTTCTCCCAAGAGTGAAGAGTCCATGAGACCATGACCATGACCACTCTATGTACTACTACTCTAATTACTCTACTATTATCTTCTTCACCTATTCCAATTCTTCTTTTTTTTTTGTTGAAAGGCTTACCTATTCCAATTATTTATGCTCACTAAATTACCATCCAAATCTATTTAGTTCAGTTTGATATATCCTATAATTTAATAAGCCAAGCATGGTTAACTCAACAAGTTAAAGTTCTTGTTTTTGCAAACGCAAAGCTATTTTTATAAAAACATATGACTTATATCCGAGTTTATAACAGTAGTATATGAAATGATAACATGATTAAAGTGATAACAATATATATTTATTTTTCTTAGAGTTTAGCCATTCTATCATCTTATTTTTTTTAGCATTGTTTATTTTTCACAATTTTGTCATTTTATAGTGATTCAGTGAGAATCTAAAGAGTAGTATAAAACAACAAGTTGAAAATGATAGAACAAAAAAATAAAGAATAATGAAAATCGAAATGTGTACTCTATTTCATGAAACTAGTACCCTTTAGACAATGGTCTACTCTGAAAAACTGGTCAAGCCTTTTTCCTTCTATAGATATCTAAAAAGCTAATGCCATTTTCCTACAACTTCTCTTTCCATCACTCTTCTAAAACCAATACAACAACAACAGAATCAGATGCAGACAACAACTAAACCAAAATAAAGCAACAGTGGTAGAAACAAGACAAAGGAAAACTCTATGGACATCACAAGAAACAGCAACACCAAGCTCCATCTCCAAACTCAGCTTCTGTTTCCTCCTAATATGGTAAAAGAAAACAATGTCTTTTGATTACACAGCTTAGAAACTATCTTCTATTTAATTATTGTTGTTAATTCTCTCTTTGTTTGTTGATTTTCAGGAGAAAAACTCAAATGTTAGCACAAACCCATTTGGAGAAGACTCACTTGCAAACAGAATCAACCTAAAGGAAACAACAGATTTCATAAAGTCACTGCCAATTTCATCAAACCAAAGCAGTAGTAGCAGCAGTGAGATGTTAAACGAGAGAAGACCAAGTTTCTCATCACAAAAGAGTATTGGAGAAGGAAGAAGCAATGGACAGAGAAGATTGATGTTAATGGAGTCTCCTTGTACTCCAGGTAGAGGAGTCTTCAGTTTCAGTAGCAATGTCTCTGGTAGAAGAAGAAACTTTCCTTCTAAATGGATTGATGCTGAGAAATGGGTCACTTCCTCCGGTCATGATTCTCCAGCACATTCCCTCAAAAACACCCAATTTGATGGGTTTAAACACCAGGTTTGCTCTCCAAGAACCCTTATAAAGTTTGAATCTTTAAATGAGAATGTAGCAGTAAGATTGAAATCAAGAATGGGTTTTTGTAGGTGGAAGTTGTATACTCAGAGAAATCTAGGGTTACGGAAGAATGTTTCCATGGATCTGTCTCATTATCTCCACAAGATCTTATCCTCAAAGGTAACAAAAAAAGATGAAACCTTTTTAATAGAATCTTGAAAAGTTTTGATCTTTTTGATGAATTGAAAGTTACATTTTTGATTCTGTGTTCTTTTAGATAAGTTAGCAAACGAAGTTCCACAGATTCTTCCATCAACGGAAGGTTTTATATTCAAAGATTCCGACAAGTTTCTCCGGTACGAGGAAGCTCAAGTTCAACACAGAGACATGGGAACAGAGATGACACCAATAGGAAGTGTAACAACTTCAAGATGTCACACGCCGTTTAAAAGTTCCTCTCCGGCGAGACACAACACGCCTTCGCAACTGTCTGGTCCGTTAACGGAAACTAAGAACGTTATAGATATATCCGAGTTCGCAGACAAGCTTAGACTCAGTGGGTCAACAGCGAGTCAGTATTGTAACTCGGTGACGAGTCATTGGAACTCGAGAGAAGAAGAAGAAGAAGAGATATCAAAGAGTTTAAGACATTTCGATATGGAGAGTGAGTTAAGGAGAAGTGTTTCTGAATCTAAAGCTCCTTTATGGGATGATGAAGACGACAAGATCAAGTTTTGTCAAAGGTATAAACTTTAAATCTTGATGAAATTATGAAAAATCAAGAAATGAGTTTTGTGTGAATTAAAAAATTGAATTTTTTTTGAAGGTATCAAAGAGAAGAAGCCAAAATTCAAGCATGGGTTAATCTTGAAAACGCTAAAGCAGAAGCTCAATCTAGAAAACTTGAGGTATGTATGTGTATACGTATGTTTTTGAGATCATACTGTATAAAAATACGGATTTTGTTCTGTTCTAACGGATTTGTGGAGCCACGCGCCAATATTAGAGTAATGTTTTGAAGTCTTTACTTAGTTTCATTGACTAGTCTTTGTTGCTTTATTAGGCAAAAGTCTTTGAGTTTCTAATTTTAAAATTGGTATGACATCTTTGTAGTTGTACTTGTAGTTTGTGCAAGTCCCATGTGAAAAGATTGATTTTACTCTCTTGGGAAATTGGAGTCTTAGATTATATTATTCATCATCTATCATCTAGCTATATACTTTGGATTAAACAAAAAATAAAAATGTAGCTATATAATCATACTAATTGAAATGATTAATTTTCAAGAATTATTGTCTGCGTTTTTGGTGGTTATATCAGCTAGTATATGATAGTTGTACTTGTAATTTGTGCAAGTCCCATGTGAAAATATTAGTAATTTCCTCTCTTGGGAAATGGGAGACTAAGATTAAATTATTGATCATAAATTATCTAGCTATATAATCATAACAGTCCATAAATGTAGTTGAGTGATGAATTTTTCAGGAATTAGTGTGTGATTTTTGGGGTGGTAATTATTGTTGTAGGTGAAAATTCAGAAGATGAGATCGAATTTGGAGGATAAATTGATGAAGAGAATGGATATGGTGCACCGGAGAGCAGAAGATTGGAGAGCTACGGCGAGGCAACAACACGTTGAGCAGATGCATAAAGCGGCCGAGACGGCGAGGAAGTTGACAAACCGCCGTGGCTATTTGGTTACCGGCCGTAGCTCATGCGGTTGTTTACCTTGCAATAATACTTGTCATTAACGCAGAGTTAAAGTAAAAGAAAACTAAAAAAGAGAGTAAAATACACATAAACAAACACAAGAAATTACTGTTTATGTGTTTAAATTATCAACATTTAAGTTCGTTTATGTTTATGCAACAAAAAAAAAAACCAATATGAAATAACAATTTTTTTTTGTTTTTGTCAATTAATTTGTTGAATTAGAAGAAAAAAAGTTGAACATAGAATTGTAATTTTGTGGTTTGAACTTGAGTGGTAACAAAATTGTGCTAGAACAAACCAGTAGAATATAAGTCGAATATTGTTTTTTTTTGTGGAGTTCTAAAATTGGTACAAAAAACACTAACACTAGTGAAGACTATTCCCTTTAATAGATATGGAGTTTTGTTCTTGTTGTCTTTTGGTAACTAAATTCGAATAGTTGTTATCATGCAAAAGTGTTCATCATCATAGAGAAATAAGAGACTGACCAAAGACAAACTTTTGCGTCTGGAAGGAGAAGAAGTCTCGCAACCAGTCACAGCTTTTCATCGTCCCCATACTTTTTACGAGACAACACTCTTTCAATTATTTTGTTCTTTTCTGTTTGGTTTCATTCACTAAACTAATTATTTAAAAAAAACATTTATTTGAGTACAGCAAAAAATAATAACCTGGACTGTCAATTTTTGTCTTTTTCTTTTATTGTTACACTTAACTTCTGACATTGAGATAAATTGAACATGTTCAAATTCCAGTCCTATATTTGTGTCATAATTTTCATTTCAGTACAAATGGTGAAAATACGAGTACCGATCAAAACAAAGGCCTTATTATGGCCCAGCCCATTATTAAAACGCTGCGTTTCGAATCAATCTAACTTGTTCTTCAAGAAGTGCGTCTTCAGAAGCCAAAAGAAGAGCAAAAGCAACTGTTTCTTCTTCTTCGATCCCCAGATCAATCAGCTGGTTTGATCCTCTACTCTCAAAAAGTTCATTGTGATGATTTTCCTTTGTTTCTGAGTTTCTGGATTCACTTAGATCCGTTTGTTTTTCTAGGGTTTTGATTCCGTTGTGCGAAGGACTTAAGAGGTTTTGCAGATCGAAATCGCAAAAGAAGAAGAAGATGTTTCTCACTAGGTATCTCTATCTTCTTCTTCTTCTAATTCTGCTTCTGGGTTTACTGAAAGTTTCGTCCTTTACTTCAATCGTTTGTTATTGCTTATATGTGGTTTCTGATTTTGTTGTGCGAAGAACTGAGTATGACAGAGGAGTCAACACTTTTTCTCCAGAAGGAAGGCTATTTCAAGTGGAATATGCCATTGAAGCTATCAAGGTAACTTCTCGATTCCTCAATTTTTTAGTTTCTTTTTGGAAATCGAGAAATTTTGAAGAAAGGGTTATGATTTAGGGTTTTCTTTGATTGCTTTAGCTTATTTGCACAAATTTTAGCTCATATTTCCTTGTTTTATCGATGTGGTTTGGATTATATCTTGAGACTCTGATGAGTGTTGAATTTTGTTGCAGCTTGGTTCTACTGCAATTGGAGTAAAGACAAAAGAAGGAGTAGTCCTTGCTGTCGAGAAGCGTATCACTTCGCCATTGCTGGTTTACTTGCTAACATTGAATTAGCTTGGTTCTATGTTAGATATGGTGATATTAGCTTTCTCAGTCTATGTTAAATGCTTTTTCTTTTTCCCCAGGAACCGAGCAGTGTGGAGAAGATTATGGAAATTGATGACCATATTGGCTGTGCTATGAGCGGCTTAATTGCTGATGCTCGAACACTTGTTGAGCATGCTAGAGTTGAGACTCAAGTGAGGTTTCTGTTTCTTGGTTTTTTTCGTATAGCTTCAAAAGACCTTTTATGTGTTATTGACGGCTTTTTTTGCTCTTGTACAGAACCATAGATTCTCGTATGGTGAACCAATGACTGTAGAGTCCACAACACAAGCACTGTGTGATCTGGCTTTACGGTTTGGTGAAGGAGAGGAAGAATCAATGGTAATAATCGAAATTGGAATCTTTAGTTGCTTTTACATCACTCGACTTAAGCTTTATGATTGAACGAATTCTGAGATTAGCGTAACTAAACCGTGATATTAGGAAATCCATGTTTTAGTCGTTTGTTGATATATATATTTGGAACATGAGTAGTGAGTACTGATTCTCTTTTTCATTAATGTTACTACAGTCTCGTCCATTTGGAGTATCACTTCTCATTGCTGGTCATGATGAAAACGGACCAAGCTTGTAAGTTCTTATAGCTTTCTTCTACTGGTATGATTAACTTATGTCTTTTGAGGAAGTTAGTTGATGGTATTGTAAATGACTCCGTCTTGTTGCAGGTACTACACAGATCCTTCAGGAACATTCTGGCAGTGCAATGCAAAGGCAATTGGTTCAGGCTCAGAAGGAGCTGATAGCTCTCTTCAAGAGCAATTCAACAAAGTAACTTGAACTTTATCCCAATTGTTTCTAAATCAATCATTTGATTGCATCACTTTATTTGCCATTAAAACCTTTAGTTTCATAAACTTGTTGCAGGATTTATCTCTACAAGAAGCTGAGACGATCGCTGTATCGATCCTCAAGCAAGTTATGGAAGAAAAGGTACAAATTTTACAATCCAAAACTTAAAATTCACTGAAGTTCTTGCTCAATCTAATTGTATTGGTTGGTGTTAGGTGACTCCAAATAATGTGGATATTGCCAAGGTAGCACCAGCTTATCATCTCTACACTCCACAAGAAGTCGAAGCAGTCATCGCTCGTCTATGATGGAAAAATCTCAATTTGGGTAATTTACCTATCCGCTTGTGTCACAAAACTTGTTACTTTTGTCTGTTAGATTGAGGATTCATATCAGATTTTTAGTCTGTTGTGTAAGAGAATCTTTTGTCTCCCATGTCATTCAATAACCTCTCGGATTTGTGACTTAGAAGTTTTCCTTTCCTACCACTTACTTTTTGTTAGTTGCTCTTAGACCTGGCTTTGTCCTGACTTGGGGCCTATATGGATAGATTTATCATGCCCGACAAATTTTGTTTAGTGTGGTTAGATAATTATTGAATTAGATTTTTGTTTAGGGGTCGGCTCCTAATTAATCGACGTCGGAAAATTAGTTTTTTATCGGAATCATTGTCATCCCTTCTGATAGGTACATCGCCTACGATGTCCCGTAGGTGATTAGTGGTTTGTAATAGTAGCATCGTTGTGCTTACAATTCGAGTTCAAGGTGTGAGGTACAAAAGGAGAGTTGCTTTGGTAATTCCATAGCAAGAAAGAAGATATCGTATTAGGGATTACACAAAATACAACGAAGTTGGAAAAATTACAGATCATACAATAGTGTCAAATAAATATGAAGTAGAACGAAACTGGGTGTTTTAAAAAAAATCCACAAATCCAATTATATTGTCACTAAATTAAGATAGTTGATGCGTCACTCCTGTCGCCGGTATCCAATCACCTCCATGTAAAAGCGTGGCCACCGTAAACTTCGCAGCCTCAGCGTCTGACATAACCGATTTATATCCGGCCCATTTAACTCTCTTGGTTACATCCGACCCCGGACCCGTATTCTTATACTCTCCGTACACAATACTTGCTGGCGGATCAACTCCGGAAACCCATGACATCCACCCGGACGGTCTAACCACCGGTCCAATCTCAGTTTCCATAATCACAGTCGTGGAAAAATTCTTCCACGGCCGGCCAAGATACGTGGGAGCAATCACATTGCCGTTTGCAGAGATAGTGCATCGCTGGATCGACATCCCCGAGTTTTGGTTCGGATCTTTCTTGCCCTGAGCGGTTATGGTGTTGAATTGATTAGGAAGAGGCTGCCGTGGCATGATTTTGCAGCCTTGGAAAACGACCGCGGCGCTTCCGAAAATGAAGTCAATTGTTCCGGTAACGTCGCAATCACGGTAGAATTGGCGGTTGGAGTGAGGGTAAAGTGTGTCTTGAAACCCGTCAAAGGAGCATTGGTAATAGACAGAGAAATCGGAGCCTGATCGGAATGCCACCGCCTGATGTTTTGTTGCTCCGGCGGTGTTTATGATTCCGATATCCTTCATTATAAATCCTTTGCCTTGTATAGCTGCATCAAAAGTAAAATTTAACAACCATAGCTAAATGGGTAAACTATGTAACAATGTCAAGTCTTTTTGTTCTTACCTAAATCAAATCAAATTTGATCAAAACACAGGGTAATAATAGCAATTGGCTAGACCAAAAAATAAGCAGCAAGGGAAGAAGACGACTTACCAAACGTCGCCGTTTCGTAAGTAGGAGTACCGTCGACAAAGTTCTTGCCGCCGGAAATAATGGTCTTTCCTTTGCCGTCACCGTAAATCATAACATTCCATTTACTCTTATCCATCACAACATTCTCATTATAAGTTCCACTCTTCACATATATCACAAACATCTTCAAACTCTTCTTCGGCACCATCGCCACCGCTTCATTCACCGTCAACACATCACCGGTTCCATCACTCGCAACCGTCACATCAGGCTTCAAACTCTCCGTCTGCAACAACCTCCGTCGTGTCCATTCCTCAAAATCCACACTTTGCTGATGATGACTCATCAGTCTTCTTCTCCTGTGAATCGGAATCCCCAAATCGCTTAACGCCGCAAGAATCTTCGATACAATTGCAAGACTGTTGCTTGTGAACTCTGTTGATCTACTCATTGCCGATTTCAGATTCTGAGTAATCGTAGAGTTCGCATACTCTGTTTTGTTCTGTTTTAACTCGTCTAACGTATCGAAACACGTGTCGTGGTCTGTTACCGTTGCGCTAAGCCAAGTTTTGAGATCTTCGATTTTGGAAGATGACAAAGTTTTCTTCTTTCCTTCGTCATCAATGGCGGAAACAGTGTCGTTGAGTCGATCTAAAGCATCTTCGATCAGATCTCCACAAACCCTTAACGCAGATTTGATTCTTTCGTCTTCTGTCTCTTTCGATAGCTTCTCCGGTAAATCGGAAATCGAATCGAGCTCATCGATGATTACTTTCAATGAGAGCTTAAACAGAGTCTCTGGATCTGATGTGTTGGAAGATGGAAGCTTAGAGATACTTGAAATGCAAGATTCAGGGAAACGAGTTACGCTGCAAATGGCTTTGAGTGAAGTTGATGGTGTTAACTCGGGAGGTGAACTCGGTGTTGACTCGTTATTCTTTTTGTGAACGACGGTGGCTACTACGGCGGCGATTATTACGGCGATGAGAACTACGACGGAGATGGATAGTAGAAGTAGACGTTTTCTTGTTTTTTTCTTTAATGCTAAATCTTGAGCTTCGTCTACTTTTCCATATCCTTTGAAGGAGTTCACAGAATCCATTAATCCCACAAGAAAGGTTTAAAAGCAAAAGCTTCTTTTTCTGGTTTATGTGTTTATTGCTAAGATTTTTTTGGGGTTTGTTATGTTCTGTTGTTTATGTTAGAGAAGACATGTTGTTGTTGTCTTTTTAAGTGGGATTTTAAGTAAATGTGAATCTATGAACGTGACGCGCTTGTTCCATAGTGGACTTCTTGGTGTGTGAATGTGTGTGATCTATTTGCATGTGAAGATTCATGATTACGTTGTAATTATTTTGATTAATCAACTTGATTATAATGTAATTTGGTTTAAAGACAAAAAAAAAGTTTTATGTATATGTCAAAGTCGGAGACTATTTAAATCGTAGTAGGCCCGTAGAAAGCGAACATTCTTTACCATTTATGGGATCGTTGGTATATTTTTTCAAGCATACACATTGGAAAGAAAAAAAAAACACATGAAAATGTCTACAAACTAAAAGAAAATTAAAGAAAACAAAGAACATTATCTTAGCAACATTAAAATGGCCATGTGCGTTTCTAAGATGTGCCGTCCCCATCTCTATATCTTTAGGGATTTAATGCCGACAAGTGACACAACACCAACATTGGGTTTTGATTCCCGGTTTATCTTGTTTTATGATCTAGAATCAACCTAATAAACCCGGTATAGTCCGGTTATTTAGGCCATAAAACTATACGAGTCCGAGGAGTTATATTATATATATGCATTGACTTGGTTCAACTCATATGAACATCGGTTTAATGATATATGTCAACTTTGAGAAACACAAATCTTTATTTAATAATAACTCAATTTTTTAATTTCAAAGACTTAACGAGAAAGGAAAACCGGTCGACGCCAACCAGCCTCCCCCACCAATAAACTGACCAGCCGTAAATTGCTGAGCTTCTGTATCACTTGTAATTACCTTAAAGCCCTTCCACTTCACTCTATTTGCAGTTCCTGCCCCTCCTCCTCTATTCAAATACTCTCTATAAGTCAGAGTGTCCAACGCAAAACTCCCGCTCCATTCAAGCCATCCTTCCGGTCGGACCACATCCGATATATCCGATTGCATTATCACCGTCCGTGAATATTCCTTCCATGGACGACCAAGATACGTCGGAAACGTTCCTTTCACGGACAAAAGATCCGGCGTGCCACCAATCCGACAGTTCTGTATCACTATCCCCGTATTTTGATTCGGATCGGACCGTCCTTGAGCCGTTACCATGTTTTTCTGACCGGAATTTGGTCGGCGTGCGTTAATATCGCAATCTTGTAAAACCGCGGCTGCGTTTCCGAAGATGAAATCGACGGTTCCGGTAATGTGACATTTCACAAAGAATTGACGATTTGAATGGACGTAAAGTGTGTCTTGGTAAGCAAACATGTCGCATTGGTAAAAAGCAGAAAAATCTGACCCGACTCGGAGAGCCACCGCTTGATGCTTTGAGGGACCCGCCGTGTTTTGGAATGTGATGTCACGCGCAAGGAATCCCTCGCCGACGGCAGCTACAGTCGATAAAAAACAACATTATGTAACCGTATAAAGAAATGAGTTACGATCGTTTCTACGGCATCATTTACCAGCAAAACGTTACACATGCGTCATCATTACATTATTTTTTCCATACAAACAAATGTCATGTGTTAATTAGCTATTAGTGGTACGTTTACCAAAAGTCATCGTAGTACGTGATATATAATGGAAAAATGGTCTCCAAAAACCAGTATATAACGCTGTAAAAGAAAATTTTAACTGATGAATTGGCTAGGCAGTAGGCACTTAATATAAACATTTTTCTCCTAACATAAATACTAAAAAACGGTAAATATATTCTACCATTACAAAAAAAATATTATTGAAATTCTCATGTCTTTAACAAAAATGGCTAAATGACTATAACATAAATTTTACTTCTCCAATGTAATTAGTAAAAAATCATGCACAGTTACAAAATTGTTTTGTCATTCTGATACCATGCTTTATCTATATTAGTCTAAAACCATGCTTTATCTATAATTTTTTTTCTTCTCCACACTCATTTGCTTTATCTATATTTAATTGTTTTTTTTTTTGCAATTTCAAATCACTAAATATCCTTTTATTTTCTTAATTCCTTAAAAAAAAATCAAAGAAGAATAGAATTTACCAACTGTAGCGGAGTGGAAAGTGGTGCTTCCATCGACGACATTTCTACTTCCGGTGATAATAGTTTTTCCTTGACCATCTCCCAAAAACATTATATTCTTCTTCTTCTTCGTCACTTCCACATTCTCTCTATAAACTCCTGCCTTTATATGTATCACAAACCTCTTGTCACTCTTCTCTGGCGCCGCAGCTACAGCAGCAGCTACCGTGGTAAAGTCACCGCTCCCGTCAGCCGCCACCGTAGCGTCAGCTTTGATCGTTGACCCTTGAAGAAGCCTTCTGTCTCCGACTGATAACCACATTGGCCATCCTTCGCTGTCTAAGTCGCCGGTAACCTCCTTGAGCTTGCGGTTGTTGTTGTTGGTGAAGGATGAAGACTTATCTCTTAGCTCGAAGTTGGCTATGTCGGTTTCTGTCATGTTCTTGATCATTGCCAATGCGTTGCTACACATGTGTTCCACGTGTACCTGTTTTGATACCGTTCAATATAAAGCTGTTACATATATTTTAAACTTTTCCTAGTAAAACAAATGTTTTGGGTACGTATTTAAAGAGTTAATGTTCTAATAGACCAACAATTAATCAATACTCTTTTTCACCGAGTAAATCGTATGTCAAAGATAATACTAGTATGATTTAACTCTTAAGTAAGCTACACGAAATTATTAATGAATTGTGATTTTTATGCATATATAACCCGAGAGATCATGTGTTGAAAATCGAATTAATACCAAAATTCGTGAAATGTTGAGTTATTTTTTTTAATTATCTATGAATAAAATCAAACTTTAATTAGTACATTTTTAAAATCATGCAATTTATTTTTCAGTCGTACTAAATTTCTCCGAACATTTTTTCCTCAGTGATACTAAATTTGACTATAGAGATAAAGTAGAAAAAAAAAAGTTTCTTATCATTTGATAGTTTATAATTGTCACTATAATATATAATCTAAACTTTTATAAATATTTACGTACCTGACCCTTCAATAACACCTTACGAACTTTCCTATCAGCGTCGTCGTAAGAGAAACCGTCAAGGCAAGTCCCTTGGTTAGTAATGGCTGAGCTAATTAGTGTTTTGAGATCATCGGCATGTTTCCTCAGAGATTTTTGCTTAGGATACTGATGAAGATCCTCCACCGCCACGTGGAGCTCATCTAACGTCTCGTCGATTGTCTCCAAACAGTCGTGAAGCGCCGTGACCTCACGCGGTGTCAAGCCTTTCCTCTTCGCGATCAGCTTCTTGACAGCGAAGTAGTTGTGTTTCACGGCTTTGGTTGTTAGGTTAAGTGACGCTTCAATGACTTCTTTCTGTGACGTCAGCTCTTTTCCTCCGGTGGCTGCCACGGCGGAGAAACAGAGCTCCGGGTAAAGTGTTGAGCTGCAGACGGATTTTAGAACGGCGTGTGACGTGGAAGATAGAGTTGTGATTTTTTGGTTTTTGTTTTGGTTTGATTTTGTGGCGGCGATTCCGACTACGGAGGCGAATAACACCAAGGCTATTGCGGCGGAGGAAATAATGAGTTTCTTGTTGTTCTTGAAATCAGAGAATTTGGATATGAGATCTTTGATTGGTGCCATTATTTTTAACAATGTTGTTGTTTGTGAGGAAATAGAAGATGGTGCAATAGGGTTTATATTGTTGAGTTTTGAGATGAAAAACTATAGAATTTGTTTAAAAGTATTTATTTTTGTCTTTCTAAAATGGTTTACTTGCTTGGCTGTATGCATTAATTATTTGAGTGGTACATTTTCAAAATCTCTTAGGCCCACTTTTGATATCATATGTTTATAAAATAATTAGCTCTTTACAAGTATTAGTAAATTATTTCGATAATATTTATATTATTCTTATTCAGATTATTTTAGAATGTAATTTTCTTGATTTTTATGAACATGCGTTATTTTGATTTCCTAGGAGGAAGAAGCGACCACTTTCATCCACGTTGTCAGTCCTAAGTCATAAACATGAGACAACATAATAAATTTCGTAATTTTTAATATTTGGAAATTTCAATGAAAACTCTCAAACTTTTTAGTTTTATGATAAACCACCGAAATCGATCGAAGTTTTTGAAACTTTTAAATCCTATCGAAATAAATATTGTCGAAAACTGTCTGTCGTGTTAATACGTTTTTGGTATCATCATGAATAGATGGTGTTTCTTTTCTTATCTCTAAATTAATGTTTTTGTTTCTAGCTATAAACTTCAAAATATATTCCTTCAGCACATGCTGTTCCGGGAATTCATGCTAGGCAACATATATATCTTAGAACTTAGATATTACTGGAAACGACAATTATTCTTTAATAGGTGTTTTAATATAATATATATCATTGCTAAAATATGTTGATTATAGTTACAGACTAATTAATAGTATTCCATTTTCCTAAGTACAATGTTAATTTTTTTAATAATGTAACTATAGCAGTACTCTTTTTTTTTTATCAGTTGCATGCATTATTTGATTTAAAATTGGATAACAACAAAACTAGCATAAACCATAACATGTCATGACCAACTATATAGGAAATTAGTAAGTTATATATATATTTATATATTCATTATTTACTAATAACTATTATTAATATTAAAATTGAAATTTCATCCAAAAAAAATAAAATATATAAAAATGAAAATTTATAACGTTGCTAGTTTGGCACTTTTGCATGTAAAACGTTAAAGTTTGAGTCAAAGAAAATGAACGTTGAAATTCGTCGAGAAAAAAATGAACGTTGAAATATTAGTGATGTTGTCGTTATTTTTCTTTTGTCAAAAATTCAAAATATTAACCATCTTGCTTAATTTAGATAAACAATTACAGAAATTTTATATATTTAGAAATGAAAAAAGGTAGGTGACTAGGTGTTAATCAACTTTGAAAGTACGTGACATGAAACAATATTGGATCAATTTTAAAGTTATAAATGATACTACTTCTTGGCTACCTATATATGAAGGCTATAACTCATATTTTTTGAACGACAAAAGCATGTATCGAAATAAAGAGTAAATATTGACAAAACAACCAAACAAAGGTGAATCAAATAGTATTCGTTGTTGGCGTTACTAGGCTGCACTGCTGCAGGACTGTCACGGGATCCATCTTCTTTTTGATACAATCGGAATCTTTCTGTTGTTCGGATTTCGAGTGATTTTTTTTTTATATTTGTGGTTTCGTATGTTAACTTCATTATTCATCCACAAAGACGTTTTATCCATAGTCTCGTTTTCAAGAATACTTTGGTGGGACAAATAAACGAACGCGTATTAATTAGTAGAAAGAAGAAGCATCTACTCCCTCCGTTTTCGAATAGTTGCCGTTTTAACTATATGCACACAAATTAAGAAACTATTAATGTTGTTAGTTTTTCAATATAAAAATATCATTAATTATCTACCTAAACATAATTTAACCAATAGTAAATCAAGTTGCATAATAAAAATAAATATAAAAAATAAAAAAGTAATAAATTTTGCATCGAAAACTGAAAACGACAACTAATTAAAAACAAAAAAATTTCTCTAAAACGACAACTATTCAAAAACGGGGAGAATATATAAGAAGATGAAGAGGATAATGTATGTATACATAGAAATGTTGGGTTATTGAGAAAAGACCACGTGAGCGTTGCCTGTTGGGCACCCACATTTGGACAACTACAGACACATTTAGCTAAGCCAAATTCAACTTAATTATTAGAGACGACGACATTTTTTTCCTTCTTTAGCCTAATTTCTTTTTTTTTTTTCTAACCATATTTAGTATAAATTTCTAAATCATTGTTTTTCATTTCAATCATACAAACTGAATGTTTCTTCTGGCACTGTTAGTCCGAAATCAGACTTCAGATATTTCAATTTAAAAAAATAACTTTTTATTTACCAAAATAAAAACTTTAACCCAAAATACAGAAGAACCAACATCCTTGTACTTAATACCATCTTTTTAGTTATTTCTTTGATGTTAATTATAGAGTTATAAAAAATTAAAACGTTGTGATTCTGTTGGGTTGATAGAAAATAATTATTTCGCCGAAAGATTATGGGTGGTTGGATGCATTTGACAAATCATCGTCGTAATTATTTCCGTATTATCATGAAATTATTAAATTTTCTCCATTATTTTTACATTTTGTTGTTGTTATAAACCTGTACGTGGAATTTTATAATCGCAAATATCTCCGTAGATCGCGCCTCGTTTATTTCCAAAATTCAATTACTAGACAATTTTGTTCATTTAATGCAAAACTAAACAGATGGTTTTATCATGTACTCCACGCAACTAGGCGAATGAAGAGAGTACTAGAATAAATGTTTTACGGTTTCAAAAAAGTTTAGTACAAATTGATGGTGATAATTATTCCCTCTGTATAATAAATAATGATTTTTGAAATCTTATTTTGTATAAAAAGATTGAATTAATATTAGTTAATAGCTATGAGAAATAGTTTGGTATGAATAAATTATGTATTTATAACTAAACATTAAATGTTTTTCTTAATTAGTGTAAATTTTTTATAAAATCAATCTTTTTGATACGGAGAGAGTATCGAAGAAACTCGGAATAAGGTAGAAAGAGCCATAGCCTAGCAACAAAAAAGAAAAGAAAAGAAGAGAGCCATATACAGTACTATTATATCCTAGACAGTAGAGACTAGAGAGAATGATTGCAATCAATTGATCCCAAAGCTGGCATTATATGGCGGCTCTCCATTCCAGATACATGTATCAATTATCATGCACGTTTGATTCACATATTCTGTAGTAGTAGAAATTATGTTTAATACTCCATTTTATATATATAATTATATGGTAGAGAGTCTAGCTTTATAGGGAGGTTGTGCTAAATAGATTATTGACGTTAAGTTGATAAAAATGTCGAAAATCGAAATTTAGTCATGGGGAGGTAAATCGATGGATTAGTGTCATTCATACACTATATTAACCCAAAAAATAATTATGATAAATTTATGAAGAATATTTAGAAAAAAGGTTGTGAGTTGAAAAAAAATAAAAAAATTTCAATAGAGCACTATTTGAGAAGAAGAAAAAACAGAAAAGAAAAATAGAGACATAAATAAAAATGTCATTGGAAAATGAAACATTTCATTTGGTTAGTGATATTTACGGTGAATTTAATACTTCAAAATCGATCCATAAGTTATGATATCCGATGTTTTAAGTGTGATTGTGATAAGGAGAAACAGTCAATCATATTATGTTTGAATGTCGTCCAACAATTTAACATTGATCTGAAAAAAATATTATTGGCCACATGCATGGGCTTGACCCACTTGGTTCAAGGGACGGTTCTGCTATTTAGTCTTCTCTGTTTGGGCATATTCATATGCTGCATAAGGAAATCTAAAAACAACTTTTAGAATTGGATTGTTTTGGAAAAATAAAAGATAAAATGACTTCTTAATTTTCTATCTCTTTTTGCATGTTTTGGAACCTTTTTCGCATTAATGTATACTATAAGATCTTGACGAACCATAACAATCCATAATATACAGAATATGTTACAGTGGTACGAGAACTTACAATAACTAAATAAACATTTACCTACAAATATAAGGTCCAAGATATAAAAAAACGTAAAATGTCGAAGTTAATAATTAATTACATAGGTAAAAAAAAAGACTATTTTACAAATGGACCGGGCCGTATCTTTTCAAAACTAGGCTTCTTGTGTTTGTAGTTCCTAATGTCGACTCAGGAGGATTTAGCATGAATGATATCATAATGTTTTTTCTTTTGTCAAGGAAAAAAAAGGTCAACACTCAACAACATCTGCTATTTGGTATAGCCTGTCTTTATTTCAAATTTCTAGAATTCGGACGTACATCTTTGAGACATATGTTTTGAGTTCTATTAACACTTTACAATAGTAAAGTGTTAATATGGTATCAGAGCATTTATTGTAAAGTGTTAATAAGTTCGATGATAACGAAAGAATGATAGAACATAAAAGATTTCCTTCATAAAAAAAAAACTTGATATATATATAGAACACGTCTACTCTTGAATGTCGTCAACACGATTCAAAATTACAATAATAAGATTACAAGGCGAGTTTTATCAAGAACAAAAAAAAGATTGCAAAGGCGAAATACTAAAAAGGGAATTGATATATATTACATGAAAAAAAAACTTAAAAGATTTGTAGAGATCTCTGAATCTCTTCTTGGTTACTTCCATCTAAAAATCTATCTAGCATATATGTATAGTATAGACAAACGTGTACTATATTAAAACCTGTTATAACGAGTTGCTACTTGTTCTGAGTAGGATTTGCGCCGCTACGTGGAATCTTCCGGAGACTAGGGTCTATTTGATCGAATGAATTCATTTTGGGGCGATTCCGAAATACTCGAGAAGATGATGACCCGACTAGTGTCGCAGATTCGGGAGCTGGTCGACCCGATAAAGCTAAAATAACAAGAGTTAATAGCACAATAGCGACAAGTTTCAAAGCTTCTTTCATGGCGGCTGTGAGCTAGTTAGCTTGTTTCGGTGTTGTTGTGAAGATAAGTCTTTAGGGTTTAATTATGGTAAGATTTCAATAGATATTTATACAAGCATATACTTAACTTAATACTTTAT